AGTCTATTTCAAAGCCGTGTTTTCTCAAAACAGTTGGCTGTGGATGCACAAATCTTGGGAAGCTTGCTGAGGTTATTCTGCTGCTTCCAACATAAGCGGCTTTTGTTTCTTCCCAAATGGCTATACAAGGTGCGACGTGGTGCTCTTGATGCCTGGTATGTCTCGTCTGGCGTCTTCGCTCCCCAATTTGGACGCTCTGAATCGAAATGCAACATGTCTGGTGATTGTCGACATCTTGGAGCCATTAGAGAGTGTGTTACAGTTTCGCCGAGAAAGTCATCAACTTCCTGATGCTGGCCGAAAGAGCCCCGGTCAACCCATGTAGAGAGATTTGCAGCTGCCCGGTACTCGATTCTGGGGCTACAATAAATAGCCTCAAGAGCTAGGCATTGATTGATTCACCTTCATAATTCAGGCGGTGAGGTGACCAGTCTCTTGATGCCGGGCAGCTTACGTCTGGTTGCCAAGACTATTCCAAGGGTCCAGGGGCGGATAAGTATATGTGCCCCACAAGCGCGTGTTTCATTTGATACCAGCAGTCATGGGTTTGGGAACTTTGGGGTCGTTTGAATCCCTTTGAATGTGTTAAGGTCCATTTTTCGTACCGGGCAGGGGTTCTGGCCAATGAGAAAAACCGTGTTGAACGGTACAAATTCTCACCTGAGAAGTAATATGATAGTATAAGTACCAGTAATATTTAAATTTACAAAGAGCTACATCTTCCTATCGTAGCTGATACCGCCACCAAAGACGTACCTGTTAGGTATCGCAGAAAAGCGGGTCATATACCTCACTTGGACCTTAACACACTCAAAGGGATGGCCCGTCCGCTTATGAACTATTGACTATGGGCTCAATTCTCGACATCACTGTCCATGCTGGCCTTATTCATTCAGATTGAATGCTAACCAGCCTGCTGCCCGCAGCCTGCCCGAGCCAGCTTCACAGACAGAGTGTAGCAAAAATTAAGCAAGCTCGCCAACACCAAACTTTATCGTTATGAACGCATATGCGAAGGGCGGGAGGAGACACGGAAATAATGCATCAGGTGACCCTTTGACGTCGAGTTAGTACAGTCGACGAGTGAGTGGCAGGCTCTTGGCTCTTTAATATCGAAAATATACCCAGTAGCAGGTGAAGATATTCATCCAACTACAACTCGCAAGCCAAGGATTAAGATCAAGGGCTGGCCACGTGGCGACAAGTCCAATCATAATGCCCGCACTTGTCAGTACATTATGGAGACACGTAAATAAAATAAAGTTTAATCCTAGCGTCGTTTTAGATTACTTTGCATAATCTTTGCGAGTAGTGTGCCCGACTCGCATGTCAGTAGCTGACGTCTAAAATGGCCCACGAATTCTGCCACCCCCATGTTCAACTGGTAGGTAGGTAGCTGCAGCTGAGCGAGTTTGCTCAATAGGGATGGGAACAATTCGTCAACGAGCCATAAGCTGACCTTAGGAAGCCAGGAGAAGGCTAACGACGGACCACTTCGTGATACCAGCACCTGTGACATGGGCAACATAACTGGGCTTGGAACATAAGAGGCTCAATTCAATCTTTAATAATCGACTGCCAGGTATTAGAGGCCCGTGTTTTTCCTGGAGGCCTTGGCCCTTAAGGGACCAGAGGTCTTTACATATAAGAAGTCGGTGTGTGGTAGAGGCCTGAGGCAGCCCTCGCTTTTGGTCCGACCTCGGGCCTCGTGATACTTTGTTGGTGTCCTGGTAACTGTTGAAAGGAGCGGCCATGTGATTCAGCTTCACCCGGCCAACGCAGCCGATATTTGGAGCCCCTTATAAACGGGCCACGTAGATAGATGGCTTTGGTAAGATTGAAATGATCATCAATCCCCTCTCAACAGTAACAGCGTGTGACAGCACCTCCCCTCACTTTAACATGGTTCGTCTTCATGCGACAAAGCGATTTTTTCTTCATAGCATGAATCAAGTCATTCCACGGTGGAGTCACTGGCATAAATTATTAACATATTGCTCCACGCACTTAGTAGTTAAGGCTATCTCGGCATAGCCTTTACTAGCGCGCGCTGTAATAAATTCAGCTAGTGTAAAACATAATTAAGGGTGTGGATATTGGTTATCTAGCTGAATTTTGTTAGTAGTCATGCATATAGTTTTCTTGGCACACTAAAATACAGCTCCGATGAAACGTACCAGTATTTAACGTATTGCGATATATTTATAGTGTTTTACATGGTTAATTGCGCTTCCCTGGCTTGAGTACGGCTAAAATATAAGTATTACTAGATGTTCTTATTTTTTTTTCCTAATTTAATAATAAAGCAAGTCATGGTATTCTAGTAGCTAGCGTCTTGGGTCACTTTTAGTGTCGGTCGATGTGCATGTACCGAGGTCCAGACTCTACCACTCACGTCCACATGTCAAATCCTCGGCACATAGAACATATCTGGTTGGAATTAACCAAGCACAACTGCCAAAATCCATAATTCGTTTTGAGCTCTTTGCAATCAAGTAGCTCTACATTTAGAAACATATAGGTGTTTTAAATTATTCTCAAGTCGAGAGAGAACTCTTTCTGCTTGAAACGTGTGTGCTGTGCTTATATGCTCTTTGTCGTATATTAGGCCTACCCTGAAGGCACTACAGCAGCAGCCATCAAGGGTTTCTCTCGTGCGTAAAGACCAGCATGATACCCCGTGTAACTCGTAAAGGAGCATTATACACAAGAAACTGCACCAACTGTCTTTTTGAGCCGTTGCACGTTGAGGCGTTATTGCATCCGACAGCCTCATCATGTTAACAATTGCCCTACTTTTGTCGTCAATGAGTCAATGACTGAATACCAATTCTTGGAGCCTTAAGTGGTTCACGTTGAAAAGACGGCTAGCTATCTGCTTGTGACATTTTCGCTGGTTGCACTACTTTAATAGCGACGACACGAAATCTCTAGAGAGAATAGCCCGCGTGGGGCTGTAAGCTCGTAGAATTATACTACTCCCCGTCCTCTGTAGCTTCATCTACTTGGTCACAAACGGGTAGGCTTTGGCGTTCCATACCTAAAGGCTGTGCTGTCGTCACAACAGGCGAGGTACGCGTCTAGTTACCTGCAGCTCCCTAGCTCTCTATTGAGCATATAAACGGTAAGTATTACTAGAGGGAGATGGGTCTAGGTTACGCATGTTGAGAAGCGTAATTTTCTTGCAGGCTACGGCACACATGCCAGGGAAAAGAGGTACTAAACAATATGCTAACCATACTAGAGGCGTCTCAAAGCCAAGTGGTGTCCAGTGTGCGGAGCCATGCTAATTACGAAAATATAATACAAATAGAAATGTTCAAAATATGGCTAATGTCACGGAAAATACAGTATTAAACCATACATCTCATGTTATTTATTAAACAAAAGCCTCCAAGGGACTTTCTGTCTTACAACAACACAAAACGCCTGGCTTATCCTTATCTGTCCAAGAGATTCGAACACGCACCCTGGCTAGCCGTACTAAGGCTTCAAGGCCGCGCTTCCTCAACGAGTCAAGTGCAATAACGTAGTAAGCAAGTGGATATGGTACAGCTACCCCAGGCGTAGTCGTCGTTACACAACGGCTTGATGGCTTAACCAAGCTCTCTTGTTTAGGGAAATTAGCTCTGCTTAGAGAGTAAAGCATGCGTGGTTTAGTTCATCGCTACGAATGATCATACGACGTGTATTCCGATGAGTATAAAGCCGACTAGGGGGCTGGTCGTGGTTGAATGCGAAGATGAACGGTGCCACTCCTTGGTGCGTCAGTCAAACTAGGTATTTTTGTCACATGTGAGCAAGGCACCCGGCATTAGATGATAGGGATCCTAGGATTATTGATAGAAAGGCCTTGATTAAGCTACAAAGGGGCGCTCGGCTCCACGCAACGCTGTGCGCACCACATGATCTAAATTCCGTGCGCGTTACGCGGCCTGATACCTAATTCAGCGAGTGAGCTGTTGCGAGCTCTTTGTACGGGATTCGTCGGCAATGGAAACTATCACTCCAAGGGCAGTTGTCATTTCACCGGGGCTAACGGCTAACATCGATGCTAAGGGTCGGTACCGAGGATACTAAGCTTGGAACAGCATGTTGGGCGGATTTCATGAGGTCCTGATGCTTGGATGCATTGATGAAACGGTGCTCTGTTGAGCGGCTGTGTATTGAACAAGTGGGGGATAGTCGAATTCCCAGGGGTAAGGAGTAGAACTGTCGTGATATACTTGTTACTTTTCCCACGAGAAGAGAGTCATCCCACGTGAAAAGAGCTTTTCGGCATGCAAGAGTCTTCCTACGTAGAGGGAGTCTTCCCTAGTCAAAGTATTAAGTATTGTCGTAGTACGCCACCAGTCCTTTTTGACTTCTAATACCATCAGCAAATGAATTCCACTTCCACTTCTTATAAAGTGATATCTCGGGGATTCATTCATCATCATTCAAATACAGTCATCTTTAAATATTCTGGGCCTATAGTCAACAAGTATGAGGGCCAACCGGCTACTTTCTGTTTCGGCCCTACTCTCGTCTGCTGCCTCTTGGGGCATCAAAGTAGCGCCGCTTGAGCCAAATCTTGACCTCTCGCTTGATATTTTAAATGGGATCGATATTGACCCTAATATTATCGGCAAGACTGTTTTCGAAATTATTTCCGAGAGGTGCTCTGTTGAGCGGCTGTGTATTGAACAAGTGGGGGATAGTCGAATTCCCAGGGGTAAGGAGTAGAACTGTCGTGATATACTTGTTACTTTTCCCACGAGAAGAGAGTCATCCCACGTGAAAAGAGCTTTTCGGCATGCAAGAGTCTTCCTACGTAGAGGGAGTCTTCCCTAGTCAAAGTATTAAGTATTGTCGTAGTACGCCACCAGTCCTTTTTGACTTCTAATACCATCAGCAAATGAATTCCACTTCCACTTCTTATAAAGTGATATCTCGGGGATTCATTCATCATCATTCAAATACAGTCATCTTTAAATATTCTGGGCCTATAGTCAACAAGTATGAGGGCCAACCGGCTACTTTCTGTTTCGGCCCTACTCTCGTCTGCTGCCTCTTGGGGCATCAAAGTAGCGCCGCTTGAGCCAAATCTTGACCTCTCGCTTGATATTTTAAATGGGATCGATATTGACCCTAATATTATCGGCAAGACTGTTTTCGAAATTATTTCCGAGAGCAAGCCCGGTGAAGAAGTCAAGCCCGGTGAAGAAGTCAAGCCCGGTGAAGAAGTCAAGCCCGGTGAAGAAGTCAAGCCCGGTGAAGAAGTCAAGCCCGGCTTAGTCTCAGGTCGAAACGTTTTCAGCCGCCAGGCGCCTAGAAATCCCACTCTGATGTCAGCGGAAGAGGTTGCCAAGATAACAGCAGCTGTGACAAGCAAGCCAGGAGTATTCTATCGCGGCGATTCTCGTCCTCCTGAAGAGATATTCAAGTTAGGTTTCACTCCCTAGGCCCTAATACTAACTTGTAAAATCACCTTGAGTTTAAGGGTGACTCTGGACTTGTGTTTCTCTCGGGGTCGGCTGAGTCTGCGTACAAGTACACCTTTAGTCGAAGCGCGGATAAGAATACTAAGGGATATGTCTATGTTATTGCAGCTAAGGATATTCCTGATGGCTACTGGGTTCCAGGAATTTTTCCCCTGGAGAAAAACCCTGCTGTAAGCCGTAACCAGGAGTTTGCCGTTCAGGGCGCCGTTCCAGGCACGAGCATCTCACGCCTACGAGGTGACCAAGGAAAATCCCGCCGACAAGTCCCGCAAGACTAAAAATGAAGAGTACTCGCTGAGGTCGGCTTCGAAATGCACTATACTCAAGAGCCGAGCAGGTGGTAGCTGTGACCCAGCTGGGTGGGCAGACGTCGAGGAAACGGGGCTTAAGAAGCCTGCTCCTGGGGGTACGGAGGGTGGTAAAGACATGAAACGACCCGTGGGACAAAAAATCGCAGAGCGCAAGTTCCTGCAATTCATCGGCCAACTAGACTCTAGATCCATTGGTTCTCTTATCAAGGGGCTCAAGGATGGCGAGTTCACTTTTGCCGAAGTTCAACTCGCCTTCAAGATGGCACTTTCAGAGGCCATGGATCACCGCTGGACTGACTTTGAAAATTGGGAAAAGGCAGCAGAATCACTCAAGAATATTGTTGATGATATTGTCTCAACGGCCCGTTTTAAGACGCCGGTTGGATACTGGTCCAATGTCATTCAAAGGCTACCTGATACCGCAAAGGAAATTAGCAAGGGAAAGACTCCTGAGGAGAAACTTGAAATTGCCAACAAGAACGTTACAAGAGTGAGAGTCTGTGTATTAAGTTAATAAAAAAATTGAAATAAAAGAGGGCCAGACAATCATACAAGACATCTAGTAATATTAGATTTAGCCCCGTAACTAATCACGTAATACACCATGAACGCATCTCGTGAAAAAAAAAAAAGACACCAAAAAGCTAGCTAGTAAATGGTATCAACACACGCTAGTTTATCCTCATCGCGGAGGGGTAACTAAAATTATACTATTATCTACTTTAAGGCTGGAATACAGTAATAAACCCTATATTAATGTCAACGGAACATAAGGAGTATAATTGCGATTCAATTAGAGCGCGTTCTTTTTCGTGATAATGAAACTAGAGTTTACAATGATTTCTGCCTCGGGAGGTTCTTGTAGCGTGATGAGACAAATTTGGCACGTCTTGGAGCTCGCGCTTGACAATCTCCGCAGCCTGTCTTTCATGAGTGCGGGGAGGAGTCTAGTTGGCCGTGAGTGTGACTTGGACTTGCCTTTGTGATGTTATGCGGCCCAAGAGGGTCGAATGGGTGGTGTGGAGAGAGGCTGCCCATAATGTATATATACGACGCGGCCAGCAATTTGAAATCATCAATGTACGCAGACGCGGATGAATTATCCGCCGCGGTTTCTTTCACCAAGTGCCAGCTGTTAGTTACAGCCGTTGTTTGTGTTGAGCTGAAGTCACCCGCGTTCAGTCATGGATTCATGGGGATGCGGCTGAGAGGGCGTCGTGCCTGTCAAAGTGTCGGGCCGTAGCACGGAGACGCCCAACACGGCGTTGGGTTCACACTTACACAGCTGCAGCAATTGGATTAGAAGCAACCAGACGTATAATGATTGGACAAGAATGCAAGGAGCTTAGCCGTCAAGGGTTACACATGTGTCAACCAACCTCTCCACCGCTATTTCCGTCATCCCTCACCCGACAGAACCGGATTCCCTTGACCTCCATCCCCGCAAATGCCTCCTCAACTGGTTAGACGAAGGCCGGAAAGCCCCCAAGGTGTTCTGGGTTCTCGGCAAAAAGAGAATATTCCAACCATCCCTCGCAGCTTTGGAGACGGCTCTACTATGATGGGTGCCACCGCGACGATAATTACGGGCTGGAGAAACTTATCGGTTATCAACCAGGTGGCCATTATCCTATTCACCTCGGAGACGAGCTTCATAATCGCCGGTTCCGGGTTATTCATAAGCTAGGCTACGGCGGCTCCTCAATAGTATGGCTCTGCCGTGACCAAAGTCAAAACAGCCCGACGTACGTCGCAGTCAAAATCTTCGTCGCCCGCCTACAAGAAGCAGAATGCCGCGAGTTACTCGTCTTTAAAGACCAAAATCTCCATTATCAGAGTCGTTACTTTTGTCTTCCCAAGGAGCAATTTACTAGGGAGAGCCCCAACGGAACGCATCTCTGCCTTGTCTTTCCGGTACTCGGGCCGACGGTGGACCAGGCCGCCTGGATTTTCAACGAGGAGCAAGACGTAGATAGCGTCGCTCTTCGTAAAGTATCTCGAAGCGTCGTTGAAGCTCTCGCTAGTCTACACAGTCATGGTGTCTGTCATGCAGGCAAGTTCTGATGGCTCTTCCCTTGCTTTTCAGCTCGCTAACGCGACTAGACTTGCGCCCAGTAAATGTGAACTTTAGATTACATAGCCTTGATGGCCTGGAAGAAGAGTCAGGTGGTAGAGCAGCTTGGCGAGCCGGAGACGATAAGAATTAAAATTCGTGAAGATTCTAGCCCGACTCCGGATGTCCTATACGCTCCAAAGTACCTGGTTTAACCTTTCAATTTTCAAGAGACTACCAACCCATAGTTTATCTTGCCACAAGCAATAATTATCAACTTTGGGCAAGCCGTGGAAACAGCCGTGGAAACGCCACCATTTAGCATACCGACGAACTATGCGGCACCGGAGGTAATTTGGAAAAGTAGTTCCAGAGGCCAGGAGGTGGATACATGGTCATGGTCTTTGGCTGCACTTTATATGAAGTTCGAGTTAGTCAGCGCTTATTTAATGTCCCTCAGATGACTGTATTAGACGAAGAAGACTACGAAGATGAGATTTCCTCCGTGATAGGAGAGCGACCGAATCCGTTGGAAGGTCAGCCTGTAAACGGGAATGTTGATACGGCGGCCGCTCGCCAGATCTGCAAGAGGGCCTTTGGCGACGACACCACCGCGGAACAGGAGCAGTGGGCGGAGATGCTCGCAGGCCTGCTGAGGTACGAACCGCATCAAAGTCTCAGGGTGCAAGTCTTGCTGAAAAACGCGTGGTTTGACCAAATTTAGCAATCTTGATTTGTTAAAACACAAGTCGCACGGTATTGTGCTGGTTTCGGCATTGCAGTGTACACTGTTATAAAGAGGGACTGGAGAGAATGCTGCTAGTGCTACTGGCCATATATGAGCGGATGTGGACTTTCTCTGTGAGTTGGAGAAATTTTCAAGTAATTTAGATATAAATGAATACTTGTGAACTATGAGAGACATTTAGATGTAAAAGTGCAGGGCATTTAACGAGCGTAATTATATAGGAGTATACTAAAATAACGCGTACGTTTCGCAACGTCGATCGATAAAATAGAAAGCCATAGATTTAAAGACTTTAGCTTAAAAAAAGAAAAAAAACATGTGTTTAAACAGACGTGGGATGAAATATTTTACAAAGGGAACCCTTTCTAGTTCGAGAGGGCGCATCTGCAGCCGGATGACAGCTTGATGATGGACAAAGGAATGAACCTGGTTGTGTCTTGGACGCTGTCAAGCGTGGCGTTCAAGCTTTTCAAGGCCAACTTCCGTTCTGCTTTCCAAGGGGCTATCGAGACCCAGTAGGGAGACTTTCCCACCGTATATCCGAGCAGTATAAATGTCTTGCGGTGGACACGATTGTCTCTATTCTTTATTCACAAAATCTTGAATTGTACGACACGTTGTCTCACGTTGACTGCTATTGTGCCGCACCACGCCTAGTTGTCTACGATTAGCCGCTATGGATCACATTGGATATGGACTTGGCATTTGATTGAATCCATATATCTAGGGGATCGAGGTCTTCTTTATAGCATAGGGGCCGGGATTGTGCTGACACTCACCAGGGCCCTGTCTGGCTAGTCCTTGACTAAAGCTTTAGAATGAAGAGGAAAAATAGTATTACTTATCAAGAATCATGAAACATCTACTTGCAGAGCGGTACAAGTTGTTTTATCCACCGAAGATTAGTAGCGGTAGTATGCTTTCGCGCTTTTTACAAAGGCAGGCTGCGTTTTTAGAACCTTGCTACATTATGCAGAAATCTGGCTCATTAACTGGCGAAGCGTGCAACTAGCTCCGGCTATAGATATCTTCTTGCTCTTGTGTATCCGCTGGCTCGGTAAACGTGCCGGGAACACAATGTTATAGCACAAGTACTACAGAAAGTATTGCATGGAATAAGGTTCTGCGTGAGTTAACAAACAAACTTCTCGATGCTATGCATAAAACCAATTATGTGTAATATGTTCTCATCAGCCATAATTATTACTCAGGGGCCTTACTCATCCGCCATGAAAGCCTGTAGTGGGTTTGTGTATCTAGTCGCCTCGCGAGGGCTCGTATATAAGGCCCCAATACCTAAAACATCACACGGCATTGCATGAATCTTACACGAGGGCTACGATAACCATATCTTAGGGCACGAGATTCACCGACTTCTGTATAAATAGAAATCTTTAGTTACCTAAGCCTTGAGGAAAACCATAGACCTGACCTTTTACCAGAGACTATTATGCTATGAATTGAGTTATTACGAGCCCTCACTGAGACCTTATCACAGCGAGATTGCCACTGCTTATTTTTGAGCTCCTAAGTTATCCCTCTCAAGTTTTTTTTTCTTCTCTTTCAGCAATTCTTATGCGACAGCTATGATTCTACCAAGCCTGCAATTGATTGGTCGTGCAGACCCAACATGCATTTCTGCGTAGCCGATAGCTATCTAATCAGGAACGTTGTCTGGAGTAGTGAGGTTGGGGATACAAAAATAATTATCCAACCCTTTCCTACGTCGCAGCATTCAAGAGTTGCCAGGTCTGAAATGAGCCATTTGTAAGGTAGTCGACGTCGTACTGTAATCTACAGGGGGCGACAAAATCCAGAAGTGTATGATGTCAATTAAAAAAGACGAATCAACACCCAGACGTAGTAACAATCAACGTTGAGCCTAACAAGATAGAAACCAGTCAGATTCTCGGCTACAGTTTCTGTCACACACTCTGGCAAAGAATGTCAAACAAATCTAAACTCTAATTTGTCAGTGGGTTTTTCATAAAAGTTAAAGTAATAAAGCTAGAATAAACCTGAGCTCCATAGCTAGAATACTACTTGAAAAGTTGAACAGATGTGGTTGAATACACTAGGAGCCAGGAAATCTACTTCCCGGAGGGTTGCGGCCAGAGGCCATTTTCTCATAGCTGGCGATGCTACAACCTCGACGGCTATGTCTACGTTTTTCTGTCTCTCCCAAGACCGCGAGTATTACGAAGCGTTGGTAAAGAAATCCGCTCTACGTTCAGCTTGGCCGCCGAGACTCGCTCCGGCCCTTAGCCCAACAGTTACAAATACTTCCGGGACTGTCTTAACGAGTCACGTCGCATATCAGCTATTACGCTGATAAGCCTGTGCTGGAAATAAAATGGGATACATGTAGTCAAGTTTGACGGTAGCCTGGACCCTATGAGACCTTGGTTTTTATATTCCGCCTGGAAAGGAGGCGAACTTGCTGGTGGTCAGACTGGCAGGTCGGATGGACAAGGATAGCCGGACGAGTATCAGTAAGATGCCATCTTAGTGGCTGGTTCCAGGGCCCAAAGGTGACTTTCCAGAAACTACGTGAGGAAGCTTTAGGCTTATGACTACACAGCCTGATCTCTCGCTATACCATACCCTGCCAGGGTTGGTCTTGTATGCCACCTCAACACCCTGACAGAGACTGAACTGCCGTTGGAAGCAACACAGTGGTGATTTGAAAGATCCGTGAGCGAGATGACTTAGTTCGGCTGCTTGGGTTAAAGTGTGGATAATTGTGTCATGATCAAGGTTCAGAAGGACACAGAAAAGCTTGTGCGATAGCGACAAAAATTGAACAAACAGTCACTGTATAATCGTGGACAATTTTAATTGAATCTTTCTTAAATAAGTCAGAAAATGGATTGGATTGCGGCGCCTGGATGACTTGTTGCAACTTATGGCGTTGGCGTTGCGAGACGAGTCTGGATTTGGAGACGACCTGCGGCCGTCCGCAGAGGTTGCTGTTGCAAAACTCGCAAAAGCACAGTTCTACAAATAAGACAGTTGAGGCTAACCTGTGAAGCATTATATACTTGCAAAATCTTGATTCTAGAAATGCTGGCAATGTTTCTGCGAGACGCAACCGGTCTACATGGCCGGGACCGCGCTACTGTGAAGATTTGCTAGATCATAAGGTGCTCAATGTTCCATTGCAGCCATGAATAAGGAATATATTTTATGCGCGCCGTTGGACAAGCCATTGCGCTAGCGCATAAGTCATTCCATGTGGGCAGTGTGAAAGCTTGAGAGGAATCGTGTACAATTGCATTCGTACGCATACACTCGTACGCGTGGGTTCTTAAGCAACTTTAACTTTCGACGAATCGAGTTTTCCCAAATTGCCCTTCTTTCAAGGTCATCAAGGTACAGGTCAAAGTTCGCTCCCATGCTCGCTTGCGGAGAAATTGGATATGGCTTGTATGAGGCCGATCGCATCGTCACTGTTATGCAGATGTCTAGCGGTTTTGCACAGGAAAGCCGATGTGGTGGCTGCGTATGCGGGTTTGGATTGAGAGGTTGACCAAACCTGTAACCTTTGTTTCCGGAGTGTTTCATAGACGTTCCCTGCATTTGCACGGCAGTGGTGCCCAGCGTGTTCAATACTAGTGGCAAAAGTGAGTACAAGTTGAACTGTACAACAACAGCAAAACTGACAGCAGAGTAACGGCCCAGGCCGAAAGTACAAACTCATTAAAAGATTTACTGTCTGTCGAAGATGTCAGTGGCATTTGTCGTGGACATAAAGTGAACAGGCCAGAAGCTGTCCCCGCTGCAACAAGTGCATCAATCTTGATTGCGCTCAAGCTGCCGTGTTCGGAAAGTGTATTTGGTAATGACGTTTCGAACAGCTATATAACAAGTGCCTCCCAGTCAACATTGCTCTCCAGACTCGAGAGTCGAGACGGTCCCCCGGTGGCACGAGCTCTTGTTTCCACAATGTTCCGATTCAACATGGGTAGACTTCACATGAACTGCGGGCACAAACAAAGCCAACAGAGAGTGAAATGCATGATCAGGGTCGGATTGGCAAGGATCACACGTCTTGAATGAGACAATGCACACAAAAAGGTGGCGAAGCCCTTTGAAAGAACATCCATCGCGCTGAAGAACGCAACAACGACGTGTGAATGTTTTATTCTAATAAGATATAAGGGCCCTCCTACTCTCACTTCTGATTGTCTTGGTCTTTCATGCTCTTTCATGCCGCCCCTCCACATGACCGTCATGAGCGAAGAGACGGCCCTCGAAGAATGCAGCAGCGACCGCGGCGGGTCGCCGGAGAAAGATGGTCAATCTTTTAGCTCGGCCCTTGAGCAAATATCGAAGCAGGAACTCGATAATCGCAACTTCGCTACACATATCCTGACCTGGCTAAAGTTCGCCAAGGAGAATCCGACCGCTGTGGAACTCGTGCAAAGCTACGCCATCCAACAAACAAAAGATGCCTCGAACCGCGACTTGGATAGACCCGAGGGGGATATCCCATCCGTCTGCAAGGGTCTCGTGACGATGGATCCAAGCACCAAGATTGTCCGGGCCGTCCACAAGTCTGTCCTGGGCCTCGCACAGGAGTGTGAATTGGTTCACCCGGATCCCCTGTTGTACATCCTCCGCGCCTGTTTGACCTACCTCGAATATGACGAGCTTGCCATTCCCATGAGAAGCCAGAGGGAGATTAATATTCGGCTTCAAAAGTATCCGCTCCTGAAGTACGCTGCTGGTCGCTTGATGTCGGACCCGCGTGGCGGGAGAAAGGAAGCGGTGGCAGAGGCTAAAGCGCTGATTACCGAGTTTCTTCACGACAACAGCAGGGCTACAAGTTGGTATCAGGTCGTCGCGAGAAGACCGAATGTACGGATTACAGGGCTACACGCAGCCATTCACATGAGTAAGCCTACGATAGCCTACGCTCTTCTGAAGCCGGGGAAAGGCGGAAACGTAAACGCCAGAGACTCTCGCGGAGAGACACCTCTGCACTGGGCAGCAGCACGCCAGCATCCATCGCTGGTGAGGCTGCTGCTGAAGAATTCGGCTCGGCTCGATTGCAAGGATTCGAGCGGTGACACACCACTGCAAAAGGCCCTCATGCCTTGGCCCGGGAGGCACCCATATGCGCGGATACGGACGGTATACGAGCTTGTGCTTCGCGCCGGGATAGGAGCTGCGCAGATGAGCATCAGCAAGGGCTCGGGGCACACCCCAATTCACTTGCCGGAAGAACACGGTTCGGGCAAACTTGCCAGATTTCTAGTCCGTTGCCAGCCCGTCAAGTCCATTGGTGGCGAGGACGGTCGTTGGTCTGCCTGGCGACAAATCACGAAATCCGTCCTGCTTCACGCCGGCGCCCATGTGAGCCGGCCGACGCGGGATCCTGAACGCTGGCACCCCCTCATCGAGGCAGTCAGGTGCGGAAACGGATATTGGGCGAGGGCTTTGCTTCAGAGCGGAGTGCCAGTCGACGTACAAGACGCGCAGGGGATGACGCCGCTTCGCTGTGCCATCGTCTCCGACCGAGAATTCCTGGTCAGGCTGCTCCTCGAGAACGGCGCCGACGTGAACTACACATACGAGGAAGAAATCACACCACTCATGGAGGCTTGTCGACTCGGACGGTCCGATATTGTCTCGCTGTTGCTTGGTTGGGGAGCCAGCCCAAACGATCGAAACCAAGACGGATCCACGGCCCTCCATTACGCAGCCGGATTACTTCCGGGATCACATTCCAAGCAGTCAACCTATTCTCTGATTGCTAAACAAGCCGATCCGAGCATTCGAAATTGTCGCGGGGTAAGTGCTCTGGATATTGCGGCTACAAACAGTGACGGCGACCTTGTGCCGCTTCTGCTGGCTCATGGCGCCTGGACGATGCACCGGACAGCCCAGAGGGACATGCTTTCTTCGGCTCTACACCGCGCAAGCCTACACGGCCACGTGGATTTCATTCAACAGCTAGCTCGTAGCGACGTGTTCCGCGAGGCCAAGGATATGCAGGATGCAACGGGGGCCACGGCGCTGCATCTCGCCGTTGGCGGCCCGGAAACCAGTCGTCTCCAGACAATGACGGCTTTGGTGGACCTTGGTGTCGATCTTGATGTGAGGGATAACAAAGGAAGGACGCCTCTTATGCTCGCATATGCGGATGATATGGACAGTGAGGTGGATATGTTGCTGCGCAATGGAGCAGATATTAGTTTCGACCCCAAGAATGGAGACGGCTAGGGACTTTGCGCAAACAAGAGGCTATTACATGTGGTAGCTATTATACACTAAGAAGCATACTGGACTAGAGTTGACGCTGGTGGGAGAAGGATGCCTTGTTCTTTATTGAGAATTTCTGAAATATATCTCTGCTTACATCTTAACCTTGACGTATATTGCATCTACGGTGAAGGGTGATGACTATTGGATTCCTGAGAGTCATTCAACCACGACCTAACTAGGGTGATAAAAAATTCTCAATATTTATAAACCATCTTTAAGCTTTTAATATGCGGATAGGGAATTATATCTATTTTTAAAATTCTCTTGGGGTTGCTTTCATAGTAGGTTTCCTCGACTATCTTATAGTAAGCGTTTAAAAAAAAGACAAGTAATCGTGCAAGCATTATACCACCTTAAATCTTGTAACAAATATGTTGACCGTACCTAGGCCAGGGAACCGCAACTGACCACGTAAGAAGGCCACCTTGTATAGTTAAAATTTAGGGTTTAATTTTAGGGTTAGGGTTAGGAACCGTTACATCCAACTGGCATCCGGAAGTCTCCGCCCCCGAGCTCGGTTCTTGGATCTTGTTTCAAGGTTACCCCGCAAGTTTTCGGCCCCAGAGATGAGACAACCTGGTGGCACCATAATCATGGACGATAAAGATGGGTCGGCGGGAATCCCGCTGTGCCGCCCTGCCACCATGGCCTTGTCTCGGCTTTGGGCCATTCATAAAATCCGGTGGAGGTCTGGTGCATTATAAACGCGTCTTGCTCCATTGGTGTTCCCGTCTGACCTTGAGCCACTGACCGTGTCTAGGACTCGGCATGCTATGGTCGACGGACAAAATGACGAGAAAAGTGTCAGTGTCAGAAGTACGACAACACTCCAGCCCCGACAGCGCGTGGATCGTGGTTGACGGCAACGTCTATGACATGACGGACTTTGCGCCGTCCCATCCCGGCGGCCCTGAAAGTGAGCGCGCCACGATTCCAAACCCTCAGCGCCCCCCGTCCGAGGTGCTTGGCTAACACGAACGCAGTCATCCATCAATACTCCGGACGTGATGCCTCGGTGCCATACAGTGAAGTCCACGCGCCTTCACTGATCAAGTCATCTCTGGATGCCAAGCACCACATAGGCACACTCGATACCGCCACGGTCACGGAAACATGGACGGCGGCAAATAACCCCGTCCCCCAAGCAAAGGCAGCCTCGTCAAAGCCTCCCCTGGAAGACATCATCAACATGTACGACTTTGAAAAGGCCGCCCACCAGTCATTCACCAACAAAGCATGGGCGTACATCAACGGCGCGTCCAACGACAACATCACCCGCGACATGAACATCGAGAACCTGAAAAAGATTTGGTTCCGGCCAGCGGTGATGAAAAACGTCGCAATCGTGACGACCGAGACGAGACTATTCGGATGCCGCCTTGACGCGCCCTTCTACGTGGCTCCCACGGGCGCCGTCCGCACGGCCGGGGAAGAAGGAGAACTGGCCCTTGCGCGAGGCGCCGGTCCGTCCGGCATCATCCATTGCATCTCCACGCCGGCGTCGTACCCCCACGACGAAATCCTCCAAGCGACGCCCCGGCATGCCTTCTTCCAGCTCTACGTGGACAAGGACCGCGCCAAGTCGGCAAAGTTGCTACGTCAAATCAGCAGCAACAACAAGGTCAAGGCCATCTTCGTCACGGTCGACCTGCCCGTCGTGTCTAAAAGAGAAGACGACGAGCGCGTCAAGGCAGAGAACGCGGTCGAGAAGCAGGTTTCGCCCGGAAAGGACCAGAAAGGCGCAGGCTTGGCTCGGCAATCGGGCTCCTTTATCGACCCGGCCGTCACGTGGGACGATATCCCCTGGATCCGGAAGCATACCCATCTCCCCATTGTTGTCAAGGGCATCCAGAGGTGGCAAGATGCCCGGACGGCCTTGAGCCTAGGGTGTGAGGGGATCGTCGTGAGTAACCACGGCGGAAGGGCAGCTGACACGGCGCAGCCGTCCATCATTACCCTCCTTGAATTGCACAGGAACTGTCCCGAGGTGTTTGGCTCGATGGAGGTTCTCATAGATGGTGGATTTCGGCGAGGTTCCGACATAGTCAAGGCAATTTGCCTGGGGGCCTCGGCCGTCGGGGTGGGAAGGCCGTTTCTGTATGCCGTCAATTATGGCACCGCTGGCGTGGAGCACGCCATCGCAAGTAAGTCCGTCCACGTCCCGAACTGTTATTCAGGGATTTTTTTTTTCTGATTTTGTGCCGTTGTAGTATTACGCGACGAAATCGAGACAGCTATGCGTCTTTGTGGGATGACCAACCTGATGGATGAGGCTGGTCCTGATTTCCTAAACACCTCGCCTGTTGACCACCTTGTGTATCACGGCCCGCACCTGTACCTTCAACGGACACCGAGATCGAGGGCACGCTTGTAGGTTGACGTTTTCTTTGCTCTGCCCTCGAGTTTAGAGCAGCCGTGGAGGGACCCGTGTTGGGCAGAGTGGTGCGCTTCGTGAATATGTATCATGTGCGTGGACATGCCATAGAGCTGTCAATAGCGATTGTCAGACTCGGCTTGCTAATGGTGTCCACTTTGTTTGCAACTGTTGGAAATTGTACCTTCCATTCCCATCTGAGAGATGACGGCGACGAAGTGGGCAGATAGATATATCATGTTTAGACAAATCACAAGACACTCGTGACGATAGCCAAGCATTGGCATTTCGTGTGCACCACCTATTGTGCTCATCCCTAAATAGAGTATCTAAGCATCTCATGTCTGTAAGAAGTGCCTTGATGCAATCTTTAGGAGAGTACCGCCGAGCGCGGTTAGCGGCGGATGACCAATGTCAGGTCCAAGGGGTTGCACGACTAGTTGCCATGCAGTATTTTTTTCTGCATTTGGCGTATTGTTCCCGTCTATTTTGGCAACGAGTGGCCGTTCGGCCTGCTAGGGGGGAAGAAGGTCGTCTGAAAAGGGGTGGGTGATGATGGTGTCATTGCCAAACCCTGCCTACTACCAAGGGAAACCTCTGTCGTGTTAAGACAAAAGGGCTGTGACACGCCAAGCTTGACATTATTACTTCAGCTGGTCTGACAAGTCGACACTCTCCAAATGGGTGGCAAGGGCAGAGTAATTGGGCTCGGAACAAAGTGGGTTCACTTCAATCTGTACTCCAAGATATCAAAGGTCCATGGCTTTTCCAAAGGCCTAGTTACTCAAGGAGCTCTACTTGATACAATAAGTCGGTGAGGGATAAATGTCTAAGGCAGCGTTGGGCCTGAGGCCTCAATTCAGGTCTCGTGATATCTCCTTTGTGTCGCCTTTGTTCACCCAACGCCTTTGTTATGGCTTAACCGTATGACAAAAGACTTCTCTCAATACCGAGGAATCAAAGATGCTGCAATCCACAGACATTGACCTGACTCTGCAATTTTTCAATTGTCATGGCTGCTTGTGAGCTAAAGACTCTGAGATGCCCAGGCCCTCATGAGCTCCATAGCCTAGCCGAGTATGTGATACAGCGCAATCCAGTGGCCAAGGAGCGAACGGACTGATCGAGTAGCGTTGTGGCTGTGCGCGGCATTCATGACAGCGGTCAAGGGTCATGGGTCGCAGATCACGGCTCGGCCTTGGTAGAAGCCCTCGGCAACATAGGCGGAGTACGATTGTCGGTTTTTAGCTATGACACGAAGAACATCTTTGTCCGGGACGGACTTCGAGAAATAGCCACTCATCTTCTCGAGAGTCTATCGAAACTTAGGAGCGACTGTGAAGATGTAGGTTCCAGTATCCCGGACTAACCATAATCTTCAAAATGCAAAAAGACTAACCCAGTCATTAAAACAGCACTCCAGCATCATATTTGTTGCCCATGGCATCGGGGGCACGGTTGTCAAAGAGGCAAGATTGACTACCGGCATCTCTGGTGGTAGACTTTAACAAGTATTCCAGGCTTTGAATATTGCAACTTTCAGTCACATCGGCCAAGCGGACTATCGAGGAATCGTTGCATCCACACAAGTCTTTGTATGCAGAGCGGCTCACATCAATCACGTCACCACTTGGGAGCTTGCGTAGGGGCTTGAACTGACGCATGGGATACAGGTCTTCATGGGCTGTCCCCATCGATGCCATAACAATTTTGAGTTAGGTGGTAGCCTTAAGAGGCTATTCAAGAGTGATACGTCGGCAGGGTTTTCCTTATCTTCCATTTTGGCGTCTAGCCTCGCTAGCATAGTGGCAAGTGCGAATCAGGGATTTCTCGATACGAAAGCACATCTCAAGGCACTCGTAGTGAACGTCTCCTCAATCCACGAGTATCTTGACAAGAGGGTAAAAAAAGTATGGGTCTCATGCCGAAATGCTCATTACTAACCTTTCTGCTATCCTGTAGATTTTCGACCGATACGAAACTACAATGGTTGTACCTGGACGCAATCATGGCATCGGACTGTTTCAGTTGTTTGATTCGGCTTCTCACTTTGCTTTAGACACAGATAACACTGCAGTTAAAATCAAAGGCAAAATTTTGCTTGCTGCCGAGGAACATCGCTCAGAGTCAAGTCCTCGCTACTCGACATCTACCAGATTGGCGCTTCTTCAGAGAGCAGGCCTGCAGCCTATAAACGCGTGTCTTACTGAAGATGATGACGACCATCGGACAACTCTAGCCTGGGCCCTAGATCGGATAGTAATTCGAAACTGGATGAGGGAGTTTGAGACTGTACCTTTCTTGTTTTTCTCCGATGCGGAAAACCCATTACAAACCGCAATGTCCCTATTTAACCATATTGCGGTAGATGTCGACTCAGAGAAACTGGCCCAGTTCTTTGAATTTAGAGATTGGGACTGCAGATACGACTCCGTCGAGTCAATGCTTTGCACATTTCTGCTGGATATTCAATTGCATGGTGACTGGCTGGAAAAGACCCCGGTTTGGACCCTGGACTACCTGTTACATCTTTACCACAGGTTTCTTTTCCCGCCAATTGGAACCGATCCACCCTCAGTAATATGGGTGCTGGCAAACTTTGACTCACGGATTGAATCATATCAATGGCTTTTATCAAGGCTGAGCTTGCTTGCAATGGGATCTAAAGACAAGCTGGGAATCAAGGTACTTGTAGTGAACCAGCAGGTGGTTGAGCTAGACCCTGACATTGCTGACATCACTTTCTTTAAAACCATTTCATTGAAAGAGGCAAATGACCATCGGGACAGCACTTACAATGAACTTGGTCAAAGTAAACAAGAAAACAAGGTCGTCCTCCATACGGAGAAGGCTGCCGAAATAGACAATCCCGACGGGCAAACCGGCCCGAACTGCGATGACGCTTTAGATTCTGTTGTCAGACGGCAATTTCTTGAGCTTATTGCACAATTTCCAACCCTGTATAGAGTGAAAGGACTCTTACATCGCCTTCTCTTGGACCGCAAGCATAACGTGGCTGCTTGCATGTTACTGATCGCATGGTTCAGACACAACACCGTGAAAACCGTGCCGGGAGATCTCATACAACGCATTGATAAACACTCTCCAGCAACAACCGAAAGCATATTTGAGCTCTTGTGTATGCCGCTATCTGTGCCAGTTGAAACAAACAAGGAGTGGATCGCAGGTTTGCAACTCGTACTGTATTCTTTTCGAAATTTCACAGTCCAGGAGCTTCGTGATTTGGAAGCAGCAACCGGTTATGGACATCAAATGGGGCGGCTCAAGAACGCTGCCTCACCCGCGCCAGGCTTATGCCATACCTCATCACTTCTCTCCGGTATCACGAAGATACGCGCGAATGAAGTTTGCATTAGCCACACCCAATTTCGCGACTTCCTCGATTCGCAGCTCAGTGGTACAGGAAAAGATGCCAGCAGAGAAGGAAAGCACGTACGCCGCGCACACGCGAGGATTGCTAGCTGGTGCCTGGAATATCTTTGCAACACTCAGGATGCCGAGTTCAGGCGATTTCAGCCCGCTGACGAGAATACATCGACTCCCGAGTTCCGCGACACATTCCTCTCATACGCGATTAAATATTGGGTTCCCCACCTGAAGCTCTCTGATTCCGACGCCGAGACTCTCGCATCTGCAGGTAAATTTCTGGCGAAATCGGCTCATGCAGCTTCATGGGCACAAGCCTACTGGGGTCTTGGGAACCCGGCCACAAGAGGCAAGGGATCGTCCATGTCACCATTTGCAATCTTCGCGGAACATGGATTTGAGTCCTTGGTAAATGCCGTTCTTGAGACACATGGGGATCAGCCGCCTCTGACAAGAAGCCAATACCTTCATGGGTTGAAATGGGCTGCTAGAAATGGCCACAGTCAGTTGGTCCACAAATTGCTTGCTCTTGAAATCACAGGAGACGAGCCATTTGACAGCATAATTTACGAGGCCTTCGCCTCTGGAGACGCTCAGATCTCGAAAGAAGTCGTCATGGCAGCTCAAAGGCAAGCGGGGAATATCCAAAGCCCTTTAAATCTTCTATCTTGGGCAGCCTACTATGGTCTGGCCGAAATTGTCGACATATTGATTCCTTGCATACCGCCAGAAGTTGAAAAGGAGAACGAGTGGCGCCCTGTACGGCTCACGGTAGCTGAGAGCAAACTATTCACTGGAGGTTCTCTGCAGGCCTTGAAGCTGTTGGTCGCTGCTGGCTTCGCTACAAGAGATGTAGGAACTGATGATGAGGAGAGCGCCTCGGCTCTAAGACTACTGTGTAAATCGGGAGCTAGTACAGAGGCTGTCGAGTTTCTTGCGGAAGCCTTGCTAGCGTCGTCCATCTCCAATACTCCAGAACAAAAGCAAGAATGGCCGAAAGAATTTGCTTCTGCCGGAGAGATTGCTTTGGCTCAAGGACACCACAAAGTTGTACAAGTGCTTATGCAAACCTCTGCTGCCAAAGAATGGTACGATGTGCCGCGGCTTGTGGCTTGGATCGGCTCTGCGGCCTCGGCAAAAGAGACACAATGTTGCCGGGAAATCGTTTCACATCTTCTCAAGGCTGTAGAGAGCTTGAAACAGCCCATATCTTCTAACAGCATAAGAAAGGCATATAGTTTAGGAGATGTCTCTCTTACGGAAGATATAATCTCAGCTTCGGGTGGTTCGACGTCAGAAAACTTTTCCGACTCTCTTTGCGCTGCGGTTTTAGGAGGAGATGCGGCAATCAGCAGCACCAAGTTCATAGAAAAAGTCGGCTTCGGGGTTTGTAGCAGGGAAACGTACCAACAAGGAATTAGCGAGGCACTTTGGGCAGCATGCACGCGCTCCGCTTTCAAGACTGTCTCACTTCTACTGGAGAAGAGGCCGCGCTTGGATGAATTCAGCTCTGAAAGGGTGACGCCTCTGTTCTATGCTGCGTTTCACGGCCATGAGGAACTTGTCAGGATTCTTCTCAAAGGGGGGGCGAAGCCGAACGACACCGGTAGCGTTGGGGGCTGGAAACCCATACATGGTGCTTTCGACAACCCGAAGATTCTGGATATACTCATTAATGAGGGGGCTGACATAAATGCCGAGAATAATGGCCAAACCGCATTATCATTAAGTTGCAGAAACGATAAAGCGGAGTCGGTAAGATTACTCCTGAAGCACAAAGCAGAGGTGCGCTTCGAACTATCGGAAGCTCTCGGAAAAGCAAGCATGGTTGCACTACTTCTTGATTGTGGTGCGGACCCTCTACGCTATAAGGCTGAAGAATTAAACAGCCCTCTGCTTCACACTTGTGTGCGGTGGAACTTGACCGACATCCTCAAAATGCTGCTCATCTATAAGGTCGATGTCAACGAGCGAGACATGCACGACCGAGCACCTCTTCATTACATAACCTCAAGAGTGGAGGTACCCGTCTTAAAACTTCTGGTGGACCGCGGCGCATATTTGAATATCGTGTGCGACGGAAAAACACCCCTATCGATGGCCATAGGGGGCAACAACAAGGCAGTCATACGATATCTCGTGGAAGCCGGGGCTGCCGTCAACGCCACCATCGGATATTACGGCTCGGTGATTCATAAAGCATGCCAAAGTAGCGATTTAGAAACCATAAAGCTCCTCATTACTCACGGTGCAGAACTGAATTGCAACAATGACGGCATCCTAGGCACACCGCTTCAAGCTGCCCTGCAACGCAACACCTACTCGGCCAAAGACACGGTGGAAAACGCCAACATCATAAGATATCTTCTTGACCACGAAAGTAGCTTGGTTCAAATGAGCAGCAGCACTTGGGGCGGCCCCCTGAGTGTTGCTTGTCTCAGGGCCGATCTGGATGTGGTAAAGACACTATTAGAACGAGGCGCGAACGTCCATTCAGTTGATAAGATCGGGAGGATGCCGATACATTCTGCGCTGTACCGGACAATAGAATATGTCGAGACGCTCCTCGATGCTGGTGCAGAACTGCATGTCTGTGACCGCATGAACCGAAGCCCGCTCCATTTTGCGGTCGTCAGCGGACGGTTGAACCTCGTCAAGTACGTCATTTCACAGCGCAAAGAGCTGGTTACGCAGAATGACATAGACAACTGGAGCCCGCTCATGTGGGCGGTACGCGTTTGCGGACTCTGGGGCACACAAACGTCGGATCGCGTCGACATTATCCAAGTGTTGCTCGACGGCGGCGCCAGTCGGCTGGTGGAAGGCGAGGGCGTCGATCGCAAGTGGACTGCATACGACATTGCTCGGTATTACGGTCATGTCCCGGAGATTGTCGAGCTCGTGACCCCCAGTAAAGACGAGCTGGCGACGCTGGACGCATGCCAGAGAGGGTTCTGGCAATGGAGATTCTGCGAACAAGAAAAAAAGGCTTATCAGTGGCCTTTTTCATGCTGCGACGCATGCTTGATGGTAAGTGTTGTGCCAAGACGTCGTGCGACGGAGAGCACTCTATCCTGTACTTTTTCTATGCTTATTTCAGATTTCTGATGCGAATAATCGACTTACAGAGGATCGTGGGTACCAGCTATGCCTGCGATGACTGCGATGCATATTTTCTGTGCTTCAAATGTTACAGATCCCAGAATCATATCCACCCGTACCACGAGTTTACTTCCTCGGAGGAGAGGTTCGAATCTGACGATGACTCAGAAATGGCCTCAGAAAGTGATTCAGAGTTGTCAGAATAGCTTCATATCAGCAAAGACCGTGGGGAGGTTGAGGTCATGGGGGAGCTGGAGCAGCTACAGGAGGCGGTCGAGGAGAACGGAAATGAGGAGACGCGAGAAGAATAATCTCTGGCGGGTTTAATCACTTATTCTTTGAGTTTGCATGGAAACTATTACTAAACTGGATTTGGTCCTTTACAAGAATGTTTCTGAGTCGTTTCAACATGTATTAATAGTAGGACGGCTTTGAACATGATGCAGTATTCACGTCATTATGCTAGCTCCCTAGATATTGCCTCAACTGAGCATTATGCTACGCTTCAAGGTTGGAGAATTCATTATACAAATGTTGCGAGCAAGAGTCTAACCAAGGAAACATCTAGATCATAGACTGAGTGTGACGGGCTGTCTTATTCCTTTACCTTCACTCCTACTGAGGGACAAACAGCATGAACTCATCTTATACCAGATCTAAATCCACTTCCAGTGACAAGGGCTTAGTGAGGGCTTGGAGGAATAACTCACTTCCTCTGATACTAGTCTTCGGCATTAAAGCTCCTTAATTGTCCTCAAGGCTTAAGTGACTAGAGAGCTTTCTTTATACAAGAAGTTAGTGAGAGCCTTATGCCCTAGGTCTCGTGACCCTAGCCCTCGTGTAACCGTGTGAAACTTTGCTGCCATGCTGTTCTATACAGCTTCATATTGGTCGACCTGAACCCTGTCTTGCGTAAACTGCCGTCCTTGTTGACTGTGCTGAGGTGAACGAGGTGTCTACCAGAGGCACGTCAGGTCGCAGGTTAAGATCAATGTCTCGCGCAAGTCCCGCCACATTTGCTCGTCTGGCATCTCTTCACTGGATATTTTGGTCACGATCAGATTTGAGGGACTTATCGTGGATGACATATTTGTAGGTCTTGTATCTAAATCCTAAAGTATTATAGTCATCCAGAGAGACGCAATATGACTTTAGACATGCGAGTTTAGTTTGTGAAAATTAGCATCTATCAAGTCGCTTTTTTGACTACTTCGGTAAACTACTCACTGTCATTGTTATTCGGAATGAAATAACTCTTCGACTCGAGCGAACCGTACTCGGCCTGTCGAACTAGCTGAACTGAAAAGGGCGGAGTCAAGCGGATAGTATTTGATCTTTCCTTTCCAATATTCCTGAAGGAGGAGGGCATTCTTCAGGAAAGGCTGCCTATCGCATAAAAGAAATAAGCTTCCTCTCGTGGATGTTTCGCCGAGTGTTTTCGCCCTTTTCCATGCCGCTAAGTCAAATTTGCTGACAGCTTTTGGTTGCCCGTCTCTAACACTTGTATATGTAGCTCTTCCAAAGCCTCTCTTCTTCCAAGCGTCTCGATGGCGTCCTTCCTAAATGTGCGATGCTGTAAAATCCTATCAGGCAAGAAAATATAGTCCTCCAGTAACCCGCTTTGTTATTTTTCGCAACCTAAATCTTAATGTTATGTCGGCTGCAGGTAGGAAACTTTCGCCATATCTTAGTGTCAAGACTCCCAGGGTTATTGGCATGCTGCATCAACATGACTCCGCAGTGTGCTGTGTCATTGTGATTGCCTATATAGCCATCGATCCGCTGACCTAAAGCCACAGCCCGATGGAGTTTCTTCCGCATAAAGACACAATGCGTATGGTGGTACTCGTTAGAGACAAATAGACTCGGGTGCTCACCCTTTATCACCTCGTCTTTGTGGACCTGGTGTAATCCAGCTGGGTCGTTGTACCATTTCCACGATTGAAAAGCCTCAAACTCTCGTGTGAGTTCTTGATCGAAGCATAATGGTGATAGCCAGGAAAAGCTCATAATGCCAAAACGACATCCTTTGTCCCTCGCCTCATCTGGAGAGTTCCCGTACTCCAGCGTCTGCGACAGAGACACACCGAGAGATAGGGACATATAGGTACCGGTTATAAGAATGAGAATCATGTTGTAGATAAGACAAAAGTCCATGAAAAGGTTGATGCAGCTGATGACATGGAATAGGGAAGTCTGAGCTGCGACTTTCTGGATGGTCTTGTTGGAGGCGCAGGCATGCCTGTTGCCATGTTTCTGTCACTGGGGAAAGTGAGCTCAACGAATTGGTATGGTCTGGTCCTAATTTGTAAGGCAGTCTTCTATCTGGAATGCAAAAAGAGTCGGCGTAGTTCCTCGAGATGATTCTCTGATGGACTAGGCAGGCTGGCAAAGGCGAGGCGTTGTGAGCCAGCTGTCACGAACCTCCCCCCCTGCACGCCCAGATATGACAAGCACCCTTATTGTGGCGTGGTGAGGATACACGCAGCACAACCAGGATCAAAGCGTTGTCAGCCATGTTGTCTGGATTCTCTATGGACCTGGGATATGCTGAATGAAACGCAAGAACTGTCGTTGGCTGTAGGCTCGGGCAACCAACGTTGACACCGCATGCAAGCGAGCAGGTCATGCGAGTAAGCAGGCACAGTGAGCAAGCGGGCATGGCCAGGCAACATTGGATGTCAATAGCAGATTCAATTAGCGTGCACCGAAAGGCGCTCACATATTAATTGATGTAATAACCGGACTTGACCGGACCGCGCCTGGGGCTACTGGGGTATCTCAAATGAGCTACATGTATCGAGTCTTTCATATTCATTTAAAATTGTTTCCCCATGTGATGCCACTTGAGCTTTGTCAAGATGACTGAAGGCACAGAAGAATATGTTCACCATATATGACTATAATGAACGACTGAATCGGCCCTCGCCGCTGTCCTGAAGGAAGCGAGAAACTAAGTACTATATCTGCAGCCGTAACAACCACCTTTCCATGTCCTTGGCGTTGTTGCATATCTATCCAGCTCACAGAAGAGAAGCGACGCCCATCATCCTCATGCGCACTAACAATATTTACTCTCGATTCTTGATGTAGCCCCCGAAGAGCATAGGTGTCCACATCAATCTGCGGCTCACCCTGCGCATGTCCTCCATCTCGCTTCTTGATATAGCCCCAACCGCTGCGAAGGGCATAAGTGTCTACCTGATTCAGAGGCTCGCCTTGGGCATGACCCTCATCTCGCCTCTTGATGTAGCCCCAACCACTACGAAGAGCGTATGTCTCGACTGAATTGCCTTTCTGCAGCAAATTATTAGCTTATATGGGCGTGGGCAAACGGGAGAAATGTCTTAACCTCGAGTTCAGCGCTAGCTTCTGGAATGGGCGACCCATTGCGGCCCCAGATGGCCAAAGCTGAAGCGAAGAGATTGAAGCCTTTCATGGTGTCGGGGGTATTTTTGTCTTAAAATGCACAGAGAATAGCGTTTGCAGAGTCTATACGTTGCTACGGAGAAATCATCAATATAGCCGCAGATTTCTAGGTCAGCGTAGTTTGTACGGTTTATAAATATCGTCACCATCGATACATACCATTTCGCATCGAGATGATGACAGTACTCAGCGACAGCCAAGGCAGCCTCCGCACATGGCCATTGGCTTCTCGTACGCTCATGCCATGTAATCATTCTGAAATGTTCAGTAATATGCGACTGCGGCAGCCATCTGCAGGTAATTCCACCGGGTACCAGCACCATTTCCTTGCATACTCTGCTGACGGCGCCTCGCTAGCCTCGGAGGTTTATGCAATGTCACGCAACTACGAACAGGAATGGCAAAAGCTTACAGAATTCAATGTTATGTTGGGAAGGCGAGTGGTGCGAACTGTAATGGGGTAAGTCTTTCGGCTTTAATGGTCGGTCCTGAGCGATGATGCGCCACAATAGACTAGATCTCGCTCAAACGCCAACAGCGCTGGTAGTGAGGCTTCAAGTTTAACGTTATACATTACTATCTGCATGCCTATTATAACTGTAACTTATTTGAATGACTATCCTTTTCAGGCCTGCGTTCGAATCTGACTCTACGCCTTGTGGCATCTAGTCAAGTAGCTCCTTAGCACTGCTCTTTGAAGGCGGAGCGTATTGAACCACGTGACTGTTTGTCCAAGCGTGAAAATGCTCCCAGTTAACACATCTGAGTCGGTTGTAAAGATTTCCCATGGGCATATTTGACGTCTTGGTCCAATGATACGAATAAATGTTCAAATCTGGGTTGCACATTAGCCTTTGTCGGAGAACCTCCACACAGTGGTCCTTATGCTCGTTTCGCTCTTCCTCAGGATCGGCAATCATGTCGAAATCGATGGCGCTATAACAGTTCTTATAAGAGTACATCCTGAGGTAGTTCTAGGCTAGTAAGCAATACTGGAAATTGATCATGGGTGTCTCCGGAGGCCTTACAAGACAGTGTAGCTGGTGGAAAACTTCAAGGCCAACCTGGTACTCTCCAGTGCCTGGGTACTCTACAGCTGCTTGCGTCCTGTTGATGCTGGCGAGAGTGTCGTAGTCGACGTCGTAATTGCGAACTGTTTTTCCCATCGAATCAGTAGCGCCCAAGGGCAGAAGTCAGGTATGTTGTGGCACTTACGTTTAGTTAAATCGTACCACAACTTATCGAGCTCCAAGTTGGGCTCGTCCATGTATGGTGACTTGGGGCCGTGAAACGAGGATTGAACTGAAGCGTCTTGAACTTGTCTATGCTCTTCAGTCAGCGACGCAAAGTAGCAGATCTGGAAAGGCATTTCAAATACCCCATGCTGTATCAAGACAATTTGCATTCTTCGAGTGACACACACTGATACCAGCTGTGAATCCGACAGCGGTTGCCAACAATAGCGCAATGCCCTTGAAGAGTGCGAGAATTGGTCCTTGTTTCCAGAAGTTCTCGGACCTGTTCCGAAGTTGAGCATAAGTCTCCACGTCTTCAAGTGTCTCTTCATTCCATTTCTCCTGGCTGAGGAGGGTTTTTGATGCAGAAAAAATGTCCGCATTCGCGGGAGATGAAAGTTTAGCGTAGCTACTACCCATATCTTGTCGCCGCTAATAGATGCTCTGGGGTATGAACCAGGTCGGCGGATGAGTAATTGCCTTCGAGACATATGTTTGTCACCTTGAAGGATTAGATTTATAAAACTCACGTGCTACAGAGTGAGTCACATCTCGATAAAAGCGGCTATGCATGACATTGCCGATTGTAAGCTGACAGTGCTTAATAACGCATCTTGATGCTCGCAACATTGAATTGACTACACTTGCGTAAAAGAGCCGAAGCTCCAACGCCCCCTCCCCCCCGCGGATGCAGGTAGCCTCACTTGGCCCCAAGCTAGTATATATCGCGCCAGCTCGCACCATGCGTTCATTTCATAATTCGTTTGCTCTCGGCCGGTGCTCTGATCCTGCTCTGATCCTGTTATCCCACATCAACACCATGCCTTATTCCCCATCGTCCCCGAAAGAAGAGAATCATCTCTGGGATGTCAGTGAATTGTTCTTACATGACGGGCTCCGCAAGAGAGACGGACCTAGATCAATACTATCTGATACACTTATTCGGCGATTGTCTTATCTGTTGCTTTCTTTTGCTACAGCCATGTCCATATTATGCGTGGCTTTGGCCTATCGTATGAGTCATATGACACCCGCATTCGCGGACGAAGTGTATTGTAAGACATTTATTCTTTCTTTGAACGTGGTTGTCTAAAAACAACATGTAGCTCCAGCAAAAAGCGTCCTTGAATATAAAATATCGTCTTCACAAGCGGTTTCGGTGGAGAACGGACCTCCTTCCAAGGCCCTCTGACTCCTGAGCGAGATGCCCTCTGGGATGATCTCTATGGATGTAAGGCAAAGTCTTTCTGGATGCGACTCAAAAAACATCTCGAGCTAATGGATCATGCTTGACAAGTCGGGGTCTGTCGTATACCGAGAGCATCAGCTGCCCAGTTAGTCAACAAGACGGTACCAATTCCCGGAGACAACGGGCATTACCTTGTGGAGCTGAACGTTTTCCATCAGCTGCATTGTCTGGTGAGGCTAGAACCGTTTATTCGAAGCCCGCGCTTTAGTGGCTAGCTCAGCTGATGCTCTATAGAACATGCTCCGCAAGAGACTATACACAACAGAAGAGTTTGCTCCGGATCATGAGCTCATTGGCATTGAGCATTTGGAGCATTGTTATGATGCCCCAAGGCAAAGTCTCATGTGCATGGTAGACATCACTCCACTACCGTGGCAGTGGATCGAGAAGGAGCAGCAGTCCAAGGAAGTCGCGCGGGTTGCGCACACCTGTCACGACTTCGATGCGGTACGTGAATGGGCTAGAGAAAGGAAGATTTTTTATTGTCACCGGTCTGTCTATGTTCCGGATGATCTGTGAGTGGCCATCTCTCGGCCGCGGTAGTTGGAGATTCCACTATAAGCTTGTGAACGTCGACAGATGCGGTTAACGATAGCGACCACTGTTACCAACAAAACCAAGAGTTCTTTCGCATACGGTAAAGGCCTTGGGCAGAAAATTTGACTCTCGGGCCCTCAAGTTAATGCAGGGACTCCGGTCTGCAGGATCTATGCAATCCGGGACTAGAACCATCTTGATAATCCATCACCCGTGTACTCGTCTCAATTCGACTACGCGTCGTATGGGAGGACCCTTCCGGATAAGACGGCGACCAATTACATGAGCAAGCTTCTTGAATTTGTCCAAGACTAGGGAGCATATTAGACAGCAATAATCGTCTGTCAAGGCAGCCTCTGGCGCTGCAAGGACCCTACCAAATCGCGGTGGGACCGTATGATTCGTACAGGACGATGGGGGCATGATCCCAATGCCCTCTTGTAGTTTCAAAAATTAATTAAATTCCTGCGGGGCGTCGTATGGCAGGACAGACCCGAAACTGAGCCATGACGGGAATAGCAATGGCGCTCGCTGTTCGGAATCAAATCCGAAGACAGCCCCAGTTACATTCGTTGCAGTCTTCCCGACCATACGACTTTTAAAGTTTAGACCACCCTAGCTGTCATTGATGTTTTGTTGTTTACTCCTGGTCACCTAGCTAGGTTGTGTCAACGAGCTAGTTATATAAAGCAGCACATGAGTAGTACTTTAAGAAATCTTATCACGGATAAGCGTCCTGTACCTTGGAAAAGAGGATCAATATGCACGGAGGGGCCCCTTTCCCGCCTCCATGTATAGTACATAAAAAGTGCGACAATATGCAATCAAAATTCGAGAACCGGACAGCAAAGCCGACATCACACAATACCTGTACCAGACTTTTAAATTTTATCCCTCTTGAAAAACCAAGACATGTCTGTAGCACCGTAGGGGTGGCCCTGTAAGGCACGAATCCCCCGGTAGGCCGGGCGGGTCATCGGGCAAGTGCATAATCTGCCTCTCTATACCCGGGCAACCATCCCAAGCCTTCGGTTCTCCGCTATATCGGAATTTGGGCAAGGAGTGAAGCTCGTCTCCTGAGCCACGGCGGTTCCCGCTAGTCTTGCGCTCAAGACCCCAGCTTCGCTTATTACGAAATGCCTCACTACGAACGGAGTACACGAATATAGATGGGTACAAGTATAAATATAGCAAGCTGCCCATCCAAATCACTGCCTTGTGCTGCATCAAACCAAGCACCAGCCTTCGCTCTATAAATCCATCTTTTTTGCAATAGGCTCACCGTTGAAATTACAATGTTGCACAAGGTTGCCATTAGACTAGCCATCGCATTGGCCGGTATTTCAGCAGCAGCAAGTATCGATAAGAGAATTATTGGCGGACAAGATGCCCAGGAAGGTGATTTTCCATTTATCGTTAGCATCAGGACACCAGGTCACGCATGCGGTGGCAGTTTGTTAGACAGTACTACTGTTCTTACTGCGGCTCATTGCATCCCCTCGGACTGGCAACGCAAGAATTTCCATGTTCGGGCAGGCACGCTGGTAAGTATGCTCTCGCTTTCCATGTCGTATATAAGATCAATCCCTTAGCTTCTAGTACATTCTAGCTGAGCTGGTACGAAGCTAATATCGGTGCAGGATCTCAAGAAGCCCGGAGTAGACGCAAAAGTGGCCTCTGCCAAGGTGCACCCTGATTATAAGTATCGCGGAAAGGAAGGAGAGCCGTACGCTGTTAACGATATTGGCATTATAAAATTATCAACTCCCCTCAAGGAAAGCGAAAAAATCGGCTATGCAAAGCTACCAGCAGACGGCTTTGACCCTATGGTCAACTCTACCGCAGTGGTTGCAGGCTGGTATGTGCTATTCAGCCTAGTACTTCTAAGAGCAAGATGCTAATAAACAGGCAAGGGGTGTTCAAGATGTTAGGCTTAATAGACTGGGCGATTCGGTTGAGAAGCTTGCCAAGGTCGTCATTCCTGTCCGCGAACGCGAGGACTGCTACAAGATTGATGAAACCGCGCGTGCTAGAGATACATTAGTATGCGCCGGCGGAGATGGGAAGAATGTTTGCAGAATGGATAGTGGCGGTCCCCTTGTTGACCGGGAGACGAAACTGCTTATTGGTCTTTTTTCGTACAGTATAAAACGCCCAGGAAAAGAGCAAAGGCTCTGTGACCAGAGTCCTTCGATATACACAAGAGTTGGTAGCTACATGGATTTCATTAATGGAAATCTTGGGTAGTCCTAGCTCTAGTTCTGGTTCTGGTCCCCATCCTGGTTCTTCGAACAAATGGTAGACCGGCTGCTCCAAAGCTCGATGACCCGAGGACTACGGAAGGAGCTCTATAGGGACTTTGGGGGTGAACGATGGGATTTCTTCTTCGTCCGAATCTATATATAACACCAAATCTGTGTAGCCTTTTCGTCATCGCTTCCTTTCCCGGGACCCTACCGCCTGTATCGCGCTTGACCTCTAGAGCAGAACATTTCATGGCTCCTCTGAGCTATTTGGTGTATCTTCCATATCCGCTTAAAGCTTTAACAGGGGAGTGCACAGGGCTTTGGTAGATAAACGTCGGTTGTAGTCTACATAAGAAAACCGTCGGTTGGAATAGACAAAGAAGACCACCAAAAAAATGAGCAAATATCAAATCAACATGGTATTAATTCGCGCTCTAATTGTGAGATGTTGTACAAGTAGTCTTGGAATCCAGTCCTTGATACGGTGTTCCTGGTCTTAAGTACTCCATTTTGACTGGGGGAGAAAAATCACGCTTGACAAATTGATAAACCCCATTTACCTTACCAAAGTTCAAGCCAGGTGCAGAACCTGCCTCCTGTCCGATGTACTACATGCCATCGTTTACTTGATAGGTTGAAAGCATTGCTTGGTGTTTCTCGATGGCACACTTGCTGAGCCGGCACAGCTCGGCTACCAGATTATCCATCTTGGTGAGGTACTCGGTCTCGTGAGAGGTGACCCTACGGATGGGCATGCTGCGAATAATCTGCGAAGTCTTGCCAAGAAGCTCCATGTCATGGACAGCGAGCGCGTGGCCCGGGTTTTGCAGAATGTTGAAAAACAGATTCATGAGCGCGGATAATGGGTAGAAGACGAAGAACCTGCTCAAAGTGTTAGAAACGCAACACCCCAATAATTTCCGCCATGGAAGTGCCTGTTGCAGTCTCGGATCTGCTACAGCAGTGGCAAAACACGGCATGGTCTCAACGTACCAGAATGCTTCTCCTGCAAGCCTGCTTGCCGACATACTCAAGTATACTATGGTCGACCTGCTCGCCTCGACGGACAGATCGAAGCTAGACTGCACACCGACTGAGATCTGTTGCGGATCGCTACTCCCTCTGGTGATGCAACGACTGCTCGCACAATGAATCGTGTTCAGTAAGAAGTGATAGTCCAGATGCAGCTCGATGAGGAGCATGTTGGTGGACATGCTTGTTACCCCCTCGAGTCTAGTGTCATATTCAAGGGAGAGATTGGGAGAAAATGCTTCGGGAATCGAGGTGCGCCACGTCTCCAGCTCTTCATCCAGCTCCCTGATTGTCTTGAGTAACTCGGCATCAGATTTTCGCAGGGATGCATGGGAGTAGAGCAACTGCACAGCCTTCGACTTCAGAATGCTGAGCCTCAAATCGCCGGGAAGCCATGGGTTCTGGATCTGACCCTGCTCTGTGGGGAGGAAGCGGCTCTGAGCGTATCCTTCGGGGAGAGTTAGATCGCAGAACTGATCAGGAATTGCTGGCGGTTGTCCGTTTCGTAAAGAAATTTCCTTGTCAAGCACGTAACAAAGCCAAAAGAGCCTGCGAAGATGACGGTCCTCATGCTCCTGAACGGTGAGATTCCGATCTGTGGGCGTCGATACCATGACTGTGTGTCCACCAAGGGTAAAGACTGTTCTGCAGGCAAGTGCGTGATACATGGAAGACGCTTGTAGGCGGCCACAAAGTGTCTCGTGTAGCAGCTATGACAGTCAGTTTTATTTATTTATTTTTTTGGTTTGTGGGGGTAAAAAGTCTCATATCCAGCCGTAGGCGGCCAAACTGATTTAAACACGCGTGCGTTTACATACCAGCATCAGGATTGTTTGCAGTGTAGTGATGCTCGAGTCCTCTATAATGTCGGAGAGCAAGATTTGCGCATCTCTGGCACATGAATCAATGTCAACATGTGATGCGCCATTCGCATTTGGACAATGAGAGCTAGCTAAGGAGACAAAGGCGAGGACGCAGGCTTTTGCAGTGATGCGCTCAAGCAGAGGTTCCATCTCGTCTGGACTGTATGCCAGCCGTGCCGTCTCTTCAAAGAGAACCGGGTTAATGAGAGGAAATACCAGGCTGAAATCTGAGTTTGTAAATGCAGACACGAGACTATGAAGAATCCATTTCTCTGGAAGGCCAGGTTGCTTTACCTGAGCCTGGACTGACACAAACGTCGGGACAAGATCAGACTCTGAGAAATGGGATCGAGGTGCACCGCCAGAATATAAGTGGCGAAACCTGGGTTCTTGGCCGGATCTTTCTCGTATCCATTGCTCACAATGGGGGGTCAGATGAGGGATACCGCTGCGAGGGCAAACGGCTCCAAAGTTTTGACCTCCAAAGTAGATGTTCCCAAGGGGAGCAATGCCAAGGCGTCTTTGAGTATTAGTAGCTGTAGAATCGCCCCGACAGAACGGGCAAGCCGGGTACGCCTTGAGCGTGGACACCGGCCCTGCAATGTTCAACAAGTGAGATTCCGATGGAGAGGACGATGACTGATGTTCTGAAGACTGGAAACCATCACAAAGAACTTGGCGGTGAGACGAGTCGTTGTCCCTTGGAAGGCTTTTCTGTCCTTCCAGGACACCCCCTTTCCTGGAACGGAATGAGCAGTTGCGGACATGGACTACAGCGGTATGTCGCAAAGAGACAGGAGACACTACTCTTACAGTTTTCTTTTGCGACCGCGGATCCGGTTAAATGTACAGGGAAGGCTGTGGTGTAAACACCAGTCGCATTGGGATCCCGCCTCGGATACATCACACTGTATCTGCAGACACCAATACCGCCGCGTTAGCTTGAACTAGCTCGGAAAGCAACCGATTCAAAGGCAAGACACTGGTGCTGCCACGAAACATGGGGTCTCGCACCTTGCGTTTATGGCACGAATCACAAGCCGGCCGTCGTTTGTTCGCCATGCCGGAGGACATGGCTGGCCCCTCTGGAGCCTATGTACAGTAACCGGAAGGAGGCTTTCTGTCTCCCAGGCTCACAGGATCAGAACCTGCAATCTGCACCGGCGGCACAATAAAGGACGTTGTCGCTTCATGGGCCGCGTCGACGCAACGCCGCTGACATTTCGCATCAGACACTCACCGTATCAACAGCCTGGGTAGTCGGGGTTGGCGGGCATCCGAACGCCGCAGCAGATAAGATACAGGCTGGTTTGAATCGCTGGCACGGGTACACAGGCTGACGACGAGGCCGTCGGAACGTTAAAGCGTTGACGCGATGCGAGAAATGCTGTTCCTCTCAAGGCCGAGTGGGCCGGTTTGCCGAGTTAGAGTCGAGCGCGAACCATGTCTGATTGGATCGGAATACGAAGTTCCGCTGACTAAGCGGCTCATGCTCGCCCGGCATTATGGCTATTGGCCGAATGTACTCGGCATGGAGCGGGGAATATCTGAACCATGCCCAAATCCTTCAACTCCGTATTATCAAACATGGAAGGCTTGCTTGCCGCAGTTACACTACCAAAAGTGGAGAACTCTGAACTCTCCTGGTTGTCAAGGCTCGCTGTCCCTCTTCATCACACGTGAAACTACCCGTTCGAAACAAAGTGGATGAGCCGCTTAAAGATAAACCCATGGGAAGACCACCACGCCTTTCAAGACAGCGGATTCGTCTCAACTTGACAGGGCGCCATCCCAGCAACTACCGTTTCGTCGTACCAAGCATGTGTCAATGTTCACCTGTCATGAATCGAAGCGCAAGGGTGATTGATGATGACGTGATTCTGCTCCCCGGCTGTCCAACCCAAATATTCTATTCCAGCGTGTGGAACAGCACTGACGAACGCCTCACTCATCCCTTTGACTATATTAAGGTGCCAGCGAAGTCTCTTACGGGGATAATACCCAATAAGAATTTAAAGGTAATTAAGTATATATATATATACACTTATTGATTATGCTAATAAAAGTACTATTAATTATCCACGGTATATTACTTGATGGTATTTCAGGGTTAAATACAGGTAGAGATACTCGATACGGGTATTCTAAAGTAGATACAAAGGCGACACCTTCACGCAGTCAAAAGGATGTGACGTGGCCAAATAGCGCCCCCAACACCGCTCTGTCCCCAACATGCTCGATGCACACTCAATTGACGTGACTAAGCGGCAACATTGGATGGACAAGAAGAATTGTCCGAAAGCGAAAAATATGGAGAACAAAAGATCCACTTGGCGGCCGCCGAAATCCCTGCGGCATCTGGAGGTAAGACAAATGAAAGCCCGATTGGGCGACGTTTCCATGCCAGATAAGATTCAGACCGTCGTACTCGATGCAATTAGTGCGTGTACAACCTTGGTTCGCCTGGCCAGTGTGGATATGGTGAGAAAAAAAAAGAATTGATTCCTAATCTCGGACGAATCTGAAATACCGAGCCGGAGCTGATAGGTGATGCCTCGATTCCGTGCCCATCGAGATACAAATATAGCCCGGGGCCAATATTAATATTCCTAGAGTGCCTTGTGACTTTGGGTTGGAATTTCTTCTTTGTCGGGCGCCGGGGTGTTGTCTCACATGTCGGTTCTAGTCTGACAACCGCCAACATCATCACCACCATGTCCGCAGACGATGCCAAGACTCTCGCCAACGATGGCTTTTCTGAGGGAGATGATAAGGCCTTGCCCACTATGCAAGAATGGGCCCTGAAGCCCGATGTTGTCAAATTCCACGAGAGAGATCAAGCCTCCGGCTTCCCACGCCGTGAACTCGGCGTCACCTGGACGGATCTGACGGTCAAGGCAAGAAGCGCCGAGTCGGCTCTGCACGAAAATGTCGTGTCACAATTCAACATTCCCAGAATCATCCGCGACTCTCGACGCGAGACGCCTCTCAAAACAATATTGGACGCTTCGCATGGCTGTGTAAAGCCGGGTGAGATGTTGCTCGTCCTCGGCCGCCCCGGATCCGGATGCACCACATTGCTCAACCTCCTGACCAACAAACGAAGGGGCTACGAGCATATATCCGGAGACGTCTTCTACGGATCCATGAAGGCCAGTGATGCAAAAAAGTATAGAGGCCAGATTATCATGAACACAGAAGAGGAAGTCTTCTTCCCTACACTCTCCGTGGGCCAATGCATGGACTTTGCAACCCGGCTCAAAACACCATTCCAGCTGCCCAACGGGGTAAGCAGCAAGGAGGAATACCGTACCGAGACCAAGGATTTCCTATTAAAGTCCATGGGCATCGAGCACACATTCGACACAAAGGTTGGCGATGCATATGTGCGTGGCGTTTCCGGTGGTGAGAGAAAGCGCGTTTCCATCATCGAGTGCCTTGCCTCCAGGGGGAGCGTGTTTTGCTGGGACAATTCGACCAGAGGCCTGGATGCCAGCACGTAAGTAGAGTCCCTCCCGTTTGGGCGTCTCGGCCAGCTAACGCTCGTGTGCTCTCCAGTGCTCTAGAATATACCAAGGCGATTCGTGCCATGACAGACGTCCTCGGCCTCGCATCCATTGTCACCCTGTACCAGGCCGGCAACGGCATTTACAACCTCTTTGACAAGGTGTTGGTCCTGGACGAAGGCAAGGAGATCTACTACGGACCAATGAGCGAGGCACGGCCTTTTATGGAGGACCTGGGCTTCATCTGCGACGACGGCGCCAATGTTGCCGACTTCTTGACCGGAGTCACCGTCCCAACCGAGCGCAAGATCCGCGATGACATGCGCCACAAGTTTCCCCGGACGGCGGCCGACATCCGCGCTCGGTATGAAGAGACGCAAATCTACCGCCGGATGCAAGCCGAGTACGACTTTCCCGCTTCCGCCACCGCAAAGGAGAAGACGGAGCTGTTTCACCAGGCAATCCACATGAACAAGGAAAAGGGGCTGCCCAAGAACAGTCCCATGACGGTTGGCTTTGTTCAGCAGGTCAGGGCCTGCATTATCCGGCAGTACCAGATCCTCTGGGGAGACAAGGCCACGTTCATAATCAAGCAGGTCTCTACCATTGTACAGGCTCTCATCGCCGGATCCTTGTTTTACAACGCGCCGTCAACCTCGGCGGGCTTGTTCATCAAGTCGGGCGCGTGTTTCTTTGCCTTGCTATTCAACAGTCTATTGTCCATGTCGGAGGTTACCGAGTCGTTTGTCGGGCGGCCGGTTCTTCTCAAGCACAAGGCCTTTGCATTCTTTCACCCTGCGGCCTTTTGTATTGCGCAGATTGCCGCCGATGTGCCCGTCATTCTCTTCCAGGTCTCCGTCTTCTCCTTGATCCTGTACTTTATGGTTGGTCTGACCATGGACGCTGGCATCTTTTTCACTTTCTGGATTATTGTGGTTGCAACTACCTTTGTAAGTGTTCCTTCAACAAAACAAAATTATCCGCGACGCTCAAATTCACTAACGGTTCTTGTTTTTCAAGTGCATGACAGCCTTGTTCAGATCCATCGGCGCCGCGTTCAGCACGTTTGATGCGGCCTCAAAGGTTTCCGGGCTCCTCATCAGCGCGTGCTTCATGTACACGGGATACATGATTCAGAAGCCACAAATGCACCCCTGGTTCGTGTGGCTCTTCTGGATCGATCCTCTGGCATATGCATTCGACGCTCTCCTGTCAAACGAATTTCACGGGAAAAGGATTGATTGCGTCGCCAACAACCTCATCCCGAGCGGCCCCGGCTTCACCAGTAGCGAGCATCAAGCGTGCGCTGGCGTCGGCGGAGCTGTCCCCGGCCAGACTTTTGTGGATGGCGACGCTTACCTCGCATCACTGTCATATAGCCATGCCCACATGTGGCGAAACTTTGGCATCGTCTGGGCGTGGTGGGCGCTCTACGTCTTCATCACCATCGTGGCCACGAGCCGGTGGCGCTCATCCTCAGAAGCTGGCCCGAGTCTCTTCATCCCCAGAGACACTGCCAAGGCGTACAAGGCCGGCCAGAAAAAGAGAGAAAAAGATGAGGAGGGCCAGAGAGGAGTCTCAGACGCCGTTGTCTCTAGCGCATCCTCGGGCAACTTCATGAGCGACGAAAGAACAGAGGCAGGAGAGGAGGCGCCGGCCAATCTTGTGCGGAATACTTCCGTCTTTACTTGGAAGAACCTGTCATATACCGTCAAAACGCCACCTGGCGATCGACTCCTTTTGGACAATGTGCAGGGCTGGGTCAAACCCGGAAACCTCACCGCTCTGATGGGCTCCTCTGGGGCGGGAAAGACGACGCTGCTGGATGTCTTGGCCCAGAGGAAGACGGAGGGGACGATCCATGGATCCATCTTGGTCGACGGAAGACCACTTCCGGTATCCTTTCAGCGGTCTGCGGGCTACTGCGAACAGCTCGATGTGCACGAATCCCACGCGACTGTCCGTGAGGCGCTGCAGTTTTCTGCTCTGCTTCGACAGAGCCGCGAGACTCCGCGAAGAGAGAAACTTGCCTACGTGGACACCATCATCGACCTCCTCGAGCTTCATGACTTGGCAGACACACTCATCGGTGAGGTCGGCGCGGGCTTGAGCGTCGAGCAGCGAAAGCGCGTGACTATTGGTGTCGAGCTTGTCGCCAAGCCTAGTATCCTGCTCTTCTTGGACGAGCCTACATCCGGCCTCGACGGACAATCTGCGTATCACACGGTTCGTTTCCTGCGTAAGCTAGCCGCGGTCGGTCAGGCGGTGCTGGTCACGATCCATCAGCCTTCTGCACAGCTCTTTGCCCAGTTCGACACGCTCTTGCTTCTTGCCAAGGGCGGCAAAACCGTCTATTTTGGCGACATTGGCGAGCAAGCCTCTGTTATCAAGGAGTATTTCGGCCGATATGGCGCCCCCTGCCCTCCCGGGGCCAACCCGGCCGAACACATGATTGACGTCGTCTCTGGCGTGCTCTCTCAGGGCAAGAACTGGAGCGACATATGGCTTGCCTCGCCAGAATACGAAAAGATGACGGCCGAGTTGGACGAGATTGTTGAGCGTGCTGCCGCGTCTCCCCCCGGAACCGTCGACGACGGCCACGAGTTTGCCACGCCCATGTGGGAGCAGATCAAGTTGGTGACGCACCGAATGAACGTATCGCTATACCGCAACACCGACTACGTGAATAACAAGTTCGCATTGCACATCTTCTCCGCTCTCTTTAACGGCTTCTCCTTTTGGATGACGGGCGACTCTGTGGGCGACCTGCAACTGAAGCTCTTCACCATCTTCAACTTCATCTTCGTGGCCCCGGGCGTCTTGGCCCAGCTGCAGCCGCTCTTTATCCACCGCCGTGGCATCTTTGAGGCTCGCGAGAAGAAATCCAAAATGTATTCGTGGGTGGCCTTTGTCACCGGCCTGATTGTTTCCGAAGTGCCGTACCTCGTCATCTGCGGCGTGCTGTACTTTGTATGCTGGTACTACACCGTCGGCTTCCCGGCGAGCTCTGAGCGCGCCGGCGCGACCTTCTTCGTCATTCTCATGTACGAATTCTTGTACACGGGCATGGGACAATTCATTGCCGCCTACGCTCCGAACGAGGTCTCCGCCACGCTGGTGAATCCGCTCATTCTCGGAACTCTCGTCTCGTTCTGCGGCGTCTTGGTGCCGTATTCGCAGATCCAGCCCTTTTGGAGGTACTGGATGTACTACCTCAATCCTTTCAACTATCTCATGGGCAGCTTGCTGGTGTTTGATCTCTGGGGGAGCAAGGTTACTTGCTCGCCGAGGGAGCTCGCCACCTTTGACCCAGCCAACGGGACGACTTGCGGAGAGTACCTCAAAGATTACCTCGCACAGGGAGCAGGTAGCGTTGCTAACCTTCTCAATCCGGAAGCAACGGCTTCTTGCAAAGTATGTTCGTATACCGAGGCACAGGATTACCTGAGGACGCTCAACTTGAAGGAATACTATTACGGGTGGCGAGATGCGGCTATTGTAGTCCTCATGGTGTTTAGCTCGTATGCCTTGGTGTACGCCTTGATGAAGCTGAGGACAAAGACTTCAAAAAAGGCAGAGTAGCCCGGTTTTTGCGTGTTCGTGAGCAGCAGCGCAGTTTTTGTGTAGAAATATTGTGGCACACTATCGCTGACTTTTTTTTTCCCTTCAATTTCCAAGTTACACAATCAGAGCTAGCTTAACTGCATACTTTAGAAAACATAGATTTTTAGTGTACTAATCGCGAAGGCGCTACTAGATAATTAGAAAGTAGATTTCCCAAAAAAAATTGGCTTTAATGGGACTGGAGCTTTGCCATTTAACCTTAGCCATTGTGCCGTAAGTGACTGTCGACTGACTCTGCTTGGCCGAACAGCAGCAGCCATCGGCAGTCTACGTTAGTGACCCAAATGACTGGTTGGAGTAGCGGGCAGAAAAGAACAGAATGCCTTGTAGTGATCAGACTGACTTCTTTTATGTCTTTCAGGGTAGATATATTGCCAAATACGCCATTGAATACAACTACATAGGAACAAGCCTGCGTTGAGCTCGAGGTTAAGACACGACTAGTCGGAATGCCTCATTGGACCGCCCGGGTCTTTTCTGTTGACCAAAACTCGAGAAAGTAACAAGCAGCTTCTAGCTGTTAGACCAGGAAGCGGGCATGCACCAAGAGCATCAATACAAGTCTCCGACTTATATGCAACTTGATGGCACAACGGCAGTCTCTCATCGATGTAAACTGGCCACATCATACATGTCTTTGGGCTTACCGAGCATCTCGTCACCGACAGGCGTGGCATTGATCAACAACTAGAGTCTTCAACTTCAGCCCTTGCGTATTCCGAAGTGCACCATTTTTTTTTTGTCGGTACCGTCACCATGGACTCAGGTCTGCCCAAAACCATCACCCCCCTGCCAGAAGTTAGGTCGATTCAAAGTCCGCCCCGAAGGGTTCCGACCGCTATCGTCCCTTTCTAGCTGGGATTACGAAGATGAGTCCCGAATCAAGAGATTGTTCAAAGCCATTTGATTGGACTTTCCCCACTGAATCCTGACAAGTGCTTCAGAGTTGAACCCGTCTGGAACGACAACAAGGACGCTGACGTGGTCTTATCCAGCAGTTGGGAGGAGTTTCGCTGCCAAGTTCGTCAGAGGGAACCATTCTATCAATGCAGGCGCAGTATCTCGTAGTGCCGCGTTGTTCTTGGTCCGCCGCGAGGGGCGAAACATTCCCGTCCTTCGCAAGGGCAGTTTAGGGCCTAGGCAAGGGAGAAACGCAGGGGTTTCCTTTTGCCGCTCGGGTGCTTCGAGGACCACCAAGACCCGCCTATGCACTTAACTCGCTATGACCGAAACCCGCAGCGAAGAACATATGACGGTGAGTTTGCATTGCGGAATTCCCCAATTTATTTCTGCCTTACTGTACAGTATATTGCCCGACAACTCGGATATGAGACAGCGCTAGAAATGACATGAAGGGCGTCTGGGACTGAGGCCCCCAAACGCTGTAGTTCAAGTTAGTTAAAGCTGCAACCTCGCGCAACCACCAGTCAAAGTACATCAATAGACGGCCACCAGGGTGGTAAATGACTTGGAATAAAGCACTGTTCTCGCGTACTCTGGCACAGTCGTTCCATTCTTGGAGGCTGGTTCGGAGGCCAAGACCAAGCCATGCCAGCCACTCCCGTCCGCGCGACTCAAAACTCACCGTTACGCACTGATATCGCAAGGCGTTTTCAGCCCCCTTCAACGCAGCTCTCAGCCAACTTCGTCCGAACTCTTAGCGTAGAGTCTTTCAATGCCAGGAAATTCCCCATCCTATTATTACTCTCGCGTCCCCTATCGGATTAGTCGGGGGCAGACGATCAAATCACGGCAGCAAAGGTAGAATATCCCAAATTGATCGGTATAAAAAAAAATCTTGTTCTCGTCACGACTTGGCCTGCTAAAAAGTATATATACAAGGGTCAAATAGTTGAAACGCAACCTGCCAGAGGTGGCCAACTACATGCATGCATGAACCGAACCGACCCGATTCCATAAAAGCAAAAATAGAAAGATAAAGACTCTCCCATTGTTCTCAAACGCCATGGTCTAAACTCTTTTTGGGATGTAAATTTGAGCCACCCAGTGTATACATAATTTGAAGTAGAAGCTGTACACATACTCGCCAACCAACCTGCCACGGGGCTCTTCACCTCCTCGCAGCTATCTCCGAGGATTGGAACTAATGGATACGTCTGGTCCGTCACCACCAAAAGCCGTGCCACATGCACAAGTATTGTGCGGGGGCGCTTCCAGGGCCTTGTGGAGAGGGATAACTTACACCACCGCGGTTTGGACTGCCCAACTGGGGCTATGATGCTCTTTTGAGAGGACAAGGGCTCACTGATTGGTACCAGCCGACGAGCCGGTTAGCAATGTCGGTCGCATAGCAGGGCGTGGCGCTGTTTCCATTCTCCAGGAGCCCGGAAGCCGCGATGCTCCCCGAGTTATACATGCGGGATGCCTTGTAGACCCGGCTTGCGCCGGTGCCTGACTTGGCCAACAACTGCTTGAGTCCGTCACCAGTAGGTGTGCCAAGGGTGCCGTCTTTGATCATGCCTTCGATTTCGTCCTTGGGGCACGGGGTCTTTCCAGCGCACGAATGTGGACCTTCGTGCGACTGCATCAGGCCTGGGTTCGCGAGACCGTTCGCAGTAGACCCGACGCGGACACAGCCATTCGACTCCTGCATGACAGTGGCGAGGACGAAGCGAGGGTCAACTTCGCCGGACTGGGCGACTGACTGGATGGCCGACTTCAGGTCGGCCACCTCCTGTTCCGAGTTTAAGGGCTGGTTGAACTGGCCACAAGATGACTTGATCGCGGGGAGGTTCACGGACCACAAGGCGTCAAAAGACAGCCACTGCGACTCTTCGGGCCAGCCCTGGGCAGGACTGCCGTCGCCGAGGAAAAGCTTGTAAGGGACAGAGCCGCTGGGGGCAGGTGCTGAGCCCGAGGACGGGGCTGGGCCCGAGGATGGCGCGGGAGCCGGAGCCGACGATGGAACAGGAGCTAGAGCCGACGATGGAATAGGAGCTGGACCTGACGACGGTACGGGAGCTGGACCTGATGGCACCGGGGCGGTAGCCGACGATGGCATCGAAGTCGGTGCCGGGGCTGCCACGGGCGAGCTGGGGATGGGAGAATCGGGAGCAGGGGGGGCACTGGTTAAGACGGCTTCAGATGTCGCGGGTGCCGGTGCTGAGGAGTTCTCGGGGACGGAAGCTGAAGCTGTCGGTGAGGCACCAGAGGCACCGGCACTTCCAGAAGCTCCATCCATGGCCTTGATGGAACACTCGGAGCCAGAGCAGATACACTGAGTTCCTTCCGAAACCTTCATCCAGTCAGGCGTGCTGTCTGCCGCGACGCAGAGGGCAAACTGGGTGGTGCCATTGCACATCAGGGCGCCCGGGGTGCAAGCCCGAGCCCAGAGACGATCCGAGACAGGATACGCCGCCACCGTAGCGAGGAGACCGGCCAGGGTCGCCAAAGTAGTCGTCTTCATCTTGATCTCGGTAAAGGATTGTTGATATTTCAGAAACGAACAAATAGACAAGAGCTCTCCAGAGAGCAGCTACGTCCGTGTCTTTGACAAGCTGAGCAAGAGCGACAATTATGTCTCCAAGGAGCTCTCTAGACTCGAGGGCATCTTGGAGAAGGGTGGCCTGGCCCCGTCTAAGCGTGATGAGATTCAGAGCAAGACCAATGTTCTACGCCGCTTCGCCGAGAAGGCCGCCGACAAGGCTGAGGAGCTCAAGGATGAGCTGTAAATGATGGATATACCGACTGGACCATGAATTGTGGCCAAATAGAGGACATGTTGGGAGCATAGGCTCGAGGACATTTTACGTCATATGTGCAACGAAAGTAAAGTAGTACACGCCAGCAGACTTGACTGGTACATAGAGATGGAATAGTCAAAAGGTTATCGTACAAAGTTAAAAAAAAAAAAAAAAAAAAAAAAAAAAAAAAAAGGATTGGAAAACGGTTTGACGCCGCGCTGCAGTCAGGCAAGGGAATGTGTACGACTATAAAAGTCGTCCTGTCGAAAGGGAGCGTAAGCAAAGGCAGCGGCCTGCGCAAAGCGTTTGAAAGAGAGGGAATGACGATGGAGACAGAACTCCGGCACCGTACAAAGAAGCAGCAAACCTGACGATTTCGACGTGTTCGGGACGTCAGGACAAACATCCCGGGTCGGACATTGTGCTTTATATCATGCACAAAACGCAAGACAAACGGTGCCCCTTTTTTTTAGCCCTCGGCGTTGAACCCGTTCCACAGCCCAGTCCACCATCCCGACAAGATCTTTGGCCTGAAACCTTGGAATCCTCTTTCGCGGAGCCCTCGGGGCAAACTAGATGCCCTTTTGGATAAGAGCGTAACCGATTCAACCAATTGCTCGCCGTGCCTTGCGGCCGGTTCCCCAAGACCCCGGCTCGGTCGGCCGGGGACTGTGCGCCACCGCCAATCCGTTGGACGACAAGTCAAGTGTTTGACCAATTGCAAATGGGCAGCATAACGCTGATGATGCGGGACTATCCATCTAGACGGACAAGGGAAGAGCACATATAGATCCATACAGAGCTAGTGAGCGAGTGAATGGTGTTGTCACTGGCTGCGCGCAATGCCGTAAACCTGGTCCTGGGCGGCGAGTGGCGTTTCTGGCCCGTTCTATGTACTCCCTTGCAGATGGAAAGGGAAAAAAAAAAAAAGGGCGGCGCAGGAAAAAGCATGCAATAATCGCCAGTTCACGAGAGCTTCTTTACCCGATGACGTTCTGGTCGTTCGCCTGAGTAAGTATGGCCTGTTCGGCAAATACCTCTCTGCCCTCTTCATCCTTGGTCATCAACACTCTTCAGCTCGCTCTTTGCCATTCGGGCTTGTTTCATGCGCTGCAGGCACTTATATCACATCGTTCCATCGCTATGTGCTCTGCTGCAGGCAATTGTTCGGAGCGGGTCACGTGCACTCCCTCTCGACGTTAAAGACAGGCATTGTCTCCAGCATCTTTCTCCTTCTTGCCACCGCGTGACCTAGCCCTTTGAAATGGATGATTGTTTCATGCATGCGAGCGGTTGTGTGACTGTCGTACCACGTCTCTTTCCTCTGCCACCATCCATCACATGACGGTGGTTGCCTGCCCAGGTACCTCGGGCATATGTAGTGCTTCTTACCCGGTACATCAAAGGCAAGCATCGCATCTATTGTCCCCCAGGCATCCTTGGTCTGTTGAATGGCAATGGGCGGAGCTGTGGTGAACATTGAAGGCGTCTGGTGGCGATGCGCGAAACGTAGCACGTGCTGAGACGGAACCTCTAGCTTTGCTTCTTCATAGAGTGGCCAGGTCGCTTTGCCACCACATTTGCACAAAAGCCTCTCCTGTAATGGGTCTGGGAGGCCATCAACTTGTATAATTAATCAGAGAGCTGGAGCCAGTTCATACCTCATCTTGTGTAGTGATGCACGAGGTCGGCCCGAAAGAAGGCGCTTCCATATACTTGCTCCAAAAGGCTCAAAGTTGGCGACTTCAAATTTCAGCATTATGCAGCTTTGGTCACACCTGTCGCAAGGGCTTACTTTGAAAGCTAGCTCTTTGCATTTGATGCGTGTCTCACGATGCGAGTTTTTGTGTGACTGTAGCACTATCTGTCTTTTCTCTGCCGCAACCTTCCGCAATATAGACTTCTAGGTAGCACGGGGGAATGCATGCAATCAAATACTCGAGGCTACCCTACACGACTGGACAGAAGCGAGGAAAATGCCAATGGGAAACAAATGTGGAAAGGGGATCCTAGATGGTCCGACAGCGCTTTGAACGGTGACGCGTCACGACACATAATGCAATCGCATCGCTGGCCCGTAAGGCTGAAACCAGCCACTCGTCACCTAATCGGGCGCAATGGCTTTGGCCTCGTATTTGCTTTTGCCCGAATCGCCTGATGGCTCCTCTTCGCATCGGCACTTGAACGAACGGCTATCTCTTCGCATGCCTTCGCAAAGTTCAAGGCCAATGAAAGCTACCGTGGAAGGCGCATCAAGCTCTTCACTCGCAATTTCACCTTGACATACGAGTTGCCAGACTCTCAAATTTAAAAGGCTGCAAGTGAATGCCCAGAGAGACCTGAGAGCATTCACATCCATGTTGGCGCATGAAAATAGGTGGATCTCCTCCACCTCGTATTCTAGAATCTCACCAAGCGAAGCATAATTGCAGAGGCAGCCCGTATGTTGTGAGCTTTCATCATGCGTACGGGACTCGTTTTCGCCACCTAGCAACTATCCCGTTGAAATACAGTAAGAAAAGGTTTGCGGCCGGATCAATTTTCTCCTTCTGCTGCAAGCGCCAAATTCGCTTGAGAATCTTGCTTGCTGCAATAGCTGATGCTCGCAGTTAATCGTCTATTAGTGCATCTTGTGCCTGCCCAAGAAGTTTTTCCACGGAAGCAGCCCGGTACATTTTGCTGATGGTATCAACGCAAGATATTGTTGCGAAAAATGCATGACACATGGGGCAGATGTTCATCAACATGAAGGACGAGCGGGAAATTCCACATTGATATAATGCATAGAGTCACGAGTGGACGTTGCTAATAAGACAAAACTAAATTTGTTTAGTGCTTGCAAAAACTGGTGTTCCTTGATCGTAACGTGTTGTCTGCAGGGTCAAGTAGAACCTGCACTACCTGTGAGACCTTGGTACTTATATATGTATAAATATGTATATTCGCCATTATTTTGACGCCAAAGTCATCATATCGCATTTATGGCAGGCGTAAGAGACCAGCGGCTATTGGAGTCACCAACCATGTCGCATTGACGCCCTGTCTCTTCGCCACTAATTTTGACCTCGATCGACCGCAATGCAACTTCTGCCCTATGTACATGTACGGAGTTGAAGAGGCACATGATATTCGAGTACTTTGTGAAGAGGGACTTATCCCCATTTTCATAAAATTCCATGAGCAGGGGAACTGAATTCTCTGCATCGGCCATTGCTATAATCGCGAGTCCTTGGTACCTTGAATTGAAGAACATAGGTACTTATCGTGCAATGATTTTTTGTGTGTGATGGACCTTGTTGTTGTTTCTCCTCCTGCTTTTAATTTTCTAGACCAGGACTCAAATATGGATATCTTAATAAGTCTACCCTCATAAGTCTATATAGATGAGTCTATCTTCATATCTGATCCCATAACATCTAACCCGACAATATCGTTTATAGCAAGAATGAATTCGCTAGTTCGACTGTAAATTGTATTAAGAATGTAGCTAGAAGTAGAGGGTTTGTAGGACCTCGTTGGTATATGCCATGCTGTGCGTGAAACCGATATAATGCAAAGGTAGAGCCCATCTTCAAAAGCGATATGGCATGGCGTGATGAAAAATTCGCCAATTGTCAAGCCTTTTCAGTGGCGATTCGTACGAATGCTATTGATGATTTTAGCCATTCATGCAATGACAACTAAGAGGCTACCACTCTACTTGCTTTACTCGTGTCACACGGTCAGGCCACAATAAAGGTGTTGGGCCAATAACGGTTACACAACAACAAAGAAAGTGTCACGAGGCCCGAGGTCAGACTATAAGCGAGGGCTGCCTCAGGCCTCTAGCACACACCGACTCCTTATAGATATAAAGACCTCTGGTCCCTTAACGCCTCTTAAAACCCAAGGACCTTTGATATCTTAAAGCCGATTTTGAAAGATTGAATTGAAATCCTTATATTCCAAGACCAGTTATCCTGCCCTTGTTATTAGCCGGTTTAACATATTTCTCGATCAGTACTGCTGAATTTTCCCTTGGTCCCTTGGGCGTTTGATGATCTTAGTAGTAGGACGATTGTTCAAAGCACAAGAGAAGTAAACCAGCCAACTTCCTCTTATTTCATGCACACCATTTAGGCACCGATTTTCTCGCATTTCTGGCACGATAGCTTCAATGAGTCATGCCGTGGTCTTCCAACAATAGAAAATATTGGGCGAGCTCATCGCCATATGCGCGATAGAGACTCCTCCGTCTAGTCCGTCTCAGAACCGGGATCAGATAAATTTACATCGACCCGTACAGCACCGAACCTGCGGTTTGACAATCCGCAGGAAAACCATCTGACATCGATAGGAAAAAGAAAACGTATGTCCAGTTGGGAATCCCACACAGCTGCCTCGAAAATGGGCCGAAAGCATATGTGCAAGACGTGTATTCTTCATTACCATTATGAAAATATACAAGATAGTGGTTCGCTGGTAAATACTTCGGTCAATCAAAAGAGCACTACGTTACGTAACATTGCCAGCTGAAATATCAATGGACAGGTAAAGCTTGCCGCTACGTAATTGATCAAACAAAACTCCTATCTCACCGCGTCCGGCATGCAGATGGTAGGGTTACACAAACAGCCCCCATATTGGAATCAAGCCAACAGCTGCCTTTGTGTCAGCAACTTCATGCAGACGATAGGAAATGGGGACAAAGATCTGTCAAGAAGGATTTTTTCTAATAAATGCCGCGCTTGATGCGGCTCGTCTTGTAGCTGATGAGCGGACATTTTGACCTCAATCCTCGAACTGGTATCCCATTCAAGGCTCATAGTCAGCTAGAGCGACAGAAGCGCGGCTGACTCGCCAGCACAAGTATCATGGCAATGGAGGAGCCTCGAGAAGACATCTCCTACGATACCACCCCCGCCGTTACACGCGATGGGCGCACAAGATACACTACGATCCTCCTGGGCGCCCAGACAACCGCCCTCCTAAGCTCGGTACCGCAGACACCTGGAGCACCTGAGCAAACGACGGCCACAAACGAAGTTCCGATGCCCACTACCGGTGCAGGCGACACGGCTGTGACCGCGCTCATTGTTTTTGGCGTCGTTCTCGCCGTTGCCCTGATTCTGGCGCTACTATGGTGGTGCAGCTTGCCTCGGCGACGACGGCCCCCGAGTAGAACTACCTCGACATCAGGCGGCGGTGCTCCCAGGAGAGTAAGAATTATTGTGGACGACTATCCACCATATCGACCATATCCAACACGTCCTTCAGCTTCCCCAAACCCTCCTGTATCGCCTCCAGGATCCATGGGTCATGAGGGGTCTGACAGGATTGGCAGAATCTATGATCCTCACTAGAACGGCTGAGATTTCTTGAGATTTGTGTGACGACAGATTTTTCTTCATGGGGTTGGGTGATCTAAGCAAGGAGGAGCAGCATTCACAGTCGCTTGAATAGTCCCACGACCTGCCTTGCTACCTTGCCTTGGTTCTGTTACCAATATAAAAAGGTGCTTGAGCTGAGCACCTTGGCACTAAATATGTTCGTTGACATCCATTGCCTTCAAGTTCCTCGTTTGGTACTGTATACATTTTTTGTATCGCGCCATTCATCACCCCATCTCATATCAACTTACCGCCACTCTCGTAATTCTGCTCTTTCAACTACGGCGTCTGGTCCCGTAGAAGCACATAGTAGTCCGAAATTCGACAATTATCTAAAACGCTTCGTCCTAAAAAGTCTTACTCTATCTTTGCACACCGTCCGGGCGGGCGGACTAAGCGTCTGGTCCGTATGCCGAGCTAGAAGTCGATGACTATAGTTCAATTGCACTAGACCATGATTCCGAGCGTCTTCTCTGCAGCGAACCAAGACGTCCAACTGTAGCCCGTGGAGTTCCCTCCTGGTCTTCTGGTGAGGTGCCACCTCGCTCTTGGCCTCGCCGATAATGCTTACGCGAAGAGTTGTGACTCTTTCGTGCTGCCTTTGAGCGTCTGTGATATGAATCGTCGCTTAAAAGCGGTGAAGGGCTGTTCCTTTGACTGTAGCCTTTGCGCTACGCGGGAGGGCATGACGGAAGCGAGGTTCTCCTATATTATTATGATTTTGATTCTGAAGCTCTAGAAACCAAGCTCTGAGCTCGTGGGTCACGGACTTTTTCGACATGGCTCTCTTGATGGGCTTCCTGATAAAGTCTTCGAACCGAGAGGGGTCCGTTCGTCCCGTTTCTAGGCCCTTGTTTTGGCTGTCTTGACGTCCCCTGACGGGCGACGGGGCAGTATTGCCTGTCCGGGGAGCAGCACTGCATGCGGGCAAAGATGGCTCATGCGGTGCTTTATCTACGGAACAAGGCGATGACAGTTTTTGGTATTCTAGTTCATGTCGGAATTTAATCTGTCTTGATTCCGCTGGGCTGCCAGAAGCCTCTCCGCCGCTTTCGCATACTTGGGAGTCGCTAAACATCTCCGACTTGAAGCCATCAAGTTCCAATTCGCTGTTATCTCGAGCTGATGAATTGGCTCACAGCCCCCGCTGGCCATTCCTCATAGGATTCCACGCTTCGCCGACAGCAGACTCTTAGGCAGTGCAAAGTCTTGGCCACACATAAAATAGTGAGGCAAATTTGTCTCTCATGACAACCACAGGCCGTTGACAAGAGAACAAAGATTAGGTGGACAGCCATACCACGCCGCCAAGAGTATCCCTGCCCAGCACCGGAGGGGTAATCTGATGCATGGACGGATCGAGTCGAAAAACTCTTAAGTAATCAGTAAGACATTGCCATGCAGTGTCACTACCATCAGCATCTGCTTCATATGATGTGTCAAATCCAGCCTGGCACGATGTCTAGGGGCTAGCCCAGAATAAGGGTGCCAACGACTAATGCCGACTGACCAACACCACGTTTCTCACCGGTTTGGCAGGGCATGCCGATGGGTGGTCAGCTTCGACAACATCTTCAGCCGCAGGACCACCGGGGCCGCACTTTCTGGAGATTTTTATTCATATGTTGTCGAAGGGTCCCCAGTAGAGATTTGCCTCTGTTTGTGCTCACGTTTACGCCCATTGATAAGTATATGACTTCTAAACCCTGATATGCCCTGCGAGTTCCCTACGATGGATAGGAGCTCAGGTGTCAACGATGCCAGTGAAGTCAAAGAGAAACCGATGAAATTTCTGATAGAACTAGATTTTGGTAGGCTTGCCATGGCATAGCACTCTTAGTGGAAGTTTAAATGGAGTGCTGACAGGCCATAGGCACCACCTTTTCTAGTGTAGCCTCTACACTTGTCAACGCCGGGGAGGTACGGCCCCGGTCAAGGAAGCAAGCAAAGTCCAAGCAAATCGTGACTCGACGGACAGCCTCAGAAAGAGAGTCTTTTCACGGAATGGGGAGAGGGACTTTCTGGCGATAAAGTGCCAAGGTGCGTTGCTCCATCCACGTCCTCAGCATTGACTTGGAACATCATGAGTAATTCTATTGCAGAATCCTCAGATACGAAAATGGGGACACTATTAGTTCCTGCTACTGGGGCTTCGAAGCTGAGAAAATGAGCTACCCGGAGGAGAAAATCCATGAATGCTTCAAACTCGGCCTCTGTCCAGAAATTGAGCCTTCTCCTGCCCTCGGTTCTGAAAAAGTACCCAGGTAAGACGGCTCTACGTCCACTGGACTCTGATCAATGCTAGAAACTGCTCATCAGATATCTTGGGGGTGAAATCTGCAATTGATCGGCTGTACAGCGAGTGGGAGAGATCTATGTGCCTCGAGAATAGATTATCACTACCTGCAATGTGGAGCTACGGAGCACGAGAAACAACGCGCGAATGCGCAGTAGAACCATTTCCAGGAGATCCGAGTAAGAAGGACGAGCTTTCCACGATTGCTAAGCCTGAGGGAGCGGAGCTATTTGCTCTATCCAATATGCTTGGCATCGGCTTCGAGGCTGGCGACACGTTTGTGATCTGTGATGCTAGTGGCGGGTATGTAAGTTCCTTTGAGACAGAGAAATTGGTTTCTAATAAAAGAATAAGCACTGTTGACTTGTCTTTGTAATGCAGAGTTTTGAAAATACAATGATGTTGCGTTTGATGTTTATATGATATTGAACTCTGCAGAGCTGACTTTCGTGCTTGGTCGAGGTGCGGAAAGATATAAGCCGGCAAAGGTAACTGTGTATGAGACTGAATGTTTGTAAATTTTACTGACCAAGCCATATTGCACGGGGTGGATATGAGTTCATACATAACTATCTAGCTCTTACTTACCATATAATTACCACCTCTTAGTTATAATACTTGTCTTATGTGTTCTTATCTGTAATATAACACCAAGGTGTTGGGTTGAGCTTTGTAGCCCACTCATTGACCCTTTTACGTCGATGTTGATGAAGCCATTTACATTGCTTACAACGCATCTCCACTTGCCATTTGAAACCTTCGTTCAAAACCATCCCTTATTGGTGTCGTAGCAACTACCCCATCATCGTTACACTTGGTCGTGATGTGGCATTTAATTGATCGTACTACGAACCCGTTGGCTCCCAGATGGGCTCAGCAGCATAATGGCGAATAATTACCTCCAGCGCTAGATTAGTGAACTATTACTGAAGAAGACTAGTCTTTGAAAGAAGTCGGGCGCATAAACTCATGCAATCTAATTTGTGAAAGAGGGCTCGTCTATGACAAAGTCGAGCCTTGTGATTAGCCATCCTCTCCAGTATTATTCATGTAAGAGTGGCTGTCAAGTTCCCCCCTAGCACAATCACGGTATTATAGCACGGGAGTTTTCAAAATAGCCAAGTCTCTTGCCCCGCGTCAATGTTTCCCTCCGGGCTGGCTGACATCCCAACCTCACGCCTTGGTAATCCTCGGTGCTGTGCAACTAAGCTGGTTTTACTCAAGCATGTGAACTACCATGCATATAAAACTCTCCCGTCTCCCTCGATTGTGTACGCAACCCGTACTTGAGTATCAAAATCTATTTCACAACGGTACTGTAGGAAATAAATACACACTCAAAGTAAGATAAGACCATGAATACCTTGGATGAGACATTATCTAACAGAATAAAAGAAGCTTCCATAACCATGTCCACCCAGGTCTAAATCGTGCAAAGGTTTCTGAGCAACATGACAAAAGGCAATGTCGTGGCCTCGCTCGTCGCCCCAGACGCCACATACGTGTAGCTAAACTACAGTAATGCCGACTTGAAAAACATCATGCCCTGATGCGGAACTTGGCAGAAGGACGACCAATCGGCATTCATCCAGACCTTCACGGGTGTCGCGCGGCTCTGGGACAATGAGGGGTCGAATATCAACGCAATTATTCTGAAGGAGGAGATTTCGATTTGAAAAGTGGGTGAAGATTAGGAAAAGATCTCTATATTGCTGTGTTTGAACTAGGGTCCACGCCTGCACTGCTAAATATATCTCAACTCAGATCAACGCCTGTTCATTCATCGGTGAATCACTGACACGCACGTCGATTTTGTCTGATGAAGCGAAATTTATAACACTCGCCGGAGACTCAGTCGCTTATATAGCCTGAATAAATGCACCAGAAACAATGCACAGCATGAATAGGGCACGTATAACATTATCTACCAAGTCGTCACCGATGACGGCATTAGCCCTACCGTAAGGTACAGATGCCGCTTTTCCGTTATTAACTCGCGTGATATTCTGAGGATATGAGACACAGCAGGTGTACACGGCGAAATACCACATCGAGTGCTAAACGAACGTAAAGCAGATGGGAACCCAACGGTATCTAAGAGAATTGAGGTTGCATTCTAGCGAAGCAAGAAGGTTGGATCAATCTTTTGTGAGCACCTAATGCCTATTTTATCTAAATAGACACAAGATCGGCAGTTTTAGGCCCCTCACATGTCATGCCCGTCTTTCAGTTCCCCTTCTCAAAAGCCATCTTGTTGCTAACTTCGCCCAACCCCGTTATACTAACCTCGACAACGTCACCATCATTCAAGTACTTTGGCTGATTCATTCCCATGGCCACGCCAGACGGTGTTCCAGTGAGAATAACAGTTCCGGCTTCCAGAGTTGTGCCCTGGCTGCAGAAACTGACGAGCTCCTCCACGCCAAACAGCAAGTCGCCTGTGCTCGTGTTTTGCCGCTCGGCGCCATTGACGACGGTTCGCAAATAGAAGATTCGAAGCGTTACCAACCACGCTTGGCGCAACTAGCAACGGACTCAACGGCGCGAACTTGTCAAATCCTTTGCTGAAGCACCATTGGGGCACAACGCGGCCTTGGCGGGATCTCGCTGCCAGCCACGGGCAGACACGTCATCCGAAACACAATAGCCGGCTGCGTAGTCTAGGGCAGCACCTTTGGGAATGTTTCCTGTTTTGCCAATCACAATAGCCTGCCCGAAGTGAGAATAACATTAATAGGTAAAATTGGAACAACGTACCAATTCGCCTTCATAGTCGATCGTACCGTCCTGTGCAATCTTTGGAATTGGAATATCTTCATTAAAGCCGGCGACTTGTGGCGGAAGGCCTTAAGAAAATAGATGGATAGGGAGGGGGGTTGCGCCCGCCTTCTTGAGCTAGCCATCAAACGCATCAATGCGAATCTCTGAAAAGGGTGAGGAAACTGGACGTACTGTGCTTCAGATAGTTGAGACCGATGCATCGTACAATAGGAACATCACTAGGTCCAAGAACGTCGCGTAGAGCGCGCACATGGACCTTCTCACCACGCGTCAAAGGACCTACTGGACAGGAGCCTTTGAGCTCGATGGCCAAAGGTCATTTTTAGCCAGGTGGTCGGCTAGCTGTTGGTCAGTCTCTATACATGGCTCTCCGAAGGTTTCGGTGCCTTTGTCATCCACGAAACGAATGAGACGGCTCCAGGATGTCATGGTGTTGGATTTTGCTAAAGCTGTGAAGACTGTCGATAATCCCGGACGCATTACCTTCATTAAGGTTGGTAAAGAATATCTCATGGCTCCGTCCGAAGAAAGGGTTGCATTATGTTATACATTTCATCCCGGCCGCCAAATTATTATCAGTTATTTTTTCGCACCACGTATTCAGTCATCCTTCGGCAGTTGTCCCGAAGACCGGCTTCCGCTTCTGTGTCCCCTGCCACTTCATCCGAGGTTGCGCCTCTGACCAATAATACCATGGTCCGGTCGAAACGGCGGCGACTCGGATGCACGATAGTTTGGACAGCCGTTTCGTGTGGACCAAAACTCCACCACTCAAGTCTTCTAAGCTTTGCATCTCATTCCTAGAAGGCTCTTGGTTGGGAAAGTTACCAATGAAAAGCAGAGCACATATCGCCAGGAGTATTTGGGTGAGCAAAGGGAAAGATTCAACATGCCGCAGTCGCCGTGGGACAGCCCGTGTAGACAAGCTTGCCGCTTTGGTTTCATGACCGACTTCTGAGGGTTCGTATTCGGAGTCGCTGGGTCTTAAGACCAATTCGTAATTCTAACGTGTGAATTGCATCTCGTTACTATCGCGAAAACGGAGTGGCTTAGAGGGCAAAGCTCAAGGTGAAAGATGCCGGAAATTTAAGAGATTATGCAGCAATTCAAGTACTCCTCGCTTGACAAAGCATCAACGAATCAGACTCAAGATCTATTAATGTCTCTGTGTAGCACATTGGCGGTGAGAACTGTGTGACAGCGTAAAGCAGGCCACCAGACGATGGACCCGTTGACCCATGCGAACGTGACGCCGCTGTTGCACGACTTCGGGCGGCCTCGGGGTGTTCCATGATGTTGAGGTGGCGTGTTCAGGCGCCTTCAAGACTGTGGTTTTCACGATTGGGCCAGGATGGGATTGGGATTGGCATCATTGTCGGGTTGCAAGCAGCCATGCTGTCCAGCATTGTTGTCGTGTGACGTCAATATATCTCCCGCCATGGTCACCGCTCGATTGCAAAAGATGGGCCAGCGACATAGTGCAGCAATGGCGCCATTATCTAGAGGAAGAAGACGATGAGCTACGATCCAGACAAGCGACTCGTCTCCGTGACTGCCAGGTTAGTTGCAAGTACACTGTCTTCTGTCAAGATTGATCGTCCAGACGTGGTCGTCGCACTCTACACACCTACTCGCTATGCCGTGACAATATTTTACGCCCTCTGTTTGCGTCAGGCTTGCCCTTTTTTCTTCCGCATCTTTGGACTATCGTACGACACCCTTGTGTGGGACAAATGGTGTTGCAACCTCTCACACGACGCAGGTCTTGCATTCTCCGACGTGAGACAAGACACTTGATGGCCTATGAATTTTTCGCCGACCAAGGGATGGGGAAAGAGGTGCCAACGTGACTCCTTGCCATGGTTGTCAGCTAAATTTGAGCCCATTAATTCTGTTGGATTCGAGACAGGGACAACACCATAACCATGTGTCGTGATGTTTGACCTCGGTAGCTCAAGCTTCTTTCGTATTGACCATTTCTCAACGAAGAAATCTGAGAGGAATTGAAAAGCGGCCTAGGGATGGTGTTATTTATGACTTTTACAAGGCAAAATTATGCCTTCTCAATAACTACTCTGCTTTACTCATCTGTCTACATCATGGGATAAAGGATGCGGCGTCTCCGTCCTCGGCCTGATGGTTATTCTCGCGGGGTCCCGACGCCTGTGCCATCGGGCGGGTGACTGCCGCCTGAACAAAGCTTCCGGAGAGGTCATGAGTATGTTGCTGCTTGTGACAAGAGCTCAGTGAGCAATAGCTCAATTCATCTACTAACAGTCTTTGGTGCTGAAGGTCCTTGGTTTTCCTCAAGGCCTGGATGACCAAAGAGATCTATTCATACAAGAAGTGGTGACAGCCTTCTGCCCTAGACCCCGTGACCGTAGCGGTAGTGCAACCGTGTGACACTTCTTCTTTGAACTCTCTTGACATTTTCATTGTTAAAATGTCGCACCTTGCCGTTTAGCCGTGTGCCTGGTTCAGTAGTCTCCCAACCTAGTTGGCGAGTCTCTGTGATATTGAAAGGCTCTTTATTTAAATGCTAGCCGGATCAAGTCGCTAAAAGACGGTCCACTACGCCGTAACAATGAGCCAAATAACTGGCGCTGGGAGTGGTCAAGCCATCAATATGTGCTAAGCCATGGAGCCCGTGGTGTTTCAATAAAAAGCTGCGCGAGAAGTCTCCTGCAAGATGGACAAAGATGTTTTATTCTTGTTGAAACATTTTTCATGGCTCCTTTACAAGCAATACCTCTTCACTGGCCATGTGATCTTTTGGATTCTTTGCCTTCACTTCACATTGACGGCAATTCTCTGCGTTGTTCTAGAAGCTGCATTTATTACGTGTCAACATATTCTGTAGCTGTGTTTTGAATTCTTTGTCTGTTTTACTCCATTACATGTTTCGCATCATACTTCGGGCCGCATTCTTGTGTGCCAGTGTGCCAGGTTGTCCATAAAGGACCCCTGCCCTACAAAATCCCCGAGCTTCTGGCCATGCACTCATCTTGTGCGACCCAAACACGAGGCAACACCCTTGCAGTAGCCCTGCCAAGTTTGAAGCTTTTTATTTGGGTATCTCACTTTGTTATGCCTCCGCGTCTAAAAAAAACCTTTCTTGACCCTGCGACAGTCTTTTACTTGGCCTGTAAAGAGCTTTCAAACAGCGAAACTTTGGTTCAAGTCTTTGCACGTTTCAGGTGTTTCTTTTCCCTTTAGACGGGTTTTGTAGCAAAGACATGCTGAAATAAGTGGAATACTAGGTATTGGACTATTTAAATAGCGAGATTCTCCTCGCCAAATAGCTAATCAGACAAGCATATCATCACAATCTTTTCTACATTTTGACTTCAAATATCACTTTATCAAACACTGACTCCTGCTATCAGCTAAGAGAAAATGAAGCTTTCTGAACAAGCGGAAAACTTGTCTAATGAGGCTTACACACAGGTAAGTGCAATACAAAAGCAAAAAACCCTGGTGCTATTTTCCCTAGAGCCGAGGAGGCACGCACCGCTATGGTGGAGATTATGCGGTGTCTGGCAGCAGCTAGAATAGCATTATTTAAGAATCTGCGCAGCGATTTCTATCTCAGCGCTAATACTTTCGGTAAAGCACATGATACATCGGGACAAAGTTCTTAGGCCCTTCGATATCGTTGTGAATGTTCCGGAGGGCCAAAATACCGACATTAAGAAAGACGTCGAAGAATTTCTGAAAGAGATGGACCTTGAGTACGACGAGGCCCCCAATTCAACCCAGACCAAGTTGGAGTGGACTTTCCTTCCCGAGAACCTCACGAAAATGCTTGGAAAGACGGGAGCTTTGAGCCAAATTTTGGAAGTAATTTCATTTATGCGTGAAAAAGGTTTCGACCGCAGAGTAGGGAAGGAAGCAGAAAACATCTTTACCAAAAAAGACTCGACCAAAAATGATGGTTAACACACTCGATGGGGCAGAGGAAGGAGGGTCGTGGTACGATGTCGAGTTAGGCAACTCACAACGGGAAGAGGTTTTTTCCCCATGAGGGTTTTTTTCATCTCAACTTGGCTGTGGGTTGCAGGATTCATGGGATTGTTTGAAATCTAAAGTATTTCAATAAATCAGTTGCAAAAATCATTCGTGAACTATTTTTTACATTGTGGCAACGTAGAACTGAGAGATATAACAAGTCTTCATAATATACTAAAATTGACGTATAAGAGCTGTATATGTAGGTCTCGTGACAATAGACCTCATTTTACAGCCATTTAATTCTACTCAACACATTTTCCCACGCCGTACAACTACTCAAATGCCGTTTAGTGGACTTTTCCCCAATATTTACTTGATTACGGTTTAACATATGTTAGAAGTATCCAGTTACCACTTAAGAATCATTTCGATGCTGGCTTATAATATTTATTATTACGGAAACTTGGGTTATAGTGTGGTAGTATGACATACAACTTTACAAGACCATTATTGTGATAAGGCTAGGGTAACTAGGCTTGGAATGCAACACTTCAATTTAATCTGTAAGAATCTGTTTTGAGGTATCAAAGGTCATTGGACTTCCCAGGGCCACGAAGGACCAAGAGACCCCATAATACAATAAGTCGGTGTGCGTTGTTGGCCTAACGCTTTTGTGGCTCAACCGTCGGAGAACCGTGTACAGTCCATTGTGTGGTCTGGCTGTGTGGGCCAACAAGGTCATTCTTTATTCCAGTTACAAGTACTTCTTCTACGACATGAAGCAATAATACAGCGGAATGAAATGAAAACGTAATGACTGCACTCTTTAGTCTGTGGCATTAGTTGCCTCAAGAGGCTGAAGGTGCAACGCCCCTATTGTGCATCTACCAAGACAGGCAGCGCTCCAGCGTACATTTCTAGCATCTGTTTCTCCTTGACCGGCTCAATATCCCACCCTTCCTCCTCCTCTTCACCCTCCTCCTCGCCGTAGCTGTACTGGCCGCCGCGAATATCCTTGTATCCAAGTTTCCCGTCTCTCTTGGGCGCAATCTCGATCGCGCGATACGCAAAAATAACCTTGGATGGGATGGACCATGGGAAACCTCCCTGGCTACTCTCTGTTGCAACGACAGTTGGGGAACAATTGAGCCGGGGCCTCTCATCGCCAGTGCATCAGAGCCGATTTTGCAAACCGGACCGCAGGAACCGGCGTCGGCAGTGGACATGCTGAAGCCTTCAGCAATCTTGGGCCCTGTGATCATGTACACTTTCTTACTCCCGGTGAAACTGTCGGCAATGAAGTTCTGGACACGTAGCGAGGCGGTGATGCTATCTGTTACATATTGCTCATTGGCTTCGAACTCATATGTCTCCATGGCGGCGCAGTTATAGGTGGCAGTCTTGTCTTTCGCAAACGTATACAGAACTTTGCTCGACACGAGTGTGTGAGAAAGCGCTCCAGAGATTCCTGCCGAGCCAGAGATGCCTTTCTTGACCACCTCTTGGAACTTTGGCACACGGCTTGCGCTGGTTGAGCTCGGTGGGATGGCAACGACATCATGCTGGTTAAGGGGGTTGGTCAACTTGCCGAAACGTGTAAAGATGCTACCCGGTCTCCCCGAAGTGGTGCTCTCTGGGTCGGTATCAAACGTGGGAGCGCGGAAGTAATATCGACTGGCTGATTGAGGCATGATTCCGGATTGTAGAAGCGCGGTTATACTTGTGACGATTAGGTTGCGTCATAGTCGTTCTTGTGAAACATCCTTGCGTAATTAAAGTCGTCCAGTATAGTGAATTTCTTAAGATGAGGCAAACGAAACCGTAGGGCGTTTGTAAGCCCAAGCCCGAGATTCGGGCAGCAATGTAACAACACAAATCGATCCACGTGTCATGCAGCGGATGCATTTACGGCTACAGCATCCATAACCAAATGTGGCCGTCAGCGCGGCACATGCATGGCACAGTGAGGCGGACAACAAGTCTTGTAATAAAGAGCACTCGCTTTAAATCTCCAAGGACGGTGTTTGATTAGAGTTTAAATATGGCAAAAGTACATTGGAACACTGTCACTACATCGATTGCGACGTGCTCTCTTCTAACCGGATGAATAGTATCTATTTATCGTAAAGCTGCCTTAATTTCCCCCTGAATCCAGCCTTCATCATTCTTTCTATGGAAGAGCACCCACGGGCGTATCCAGTGATAGCCGTGCTTCCATTTATCGTCCCCAAGTCTCCAGAATAGACTCTCATCAAATCAACTCGTTTGAGCCGCCTCCACTGAGTCTCGTCTAAAAATCCTCGAGCATAATGAAGCAGCAGCGCTGCAACACCCGCTGCAACAGAAGTAGCACACGATGTGCCACTCATTAACTTGGAGCCATCAGAGTGTTGGGATTTCTTTGGCCATGCTGATTTGACGTGTTCTCCAAGCAGCAATATGCGTTGGTAGTCATAGGGTCCAGGGGTAAAAGTTGAAGGTGTTCCATGTCCGTGTCCTGAGTGGACGCAAATTACTTCCGAAGCACCAGCTGGCCAGGCAACACCAGTTTTTGCCGTCGTTTGATGCCGCAGCGAACATGGTGACGCCACGGCTTGCTGCATGCCGGATTGAATGGAAGAGATTCTTCTTTGTCTGGTGATGTTTGTTCGTCTTCGAATCCGAATGCCATGGCGATGATGTCCACTTCCCAGATGTCTACAGCATGTCGAATTGCCTGCAAGATGTCACTGTTAGCCCTTCCATAGTCTGTTGCCAGTGTGGACTTGGGGCAGGGTTGAAAAATACACTGGCTACGTTCTGCGGCTCACATCTCAAATCAGGCTTTGCCTTTTGGAAAACCTTTGCGACGTGGATCTGAGCTTGCGGCGCTGTGCGCGAGAGCAAAGTCGCAAGATGTGTGCCATGACCGACTTCGTCCTTCACACTTTCGTCGTCTTTGTCGATCCAGCTCCTATATAACTACGAGGTCGCGCCGTCTGTTGTATATGTCTGCTTGGTCCGCTGACAAGTCCAAACCGGTGTCTAGAATTGCAACTTTTACTCTCCTCTTGCATGGGTTTGGGACATAATATAAGTAAATATAAATTCTCCGCCATGGTGCACCAAACGTCAATCCACTCCTATCCTCTTGCCGTGAGAATATAATCCCCAGCCACTCTCGCAAACGCTTGGCAATCTGCGGCGCATTCGAAGCACTGAAGCCATTTACCAAGCCTCTCTCTCGGCATCTCAACCATGGCGGAAGCCCCCTGCGGACATGCCACTCAACTCGTCATCCTGGCCGTGCGGTGCCAAAAGACACTCAAAGACCTTCTTTCAAATTGCGAACAAAACGGCCTTGGGCATCAAGAGACTAATTTCCTGTCTGACCAGTCCGCTAGATTTAACTCATAGTGTTTCAAGATAGGCATTTTTAAGTCAGGCCAACGTTCTCTGGACTATCGTCTTAAGGATCTGCCCGAGAGAAGAAGAATAATAGCAGGACTACTCGAGGTGTTGATTCTGTGTTTGCAAAGTGAGTGAAGCCCGAGTAAAGGAGAAAGTTCAAATGAATCGTGTCAAGCTAATGCGGTCCACCGAACCAGAGTTGCCGGAACCAGAGATTATTGATGAGCACGCTACAAGCGAGGTTTAAAGCTAACAGAAATGCGATGATCAAGTTTCCGACAGCTCTGAATAGTCTCGAGATGCGCTTTCTATTTCACACGGTCGTGACACACATCTCCAGCTAAACGGGAAATAGACACGCGTAGAGAGTAATATTCCATACGCAGGCTCGATTGATTGAGTTGGATGGCAAGAATAATAGACAGACAAGGATTGAATGATTTAAGAACAAGCCGGGTCAGAACCAAGTTTACGAGTTACTTAGGAGAATTGCCCGGGAAAAGGTCGAGCATCAGTTCACACAGTCGCCTCTCTGGATGAAAGAAAGAATTGCCGAATCATTCGCTAGGAGAAGAATACGCTTTGAATATTTGAAGCATCATCAAGAGAAGCTTCCTTGTGGTCGTAATCATGAACCTCAGTATAAGGGATCTTTCTACTCTTCACCCCAACCACAGAACGATCCCGCGGGGACAACATCGACCCCGTTTCGTGAAAAGGATACCCAAGTAACAAAACCGACAACCAGATTGAAACGCCCCGTGCCGGGGACCATAGTGTCATACTCTCAGCAACTGAAAATACTTCCTTCGATACGATTTCGCCGTCGCCGACGCCGGTTTTTCCATCGGCAGAAAGCGTTGCTTCCGTCACGATGAGGCACGGTGGCTTTCCGTGCCGGCCAAAGCTTCAGGGATCAGACATCTTTACGTGCCCCTACTGTTTTCTTGTGTTTCCTTTAACAGCAGCAGAAGGAACATCCTGGAGGTAAGCGCTGTTCAACCTGGATGAATCACCAGATGTCTGAAAGACTAGTGCTGACGTGATCACAGCCAGCATGTCATGAGGGACTTTGAGCCTTATTTTTGCGTTTTCGAGGACTGCTCGGAACCCTTTGAAGTGCACAATAGCTTTGAGGGACTTCTAAACCATATACATGACTCACACGTTTCTGCACGTTATTATTTCAAGATGCCGGACGGGTCCGACCGAGAATTCGAAAACAGACAACTATTTGAACAGTTTCTTCAAGAGAAGCTACACATACCAAGATTAGAGTGGAACTCGTTGGCAGAGCTTGGCCGGGGAAAAAAGCCTTTTCTTTTTGAAACTTGCCATTTTTGCGGCGGTTATCCAGACGTAGTCAGGAACTGCGTCCCCGACCCAACTACACCCAGTGCCCAGGCTGAAATGAAGAAGCATATCAAGCAATATATGCAAGAGATTGCTCTATACTTGCCTCCCATTTGTGACGACGTGGCTGATGATGCACCTAAGGAGGACAGTATCAGCGATAATGCTGTTGGTACACAGAGTTCTAGTTTGGATAAACTGAGTGCTGTTACTTGGTGCACGCAGTCACAGCAAGAGCTCCGCGATTCTCAGGTCCAAATGGAGCCCACAAATACAGTTGACGAACAATTACAGTCTAACTCTAGGATTGAGGCTCGACATGATGATTCCGTCAAGAAGAATCATGGAATCAAGCGGTCCAAAGAGAACAAGGACGGCGACAAACCAGCCCAGAAACTCCTTGCTTGGAGCGAATGGTCAAAGTGGGCTTTTGATAAGGAGCAGCGACTAGCGCACTGGGTGGGACAGGACCAAGAAGGTAAACGCGGCAAATCCAGCTTGCATACTCTCAGATTGCTACTAATAGGGAATATAGACTATGACTGCAACTACGAACCCACGAGGCAAAATATACCCGAAACGCCTCGGTATCCAGAGGAGGATGATAAACTGGCTGATAGGCCCATGGATACCTTTGCCACCTCAAGTCATGAAGCAATTTCAAACCTTGACAACTCTGACGAAAATCATTTGCGCAGCACGCACAAAGACAAATCAGCAGAGTCTTTGGCCCTGGGGAAAGGAAAGAGCAAAACTGGTATGGATTACGAGAGCCCAGCCCAAGTAAAACATGAAAAGTCTGCCTTATCGGTATTACAAACAACACAGAAAACACCACTTAGTGATCCGCAATACCTTTGTAATTCACCAACGCGACCACCTTCACTAACAAATTATCTAGCCCTGGAATCCACCCCCTCGGCTCACCCTAGCCAAAGAGCAACCCTTCGAGACAATGACAGCCAAATGCTGTCGCGTAGAAGTGTTCCAAAGACAGCCAGTTTGGACCAAAATAAACTGAGCTCATCAAGCGCAACTGAATCTTCCTTCCTTCATGATGATTCACATCAACAGGCCAATGCCGGTGATGATACCGTGCGCGATTTTGCGGATTCGATGGACGAGCCGGAGGAAGACTTGGATCCTCGCAAGAGACTCTAGCTTGTATAATTTTTCCCAGGGCTGCCCATTTGTTTCTTCTTAGGCTACAGGATCATCATGCGAGCGAGTTCCAACCAGGTGAAGTATGCTGAGGCTCTGCTACCCGGAGAACCGTCGAGATCGCTAATATGCTGCTAAAAGATCCTGAAAGTATACTTGGCGTGGCCTGCACGCCATGAATTAGGACGATCCGAGACTTCAGGAGTGTACACGCTGTATCGGCATGGTGCAGCATGTCAAGGGAGTTACCGAGCTGGGGTATGTAGAAGAGGCACACAGTGAGGCTTTTCTTGGACCCAGAGGGCTGATGCGGCCGTACGTTTGAACAAAATTTGTATTATCAAGTTTTTCTTTTTTTATGATTTGTTCAAATGGTCATGCAAGCAGGACATCAGGAAAGGCCCGGTAGAAGTACGTATATAACACATGCGCCTGGCCGTACCCGAGCCAGAGAACCGTAATATACCGCGTCATACAATATGAGTAAATAGAACCCATATACACAGATTGGGTGTGTATTCATGCCAGGTGGTGGACGATTGATCCAACAAATACTCGTCGTTCTACTTTCCAGCAACAGCTAAATGCAACTCTCTGCAGGGTGAGTTGAAACGAGCTAGGTTTGGAAACAACCATGTCAACAATGAGACTCTCATACTTCTATAGAGTCGTAGTTTGTTACAATGACTAGTAATACTCGAGCGATTCTGTATTGAATTCCTGTGTAATGATGGCAAAGAATTCCGTACTACAATGGCAAAGACATAGGAAGGCATCTACCAGCAGTACACCAAAGAAAGATTTCGAGACGTGTTGTGAACCGACCACGGCATTGCGCTATGCTGCAAAAAACTCGCCGGCACCGTTACGGCCCAGTCAGCGGTGAGCGTTGGAGCCTGGAAGCCCAAGGGCTCAGCCAGGTCTCGAACCCTTGTGTAACTATCGTCAGGTTCAAGGGCCGGTCCGTGCCGCAATGTTACGTGGCTTCCGTGTAGAACTTTATGCATGTAGACCATCAAGGACACGGTATTACTAAGGTAGGCGTAGGATTGATCCATCGTTGTGCGTCTCGGACAAAGGAGTCGACTCCATCGAACCCTTGGCCCAAATCCTTCGGTCTGAGCTTTGGGCCGATTTCTCCTGGATTTGACGCGGAGCTTCCATCAGGAACATTCTAGCCCTCGTTGCCAAGGCAGTACCGCTTGTTATCATTGGCCGCGACGTCTTGGTGTGCTGGATGACAACTCATGTCACCTACTCAACGTAGCCAAACTTTGGCCTCCATGGACTTTTCTTACGAAGTACTGGATAAGGGTTTTACAGTGTCAATGCAGTATGCAATCAGTGTAACTGAAATTTGTCACGCAAATCCAAGCATAAGTAGCAGCTGGGATCTGGCCTTATTTCAAGTTGTGCACAATGTCGATAACCGCTGAAGCAACTGACTTGCTCAACGCCTCCTCTTTTCGTCTTTATTCGAAACAGAACTGGGTTTCATACCAAGATATTCACAATGCTCCACTTGAGCTCGTTCGTCACGGCAGCACTGCTGTTGACGACAACCTCCGCCGCCGGTACGCCGAAACGTGGCCTGGCTGCCAATGACGGCATTCCCATCAAGAACTTTGGGGGAACTTTTCAAGGCCACAAGTCCCACATTAACTGGCACTACAACTGGGATAGCACAACGAGCCAGAAACAAGTCTTTGCCGAGTTTGTCCCCATGCTCTGGGGCACCCAGAGCTATCACACGCAGCAATGGCGCAACAACACTCGCTATTGGATGCAGCGAGGAACGAAGCATTTGCTTGGTTTCAACGAGCCCGACCGTCCAGACCAGGCAAACCTATCCCCTGGTGCGGCAGTAGCGGCCTGGAAAACATACATGGAGCCGTTTGCAGGTCAAGTAAAGCTTGGTGCACCAGCAGTCTCTAATGGCGGTTACGGCTGGCTGAGCAAGTTTCTCAACCAGTGCAAAGGCTGCCATATAGACTTCATCCCTGTTCACTGGTATAATGACCATACTCTGGAATTCAACTTGGAGAACTGGGTTAAGAAGATCTGTCAGTTGGGCAAGGGTCGTCAAGTTTGGATCACTGAGGTAAGCCGGCCGGAACTTATAATTGGCACGGGCAGACGGGTTGTTGACGCTAGGTGTAGTTTCAAGGATTTGGCTCTCCCGCTCAGCAGGGCGATTTCTTGAAGAAAGCCATGCCGTTTTTGGATAAAAATGCCTGCGTTGCACGGTACGCGTACTTTGGCACCGCGAAGAACTCGCAGGTTCTTCTTCAGAATCGTGGGCCAGCCCTTTCGCCCCTAGGAATTCAGTATGCCTTCAGCCCTTACGGGTCTGGGACCGTTTAAGGAAACAAGTGTGGCTTCCGCTGGACCGGCAGGGGCTATTGGAAGACGGATCGATTACGGATGCTCGCGTCCCTGGGCATACTATGTGTGCTGTGGGACTGGATGTTGCCATGGGCTATGTTTTTCATGGTCTGTCCGGTTGCATATACTTTCACTTCAAAAGGCACGGGTGTTTGCTACAAATACGATTCATGTTGCTACTTGACAATCTCATGTCCCGGAGTACCGTGACTACTCGAGCAACATTGCCATGTCCAGAATACTACAGCAGCTCTCATTTTGGCTCAAGGAACATTAATCATGAAACTGCACATGGCGGCAGCAGGAGATCAAGGCAGCAGGCGCCCATGGGCACGAGGACTCCCCATTCGTGACCGCTTTTAGACCACATGCAGAACAGACACTAGACCCGTTGTGGCTACCTGGAGCAGATCATCGATCCATGTCTCGAGCCGATCCTTCATCCTTCTCCTCCCAGGCACGGCCATGTTTCTGCTTTGCATTGAGATCATTGTGTCAAATGTGAGCTGTGTAATAATCTAATAAGCCCGGTGCCCTTATATTTGGTAATATCTGGAAGCAAGGAACTCTACCGTCGACCACCGTCACATGGCCAACAAAGTGACGATGCTGTTCCTCGCGCTTCTTGGCGTTATCAACACCAACCCCGTCGCGGCCCTTTCGGCCACGTCCGACCCATACACAGGAGGCGACACATCGGGCTGTGGAAAGATACACACTGCTCAAGTCATCGGCCTTCCCATCTATCGCGGAATACAGTCCAGTGGCGTGCATCGCAGCTACAGTGTGCATCTCCCTTACAGCTATGATAAAAACCATGAATATCCTACGATTCTGGGTTTCCACGGCTCGAGCAGCATCGGGCTGTTCTTTCAGGCCGATACCAAGCTCGACGAGGCTCGATTTACCCGCGACAAGGTCATGGTCTATCCCAACGGACTAGGCGGTGCTTGGGCCGGAGCCAACTACTCCAAGGCCACTGTCGGCCAAGACTTGCAATTCGTGTGGGATCTTCTTGCCGACTTGCGTCAGAACTTTTGCATCGACAGCGCTCGCATCTACGCGACAGGCTTGTCCATCGGCGGCGGCTTCGTGGATACCATTGCCTGCAACAGCACCGTTGGAGGCGAGTTTGCTGCCATGGCCCCGGCCTCCGGATCCTTTTATACCAATAACGATGCAAACCATCACCTCTGCGAGCCCGCACGCGTGCCAATGCCGATTTTAGAGTTCCACGGAGGAGCTGACGTGGATGTCAAGTATGGTGGCGGGCAAGGTGAAGGTGGCATTGAGCCTGCAATCCCGCATTGGTACGCGCATTAACTTGGCAGATTCATGACAAGAAGGAATACTAATGGTAAGGCATTTGAAGGCTCGGCTGGTGGGCAGCCCGGAACAAATGCGACACGCCTCATCACCAGAAGGATCTGTTTGACGGTGACGTACACCATCTTAGCTGGACATGCGAGGGACAAAATGGGGTAGTGCAACACTACAAGACCGATGATCAAAGTATAACTCCATCTTGCTCTTTGATATTTGGGGCTACGTTGGGAAGCATGCTGACATTATGTGCGGGCAGAGCATGACTGGCCATCGACGGAGCCAAACTTTTCACAACTAGCCGCTGGTGATAAGCCAACGCATTTACAAGCCAGTGCGATTATTCAGGATTTCTTTATGAGGTTCACACGTCCTGAAACTGTGAACCATGGCCCGAGGAAGCATTAACAACATGGTTGGTATTTGCGGGTATTGTTACTATGAATGTGTAGCAGAGAAGTTGACTACGCATATTAATGAATGTTGAAAGATAGATGCTCTTCATCCTCTGTATCCGTTGTCACTGTTGCAAAAATGCCCAATTCTTAAAGATTTTAAAACGATACCAATTCGTGCTATATTCCAGTTCTAATTTTTACAGTAGTATAACTCAGTATAGCTATTTAGAAATATTGATACTTATACAATAAAGCCAAATGTTGCGACTTTAGCCGCTAAACTCGGCGACAATTGACGGCCAAGACCGGTCTGCGTCTTTCCATACCCCAGAGACTAAATGCGAACTGAAGCTACTCATGGCGATGAGAGACAAAGGCGTGTAAACTATTCAGCACTTGAGGTACCCAGCCGTGAACGTCGGCCCTAATTATTTCACCACATTCGCTGTGAATAAAAAACACCCTTATGGTTAGAAGGGAACATGAGCACATGAGATAGTTTTTGGCATGAAGGTGACTTGACCTCGAGGAATCACAATGTAGAGTGGCGGCACGAGCGAGGGACAAAACGGGACACTATCAAGGATTAGTGCAGCAAGGCCGCCGCGTGAGTTGTCAATGGCTGCGACCAGAAAAGACATCAAGCAATTCATTATAGTACTGAACATTTCATCTCAGCATTTGCATTCTTGAACTAACGCCTGCCGCAGTGGGGGAAATACAATCGCTTACATCACAATTTCCTTCCTTTAGCAACACACGTAGAGCATCTTAAAGCCTTAGTGTAACGCGCTTGAAGAACAAACACTAGACTTTAGCGATGAGCTTCGTTTGTAAATGCGTATACGTATACTAACCACTGCGGTATGCAGGATATTGAGCTATTATTCAACAAACTACAGCCGGTAACTTAATCTCAGAGTTGACTAATTAAAACGACATTGACTTGGACCATGTGAAGCCCAAAACACTGCTTCGTGTACCTCATACTACTTGTTTCCAATCATTCAAGGCTAGCCTTGGCACTCGTTTCTGCCGTCTAATTGACCTCTAACGGCACCAGGAACAGCCAAGCTAGAATGAACGTCTGTGAAAAATGCAGACGGGTTTCTCTCAATCTGCTCAACATGAAATCCTTCACCCGTATCCTTGCCGTCCACCCTTACGCCAGTGAGAAACGGCCCTCTCAGGCAGCCAATGCTAGTTCGACGACCACCTTCAGGGCCTTGTGGATTTGTGAATGCAATACTACGTGGCCATTCAATCATTAGCAAATCGCTGGCAGTTGCACGAAGCTGAGTCTTACCGTGGTGGTCCAGGCTTTCCTACTGGTGCTTCGTGAATGTGAGTAGCCGTCAGAGCGGGCGACTGATATTCACCGCGGAAGCCATCCAAGGTGAGATTGTAGCAAATGATGTTTTCATAACTGTTGATGCCATATTGAAATAGCCCAGACGCACCGGCTACTCCGCCGGTAGGGTTGTTGTTGGCGTCGACAACAGCCCTTGGGTCAACCTTGACGCTGTACGTCGAGGTGAATTGGAATGGCCCTGTTGGAGTCTTTTGCTTCCCAATATCAAGTTTCAAAAGGGGACTTGCCGCAACAATGGCGATGTAGCCCATAAAGAACGCTAATGTCTTCATGTTTGTTGGATGAGTGGGGAAATGAGATGGAATGATGATGAGCTGAAGTACTTTCCCTAATGACAAGAGTAAGCCCGAATTATATATTTCCAATTTACCAAGCCACAAGACTTTGGAGCTACTTGAATACGAGGTCGACGCCTGGTAGTTCACGCTAATTTCAATGTCGCCAAGCCGGGGAACCTTGCCTGGGTGTAAGGATTCCCTGAAGGTCTGTACATAGCCTTATTTTTTCGTCTAAATTAGAGTCGAGATGCATTGATTCACAAGTTTGGTAGTCACTTGTGACGGCTCCCGAGCCAAATAGGGCAACTGCAATGTTTAAGCCTCGTCATCGCCAAGGTTGCCGCCTTGCTTGGCTCACGACCCACGGACGCCACATTCATCTGGCAAGTCCATCACCATCTCTCCTAAAGGCTAAAACAATTTGCCACTTTTAATTGCCGGGACGGCATTAATAACCCACATGAAAGGCATGACGCTTTTGAGATGTAGCCGTCTTTGGTGGGTTCATCATTTAGTGAGATGCCACCCATACTCGTGTTTACACGCTCATGGCAATAGAGAAGTAAACCCTCACACGAAATTAGTACTGTTACAATTGCTAGCGATGCAATAGAGCATGTAATCGGTTTCGTGTTTTCGGCAAACCATGATGAGCATAGCGACTTCCCAAGCGTCATGGTAACTGTGCCGCAAGGTGTTGCCAAGAGCCAAGAAGCAGCTTGCGCGCGGATCTCCAAGATACCGGACTATAGCGGCGGATAGGACAGAAGCCGGACCAAGTGTCGTACAATATCACTGGTTAGTTCATTCATCATGTCTATAGTCTTGACTTGGCATTGGCTTGGTTTACGCCTTTTACAGTCATGTGAGCCGAATTTTTGGGTTATTTTTCACTCCGACCTTTACTCCGGCGAGGGCCGCAGCCAGGGCTGCCGAGACGGAGCTTCCGAATGAGTCAAGCCGATACGTCAATTGATATGTTACTTGGCATTCGATGTCAAGATTGTGTTACGCTGGTTCCTGCGCCACAGACGCCTCGACTGCTGCCCACTCACCGAGGGGCTTCAAACATTGAATGTCACTGGTTCAATTGTTGCCTGTCCACAGTACTGTCTGCCGTGACGTACGACGCTGGTGGCTAACAACTACTGGTGGGCTCAAGGTCGTGTCATGTTCAGACTTGACCTATCCTCAACTAGATTTCTTCCCTTTTATCCCCTTGCCCATGAACCCAACCTTAAATGCAGACATGAGCGACGACGAATGTGAAGAATGTGAGGAACCCAGATGCTTGCAATGAATTTCTCTTTAACACGTCTCAAATGACCCAAGTTTTAAACATCGTTAGATTGCATGGCATTTTAGATGCACAGTGAGCCTCACCCAGCCATGGCTTGTCCTCAGGCAAGGCGCCAAGGTTCGGCCCTCTGAGGAGAGAGCAATGCGCCTTGTCAAGGAACACGCACCAAATGCGCCGATTCCTGATATCCACGGATCCCTTTACAGATACAAGGAAGGCGTCCCTTTTTATGGGGAGCTATCTTTGGATTCCGTGCCGGGGAAGACGCTTAATCTGGCTTGGGCCGAACTCGACCATGCATCTAAGAGCCGTGTTTATTAAGATATTTGGAACCTTATCGCTGAAATTTAAACTATCCCCCATCCCAATGACCTAGGTCCTAGGCTTTACCGCACCGTCAATAATTCTCCTTCTCGAGACCCTGTCCTCGGTAGTAGCAGCGACATCTCGCCACGCGACCTGGATGACGACACACTATGGAATCGTATTTACACCCGATTTTTTAACTTTAACGGACTTTATTATTATGATAGCTAGGACCTTCTCGACGTACTTCCGCGCTCTAATGTATTAGTCTTAACGCATGGCGACATTGGCCCTCGGAGTATTATCGTGGATGAAAACTGTAGAGTTGCTGCTCTGTTTGACTGGGAATCCTCGGGCTGGTTTACTGACTATTAGGCGTTGCATAGATGATGAAATTTTGTGACCCGTTGGAACATGAGTGGCAGAAATGGATGGAAAAAACTAGACCTGAGCCATTGGACATCTCGGGCATTTAGAAGGCAAGACGGGTGTTATTCTAAGACTAACAGCCCTGGCGTTTAGGCGAAATTATAAAGTGGTGTGGAATATGGCTAAGGGTTGCTATTTTGTCTTGAAATCATGGTTCGCCACACATATGTGCTAACGTCTCAGGAAATCAAACTCGGCCAGTTGTCACATGGTGGTGCCTGACCATTGGCATTGAAACATGACTGGCAGGAGTGGACAGAAAACTAGACCTCATCTATGGTATAGCATGGTGGTAGCTGAGCATGCAGGCGTAAGTATACAACGCGTCTTGTCCCTTGCCCTGTTGAGGATTCACAATGTGTGCTTAACAACTGACCAATGTTCACAGATGCCCGCCGATGGGTCTTGTGATTCCCAAGAGAGAGGGCCACTTGCAGAAGACATTATTTGCGATGTTAAGACTTCACTAAGAAAACCTTGGATCCGTGAGTCACCTCATTTCGGATGAATCAGCAGGACTGACGCAATTTTCGATACTGGGATCTGACCCCGATTATTGCAAGCTTTAGAGGGCTCTTGGTCGTCCGGATGCAGATGTTTGCAGTCTGAGGCTTGTCCCGTCATCCTCGAGCCCAAGGGCTTTATTGGAAAGCCATTTCTATTTCAAGTCTTGGTTAAAAGATCCCGGCTCAAGTGTGCTTGCTATGCAACGGTATCCAGCTTCTGGCCGCAAATATACCGCATCTCATATCAAGAACTCTTTGCTTCTCCTGTACTCAAACTCGAAAGAGCTGTTCTTGAGCTTCAGTTTCGACCGCTGGGGTGCAAGGCGGAACTCAGAAGAATCCCTAGTTTCTTCAGCAATTCGGCAGCTTCTGATACCAAAGCCGGAACTCCTTAGCCGTGCTCGATGTGTGGCGGAGGCATATTCCAGGGGACCGATAGTCTCGCCCCAGCAGCTCTGGGCGCTCTTTCGCCATCTTCTCATGCTCCTAGACAAGATGTGCTAGCAAATATTTCCTAGGCAGTGGGCATTGCTTGCTTTGGCCCAACGCTTCTTGCAGCTCATATTGAAGCGCCCGAGGCTTGGGGGCAAGGAATTCATGCATCGCCATGAAATCCCAAGCGCATTTTCACGTCTCTCCAGTCATTCAAACAAGCATGTGAGATTGTTCGCAATTATCCGGGAGAAGACTGGTTGTGAAGGCCTCTGGTCTCATTTCTGCGAAAAGTGTCTGTCTGGGTGAATGAGACAAAGAAGGAGGCAACCACGATTTTATCCCGCATCTTCCAAGAGCGAGAGTTCGGCCCGCTTGGTTTTGCGGTCCCATTATCATCGAAGAGTACTTGGACGGGCTTGAGTTCGGTGTCTTGGCACTGTGCGATGGCACGTCAGCAGTGGTATTTCATCCGATGAGGGACTACAAGCGGAGATTCCACGGTGATATTGGGGCTAACACCGGACGCATGGGTTGCTCTATCCCTTTGGACATAAATGAGGGTCAGCTCCAGTCTGAAAATTAGCAAAAACATTTAGGACAACCTTGAGAAATATGCGAGCAGAAGGTGAGCATATGAGCCTTGGTTTCCAAGCCTGTCACTTACTCCAGGCGCGTTGGAAGACTGCGAATTCTAGTTGATATACAAGTGTCTAAAAGAAACAAAATTTGCCGGCGCGCTCCGCATTGATTTCATCCTCACGCCTACCGGCTTGAGGGCTTTAGAATACGACGCTAGGTTCAGGGATCCCGAGGCCCAAGCCATTGTATCATCGATGTCGACATCCTGTTATCTTGCGGCTATGCTTCAATCGCGCGTCAACGGAGCCATACAAGAACATAAGCTTGATCTCAGTCTTTCTTACGTCACTACCGTGGTAGCTGTAGAAGAAAACTATCCGGATAAACCTCAGGCCGGCGTTCCTATCTATTTTAAAGGGTTAGAGTCCGGTAAGATGGCATCTATTATACTCTCATGAAACTTAGCTAATACATTGCCAGAAACCACCATTTTCCGCAGCCTCTTATATAACGATGAACAGCTTCTTAGCTTTCGGAGGAGGGTGTTTTGGGGTGTGTGATATTAGCAAGACAACCCAAGAAGCCGCATTCGAAGCCTATTCTACGATGAGAAAAATTAGGGTAGCTGAGCTTGTATATAGAATCCATATAAGGTGTTTATAATGATCTGGGCTATAGAGCTTAGGTGTTCTAGCTTCTTGGTAATAAATCTTCACGAGTCACGGTTTGTCACTAAATTAATTTGTATTTTCATGCACTTGATCCAAAGAGCGATCCTGCTAAGGATTGCGTTGTTGGCCTAGCAGGAAATTCAATTAACTATAGATAATTTCAGGTCAGATGAGCTTTTCATAACGACATTAACATCTCAGTGCATAATACTTGTGATCGGTAACAAGGAGAGGGTCATTTGCGCCCATGATCAGTCAGCGCAATATTGGCTCTTAATATGGCAGCTGCGCTAATTGACATGAACTTCGTATGCAAATGGCTTCTGAATATATGGAGAGTCTTCGTTTAATGGTCGGAAATTGGACAGTTGAGCTCCAAAAACCAGTTTACAACATGTTTGCTGAAGCCTCGCTCCAGTCTGTGGGATAAGTCCCTAAAGCCCAACATGGATTGTGGCTGTTACGCCCCCCTCCTCTCCCGTTCCACCTGTTTGACAGGACAGACGTCACCTTATATCCACGGAGCCCCCTTCACAGGCAGCTAGAAAGTTAAAAACGACAGATCAACACTTGATCAAGTTGAAAGCTTGATGGACCAGTGGCTGTGACTTACCGTGAAGCAATGTCCGTTCTGTACGTTTTATCCTTGTACGCCTCTATAAGCGAGAGAGACTGCTTCTTCGAGAGTTGACCCATAGGACGCCGCACAGAGGACTCTGCCACCAGCCGTTCGAAGTTGCCCATCTGTCGATTTCTCCGTTCCAACGTGGAAAATCTCCACACCTAAATGCAATTAGTATGTATCAAATCTACGGGACCAGTACCGACAGACCTGATGGACAGCACTCGACCGTGATGATGTCACCTTTGCGGTAGGACTCAGGGTAGCCCCCGGCTGCAACAACTACATTGCAAGCGAATCCGGGACGTACGGGGATGGCTACATCTTGAAGCTTCTTTGTGCAACAGGCAATGAGGATCGTGGCAAGGTCACATTCTGGATCAAGCAGCATCATCATTGTCTGCGTCTCGGGGCTCCAAACCTAGCATTGTATTCCAAAACCTTGGGACCATCTTTTGTCATCATTATGCCAGTGAAGAGCATGCCAGAAAAAGGTCGGCCTGGGACAGAAAATTAGAAACAAGAGATGACCGATGAATTTATAGCATACCTTCGGCTTGAAGACCCTCAAGCGTAGGCCGGATGATATCCCGGTCGATTGTCTTGAGATCTTCGCTGGTTAAGAAACTCAGAGGCGCATAAACTCCCATGCCCCCGGTATTAGGACCCTTATTTCCATCAAATATACGCTTATGGTCTTGCCCTGGTGGAAGGGATTTGAAAGCTCCGCTGCGATCCACAAATGTGAGGACACTGATTTCGTCGCCATCTAGAAATTCTTCGATAACAACAGATTGTCCCGAGGAGCCAAATTTAGACTCAACCATCATCAGACGCAATGCATCAAGTGCTTCCGCCTCATTGGTAGGCAGTACCACACCCTTCCCAGCAGCAAGACCATCAACCTTCAATACAACACGAGAGCAGTCAATAGATTGCAGATGGGGTCTTGCATCTTTGTATCGGCTGAAGGTTTTATACTTGGCGGTTGGAATACCGTATTTTTCCTTCAAGGCCTTGGAGTATGTTTTAGACCCTTCTATTTCCGCCGCCGCCTTGGATGGAGAAAAGCAAGGGATGCCAGCTGAATGGACTTGGATTAGCTAGACAGTCATATACCCATCATGCCACATAGAGAACCTGCGTAAAGTACATACTGTCTTCAAAATACCCAGCTATGCCGTTAACAACAGCATCGTCGGGTCCAGCCACAACGAGGCCAATGTGCTGGTCTCTCGCAAGTCCCGGGAAATCATCTTGACCAATATGAGAAATATTCGAGACTTTGGGAAGATCTTGAGTGCCGCCGTTCCCAGGGACAACGTAGATGTGTTGCACAGATGGGCTTTGAGTACAGTTTCCAAGCCAAGCTGTGCTCGCGAGCTCCTTTGCCAACGAGAAGGATTTTGAGGTTTGAGGTTGCCATAGCGAAAACGAGTACGTATGACTCGATAGCGCGAGGTAATGGGTGAGAAGGTAAAGAGGTCAGATGTCCATTTGATAAGGTAAAACTTATTTCCGTCTTTAAAGGGGGGAGAAAAGTCCATACTGAAACCGCACGACCAACAACACAGGGCTACTAGTCACGTGGCGGCTCCAGCAAATGTCTGGTGGCACACTAATAACATGATTTTTCTGCTGAACCTAAAGTCGGCCCTAGAAGCCCTGTTGAAAAGCAAGGGAAAAAATTGACCGATACCATCACAGCCCACTCCAACTACTAGGCCTGAAAGGGAGAGGGAGAAAGCGCAATGGAGTGAGCGGGATCGCATCGGTGAGCTTTGGATTTCTTAATCCAAGTGAACCTGATGCTCTATAATAATATGTTATTACCACTCTGTACTAGTGTGCAGAAGAATTTGTTGGATTATGCGGACCACTGTAGATTAACGTCGACGCTACCCTGTTAATTTAATGATGGAGAGAGTGCGGCAATTGATTTTCTGTTAGCCAGAGGTGCGTTACTCAGTTTCTGCCTTGTGTGCAAAAAGCCAAGGAGCTGGTTAAACTGGGGTCACACTTCCCAATCTAGCGCGACTGAATTTAACCTGATTCGACTCTTATCCGCGTGGAAGTATCCATAACGCTTTGAGTCTAGGCGCATATGTGAGCGAACGAGCGGGGAGTGTCACCATGTATTAATAAAATACACTATAGTATAATGTAGTATATAAATAGAGATAATATAGTATATTAGTAGATATTCTTAGTAGGCAGATATATTCTGTCCAAGTATATAGCATTGCTAAATTATGTGTATGTGTCAACGGAAGTACAAGGGGTCATCGTTGTTGTTTAATTAGAGCTCGTTCTTTTTGTGACAGTTTGCTTGCTTACTTGGGGCTCTTAACCTCATACGAAAATAAATATGCCGCTCCTAAACGTTCTAATAAAGTCTCTGGGTCGTACGAGTCATCGTTGCCGCATAGGCCAGGTATCGGTAGCTCGATTTTGCTTCGACTGCTTCTGCGTGACCGTATCTAGAGCGGCGACTTCCCTTGGTGCTGGTGCCGTCGGCCGCAGTGGTCACCTCAGAGCAACCATTGCTGGGGAGGATATACAAAGCGCATGCTAATGAGAAGCTACTCCCCGTCCGAAGTTTTGTATGACGAATCATCCTGTTCCGCCTGGTCCACAGCCCTCTCTTCCTTTGTTCGGAATTCAGCTTCCCAGGCCGCATCCAGCTCCTCAGGGGCCATCCTCTCACGCCGCCTCCTTCCTCGCTCACGGCTTTATGTCCTTAATAACTCCTTACTTTTACTTCGTCTTAGACACATTCTCCTCAGTCTGCTCGAGGAATGATAGCAGTGTGCTGGCCCGTATGTAAATAGAGTCGTTAAAACAGCTATCAGGGCCCGATTGCGCATCGGTTGCGAAATCTTAAAGTTGGAGGCAGAGCCCTGCTTTGGTAAGCTTGCTCACATTAACCTCATCGTGGCGAAATACCTGCTAATGTGAGTATAATAGATTAAAAAGGCTGCGGCACACACATACTCGGTCCACAATTGTAGGCTTAGCGACCATCTCCGGTTCTCCAGCTTTGATTTATATACTGCTAACCACTACAGATCTTTAAGGGTCTTATATAGAAAGACCTTTGTAACGTTTTTTATACAGTCGGTTACATCCAGTTTTATTTCTTTTTTAAAATAATAATAGAAGTCGTAAGCACAACTATAATATTCGTTCTACTATTTTCAAGCTGTTCTTACTTTAAGAGACCGCTTCGTAAACTTTTGGACACTGTATTGGGGCAAGAACAATCTGTCTCTCCGTACTAAACCATCTCCTTAAGGTTGTATTGACCGTGTAGACCTAGCATGCATGTATATAGTACTAACTAGACCGCCGTGTCTTTTAGTAGCCTATTACTAGTTCTTTAAAGGAGTTCTGCAGCATTTCTTTTCTGTTCCTTTCTAATTCAACAGCCACTACAGCTAATCTTCCGGCGGCATTCTTGTTTATTTAACCCGTCACAACATTCCGGCCCGGCCCGACCCGTCAGTTCAACGCGATGATCGGTCTTGATAGGCTGAATCAACAACAGCAGCAACGGCTTTAACAGCTCTATTCTCTATGCCACCGATGCTACCCCTTTAACTGGGGGGAAGGGGGCGAGGGCGCATGCATGGAAATATTTACGGAGAGTGGTGGCATTAGGGCACTTGATAAAAATGCGGTGTGGCCTGTTTGTCTTCCGAAATCTAGCCATTCTTCAGCAGAGATGCTCACAATGTAGTCCAGCAACACTCATAGGTCATTCTAACCGCCCAATATACTCCCCGTCGATCAACATCCGAACACTAGTAAGCACATATACGGCACAACCCTTGAGGAACCACTCTTTCACCATGGTCTTGGGTAGGGAGCGAAGTATACCAGGATCAATAGAGCCATGGCATTCCTCCTTTCTAGACTCGTCACTAAGGCATCTTCCATGGCATGGAACCAGCGTAACGCCATGCCATACATTGGTGGTCGTTCATATAAGCCACCCTATAGCCGTATATTGATTCTGATGTTACTCGCAATTTATCGAATGACCGCCAACAGGGCCAGCTGCAAAATTGCAAAAGCATAAAAGCATTATGGGTATATATATCGCACCGTAATTTCCCACTATCCATGACTGAAATTGCCTCGTTGAGTCCAACCAGTCCGGAAGTCAAGTTCAATTTGGCAACAGTGAAGTGATAAGTTTGTACATTATATCCCGGGCATCTGCGCGTGCCAGATGGTATCCAGCCAACGAATAGGCAAGATGTAAGACATGAAGGTTGGAGAAACTAATTCGGGGGCAATTTTGAGCCCAAAATTGACCCATGGCGTGACCTGGGTCATCCGAGCCTGCAGCAATACCCGGGCCAGTTGCTGTTATGAAATGATGGAGGAACTTAGCCTGTAATGGTTCGATGGTTGTTATGCCGGCATCTTTCCAAGGTGAGGTGTCAGCCAGTGAGTTACTGGAGCCCTTTATCGGACCGTCGGGTCGTAAAGATGGAGAGGAGCTTAGTGAGGCGGAGCAATACTTGCGTGGCCTACCTCGCTTTCGCTTTAGTAACGGCGACGATTGGCCACCGCTCCTTTGTCTATTTGTTAAAGCCGTCTCCCTTGTATACTAGCAAATCCCGTGGCGAAGCTGCAGGGCAATCCAAAGCTAGTGCAATTGGCACACCGGGGTTTCGATTCATCGCACTTGGTTCTATTAGCAACGGTTTTTGCATCCAAATTTGAGGTGAATGACGTTGACTCTTAGTCTCTTGCAATCAAAAACATCCGTCGCTGGATTTACGAGGTGGCCGCAATGACAGTCTGTGGGCCAAATTGACCTTGGCCCTGGATACCCCTGAAAGCATGCGAAGAATAGCCCCACAGGAATCAGGCAGAAACCGAAAAATAAAACGGCAGCAAAATCGAAAACTCTACACGAATGCGTAAAATCCGAGCCGAGAGAGTCTATATGAGTCTTCTCTTTTGCTACGGATCACGATGACGTCAACGGTACGCTCGCGCTTGCACGGGCGCGTCTATTCGGCCAGTGTGGGTCCGAGTTCCTGAGCTAGCAATGGCCCACATCCAGGTGGAGGCATTGGCTCTAGATACCACCAATCGCCAATTTTTCGCTATTGACATCAAATGTAATCTTGCGTCTGCAACACCACAATGAGACCAGACCAATCCCTGACCCGACCACGGTCCCAACGTGGACTACCCATGGTGCCATGGCTCCGTGCTCGATAAACCAGCTTGGATATTAATAAGAGCCGTTCCTTACTTACTTATCAACACTTAGATTCTCAAGTAAAGTTTACACTTCACATTGCGATTTTCGACTTCTACAAAACCATGATGCACTACAACCTTCCCACGATTATTAGTCGACCGTACTGCGACCCTTATACCGCGGCCTACTCGGTGGTGCGAAGCGCACAATTCATCTCTGCCATTCTCGTCGCTGCGGTTTGCGGCATTGACCTTGGTGCTTGGTCGAGGCTTCAGCTTCATGCTGACTCTAGATGGGTGTACGCCGAGGTGGTCTCTGGCCTGTCGGTGATGCTGTCTCTAGTGCTTGGCATCCAGGGGCCAGGCACGCAATCTGCAGCTCGTCTTACCTGTCGCTGCTTATTGGACTCTGTGGTGAGCCTACTATGGCTAGTCTCCAGCGCTCTCTATGGGAAAATTGCAACCAATGGTACTGGTGCCGTGGCGTTGCCATTCTCCAAGTCAGCCGTCAACGCCGCCTTCTACCTCAGCATTCTCAGCACGCTGATATGGCTGACGGCTGCTATTACAACTTGCGTACCTTGCCGCCGTAGAGGGAAAGCGAGAATTCCCCAGACACAAGTGGCAAATTTTGTTGTGGAAGAAGATCGAGGTCTAGGCGAAATGTCAAAGGTAAATTTAGTGGAAGAGGGAGAGGGCAGTAGTGAACTGCCTCCGCCGTATTCGCTCTCAGAAGCCAAGAATGGAGCAGCCAGAGCTGCTACGAGACTTGGGAAAGCCGGTTGATCGAGAGAGATATCTTTCTGTTAGGCCTTGAATTGTATAGTTATCGGGGCTTTTTTTATCAACTTCTTTATTTTATTTGGAGTATCTAAATGCCCTTTCAAGCACTGCATCCAGTAAAGCCCAGTGAAAGCGACATAATGTGCCTGGCCGTACCCAAGCCAGAGAACCGCGATGTTTCGTGTAATACACCATGCAATTGTATACTTGTAACTTGACGATTTTCGCTAGGATTAGGCTAGAAACGAATCTTGGCTTCGAGGGCTGTGACGTTGGAGTGAGAGGCGATGAGCCAGATTTTTTTTTCGCGAGTATTACTGGGGTTGGAATGCGCAAGTGTCATGGCACGGCTAGTCAGAGTGTCAAGCTTCTCCACATGACGCCCACAATGCTTTGGCTGATTGCGTAAGTCTTTATATCCTATGCGAAAAAAAACGTGCGGCGACTGGACGCCCAAAGCATCCGGCCCATATAATACTACCTATTGATTTCCCTATTTGGCAACAATATTGAAAGTCGCCAACAGCGAAACATGGCTGATAGAACTGCAATGTCGTTTCTCTCCAGCTAGTTCAAGTTATTTCGGGCTGCTCCGCGGCATACGACGTAATATGCGTTCCTGGATAGGCGGGTATTAGCGGTCTAGTACAGGTTAAAGGATTAAAGGGAGACGGATTATTATATAAGACCCTCCTGGCGATACACAACTGTCTACGACAAGTGCGATACTTACTACCCAAACAATGCGCCCTTCTCTGCTCTTCATTTTGCCCACCGCGGTCGCTTTGCGAACGTGTAAGCTCACGCCATCTGACCGTGACTGGCCCTCCCTGCAGGAATGGGCGGCCTTGAACAGTTCTATTGGAGGTGCCCTACTCCAGACTCACCCGGCGGCGTCTTCTTGCTACCGAGGAAACCCCCTCCATTCATCTGTTGCATGTAAAACCGTTGAAGCCAACTGGACTGAATCGGCATTCCATGCTTCACTGCCCGAGTCCATCACCTCTCCCCTTTATGCCAACGATTCCTGCTTGCCGCCCAGCGCGACGGTGTACAATGCCACGGCGGGATGTGCTCTTGGGGGGTACCCGGCCTATGTGGTGAATGCTACTAGTGATGTTCAGATTGCTGCGGCTGCTCGATGGGCATCTCACAAGAACATTCGCATTGTCATCAAAGGCACTGGCCATGATTTGAATGGAAGGTAAGCTGTAACTTACCCGACTTCCACCATGAAGGGACACTGAGACTCCTGCATATAGATCCAGCGGCGCTCATGCCTTGTCCATCTGGACACGTCATCTCAAACACGTCCAACTCTTGACCAACTGGAGAATTCCCGGGTCAAACGAGACAGATGCCGTACTCGTCGCTGGAAGTGGTCTGAATTACGGCGAAGCTGTTCTCGCCGCCCTAGACGGGGGACGTGTCATCGTGAGCGGCAACGACGCAACCGTTGGTCTGGGCGGTCATATTCAAGGCGGCGGCCACGGCCCCTTATCTAGCACCCATGGCCTTGCCGCCGACAACATCTATCAAGCTCGAGTTGTCACGACGCAGGGTGACATTCTCACTGCCGACGCAACTCAAAACCAAGATCTTTTGTGGGCTATACGAGGCGGTGGTGCCGGTCAGTATGGCATTGTCACCGAGTACGTCTTGAAGACGCATCCTGCTCCAGCGACAGTCGTGTGCCCCGCCTTGAGCTTGTCGCCAGCCGATAATACCTCGGCTGCGTATGAAGCGAGCTGGAAGGCATTCGCTGTTCTACTACAGGATCTTCCGGATTTGATGGATTCGGGTTTGGCTGGTTCAATGATAATACAGGGCGACCCCAAGCTCGGCGTCAGTGTTTCGCAGGGTTTCTATGCATACAATATGACTGCATCGGCCGCAATCGCCTTGATCAAGCCAACCGTGAAACGCATGCAAGCAGTGGCTGGATCCAGCACCCACGCTCCCTCTGTCGCCATTTCCACGACGGCTTCATATTCCAGCTACCGTGCTTTCTTTGAAGGCTTGATGGCAGGGGGCTCTAGCACGGCGGGTGCAATGAGCATGATCTCAAGTCACCTGCTAGGCCGAGCAGAGCTATCTGACCTTGATTCAGACAGGCTGGTCGCATACGCCAAGCGATTTCTCAACGGAACAGGTGAAGCGAAATCCAAATTGGCCGTCATTGGGTTACAAGGCGGTCCAGGTCCCGCCAACGTCGACCCAAACATGCGCGGTGCTCTCCTCCCAGCATGGCGGTCGACTTATATCCATGCGATGAGCTACAGCGCCACCTTTGACACGACGCTCACGCCAAAGAAGATGCTAAGTAAGACGGCGGCCCAGTTGAGCAATACGACGGAGAAGCTTTGGAGAGAGTGGGCTCCCAACACAGGCGCATATATGAACGAGGGTAACCCGTTCACTCCATACTTTAAGAAGGACTTTTATGGTGCATCTTACGATCGGCTACTAGAGATTAAGAAAAAGTATGATCCTACTGAGAGTCTATTTGTCTTGTCTGGAGTGGGAAGCGATCATTGGGACTATGATTTGATGACTGGGAGTCTTTGCAGGGTTGACTAGTAGTGTTAGGGCCCACATAATCACGTGTGAGGCACCATTGTTACAGGCCCACATAGTCACGTGTGAGGCACCATATTGCTGTTGCTACGCTGGCACTCTTTAGCTAGCCTTTTTCCTCTGATACATGATCAAGCTCTTCACTTCTTTTAGCTCTCTTGCAATACAACTTGTTAGTTGCATCACGAGCTCTTGTGACCTCGCTATAGCTCTCATCCGCGGCCCCTTACAAGTAGTTAGTTTGCAACCTCAACTAGTTAAGCATGCGTAAATTACGCATTGATTCATTACCAGGACACCTGCTTCTAAGTACATCTATACAAACCCCGTCTTCCCCCCTCGCCTACCTCCTCCTCCTCCTCCTCAACTTTACCCTACCCTTTTCTTCAACCCCCCTTTTTTTCCCTATTAGTCTTACCCTTCTTCCATTGTTACTTTCTACTTACATTTTACCGGACAACTTATAAGGGGAATTGCCGGACATTACTGTTCCCCTTTCTCGACCTACGGTCTGACTACTAGCCCCGCCGTTGGCCTCTTATTCGTGTTCTCCAGCTCATGTTTTTACGTTCTGTAAATGTGAGGTTAGATGGATCCGACTGCCACGGTGTTGCAAATAACCTGTGAAGCGTTGAATTCGCAAATGTTTGAGTAAGAGTGTTATTTCTAGAAGACATGCAATGTCCTGAGTCTGCCCCCTTTCTCCTTTGCTATATTTTCAATAATGAAATGTTGCTATCACGTGATTCATTTATTCCAGCTGCACCGTAACAACCACACTTCTCGTGGAATCCCCTGGCCTTTTATTCACGATATTGTAGACCGTATATCCTATCGGACAAGATAGCCTAGGTAGTCAACTTGACCTAATCCTTACTCTAAGTCAATTAAATCTGTTAGGCACCACCCGAGTCTCCTCTGTATCCGCAACTCGGATCTTATCCTCCATCTCCTCGTCCTGGTCATCTATCTTATCCTCTTCAATAATGTCAGTATCTTGGTCTCCCTCCACTCTTTACTGCGTCATTGTCGAGCAGGGTCGCTCTGTAGTGGAAGTGTATGCCTTTCACAACATCTCGCTTTGATGAGAAAAGAGCCCGCTTAAAGGTTAGCCTCTTCACCCGAATACCATATATAAAATCATCCGACTTTTCAAACTCCATCGAATCGTTTGATTCGTTCTTGGGCTCTATACTTGGGCCAACTTTAAAACCCTGAATCCCACCCGGCTGAGTCAAGCCAGGACCGCCTTCCCTCCCTTCTTCTTTGCGGCGGCAGGCCCACGCGCGATCTTCAATCCTGTGATCCCGTAGACAGGCTCCCACTTCCCGCCTTTAACAAACTGCTTAACTAGCTTCTCATTCATGCTCTGTGTTATGAATCCCTTTGTAGCGGTAAAGGTAATTTCTTCGAGCTTCTCGAAGCGGTAGGAGTCCTCGGTGCTCCGTTCTCTCGCGAGGCTGAGCTCCCCCCCAAGCCTTCGATGGCGAATTTGGCCCAGACACCGTACTCGCCGCTCACGAGCTGAGACCATTTTCCCACAAAACCTTCCGTAGTATAAATGTACTATTTTCCGGGTAGGGGAAGCCGACATGCGTCATTGATAGGCTCGACATCGGTTAAATTATCGACAATCGTTCCAGGTGAAGAGGCCATCTGGAGGGGGCTTGATTGTGAAGCGTGGAGCTAAGTGCAACATTGGCTTCATTTTGACCATCTCGGAGGTACTAAGAACCATCATGATGGAGCGATGTCGAGGTTGAAGTCTTTGAGGCAATGGTGTGGGCGAGATTTGAGTGTATATACACGGACTTGCATAGGCGGGCACCAATCCTAACGGGGCCTTTCTTGCACATTGTAGCAGCAGCGAAATCGCTTATTGCAAGGACGGCTCGCGATTGCTGTATAGCAATATGAAACAATGAATTGAGAGCCATCCTAGTAATTTGAAAAGGCATGTACTAGAGTTCAATGCTCGCTCCACCTGTTGGGGCGACCCCGGTTATTATAAAGTTACGCAAACCCTCGCAAACCACGTTCCAGCTCCTTTCGAGCTCAGTCGGGTTATTTTCCTCCACTTCTTTAAACAAGTTCCAGGGAGAAATAAAGTTAAAGGATTGCCGTAGGCTTGCTAAAGACCGTAGCAGTCCCTTCATGCCCTGATACGAATATAGAAACTTGGGATTGTCTAATATCCCTGTAAGATTGGTGCGTGCGAATTCGAGTATGCTTGCTGCTATTCCTGCGGCTATGGGAGTTGCTAACGAGGTTCTGGACTTTAACACTTGCTTTCCAGACCATTCTAATACTATTACTACTCCGACAATCGAGAAATTATCACATCCGTAGTAAGGCGTCGAGTTAAACGTCGCAGGGTTTCCGTAGCCGTCTGTAGCGTGGATGCAGATAACACCAGGGAGGCAAGCTGGGGATGCTCTGGGAGCCAAGCCCCCCCCGTTAGATGCTGCTGCGAATACGAGTTTCCGGTGGTCGAGTGCTGACTTGATTTTTTGGGCTACTTCCTCTAGTTTCTTTTCCATGCCGAAGGACATGGTGATGATATCGGCGTTGACTGTTTGCACGGCCCAATCAATTGCCTGCAGAAGGGCGGATTAATAACCAATGCCTCCAACGGACGGAGACTTGAAGTCTCTAGACACGAAACTCACGTTGGCGATGACTTGCATCTCGCTCTCGTCCAAATTTTTATCCCTTGAAAACTTCGCGCCGCAAATCTCCGCTAGCGGCGCCGTGTCCAGAAGTAATCGCGTCACATGTGTTCCGTGACCATATATGTCGAGTACATCCTCCCAGTCGGTCCCAGTAGGGCTCCATCTATCTGTGATATATCTCGTCTTGATTGCACCTTTGATGAAAGCATCGTGGTAATCCAACCCTGAGTCTAGAACTGCAATTTTTATCTTCTTGCGGAATTTAAGGGCCTTGTGCTTTTCTCTCAAGGGCTCAATGTATTGGGCGTTGAATAAAGCCATTTTCGCAAAGAAGTTCTAAAAATGGTACCTTTAAGCTCTTGTCGAACGACCTGGTCAGCTCATATATCTCTCGAAAGAGATTCAAGAGTAAACTGACCTTGCATCTATCGAAGACTCATCGTCAAACAAAGTCAGGACAGATGTACCTGGTTGGAGCCGTGTGCGGCGGGGACACGGCACTCGTTCTAGCGAATCTCGACAAGGGACCTTGTGTTTGGTACAGGGTGTAAAAATTGGTGAGCCGCCTGATTTGGGTACTTTCGGTGACGGCGGCCCGCGAACTTCTTCAGCCAGGCCCCCCGGATTGAGGGTTAACTCTAGGTTCTCCAGGGTTTAGGAGCGGATTCCTTGTAGTTAGTTTCCGATTTAGATATCATCTTGTTTTGAATGAGTTTTCGTTCTTCTTTGAGCCCTCTCTTGCCATGATATCGAAGAAGTTCGAAACCAAACTCAAGACAGGCCATAATAGCGTCTCTGTAAGCCGCATTCTCGCACTTTAGCTCGCTGGTGGCTAGGTCGCGGAGCATCTTCCGCAGCTGCGTGTATCCAAGCGCCTCAGTTCCCTCGGGAAGAAGGTTGCGGCCCAAATGGAGTTCCAAGAGAATCTGGGCTAGTTCTAACCACATTGGATGGCAAAGCTGCTCGATTTTCGTCTTCCTTTTTATTTTGAGCTCTCTGTCGTTGGCGCTTAGCAGTTTCCAGCGGATGTAGGGCGTGTGTCTAGAGTAGACCCTTTTCGACCCGTTTTTTTGACCGGCAGGGAAGAAGATTTCATGAGCGTTCCATTTGATAGGTTCCCATGGCCCATTGGACAAATAAAATAGAGATCGGGCTAGATTAAGGCCTAGTAGATATCGATCACATGATGAGTAGACCTTGCTATGATCCCCTTCGTCGATCGAAAAGAAACCTTGATCCAACAGCTTACGCAGAGTCACATGCGTAGCAGGGGATGGATGTGATAGGCCTTTCTCATCATAGTGAAACTGGAATTCAAATTGATTAAATTTGAAGTTCAGGGCCTTTTGGTAGGATGCATGGACTCTGGCTTTCTCGCACAAGGCGTTACTGTTATCATCCCTCTCCTCTTCATCATCGTTTTCGTCGTCGTCCTGGTCGTATGAGTGTGGTTGGATTGAACTTATTGCCTAGGTAGTCGGCCAGGATTCGGGAATTTATATATATATTTGTTTCTCGTTCTTATAAAGACCATGATAATACTTACCGTGCGACTTCACAATGTGTCTCTTGCCACGGTGGAGACTCTGAATTACAAAGGCACAAATAAAGTTCGAAGACGGGTGAATATTTAATGCTAGTTGCCCGTACTTTAAAACCAGTCATTTTCAGCAATGCGTCGTTGGAGCAACTCCCAGTCTGTAATGTTAGGTGTTTGTGTAGATCTTCCAGAGACTGTTGAATTTCGTCAGAGTCATGGCCTTGAGAGTCTAGTTCACGGTCGTTTATCTTGCTAACGATGATATTATTTCATTTATAATATAAAATACACTTTTTTTCGAACAACACCTTCCATTCTATTGTATAAAAAAGCTAAGCTCTTACCCCTATAATTGCAAAAATACTAAAGTGGTGATGCAACTAAAAACTCTAAGTTTATCTTTTGCCTAACTCTTCAGCAAATGCCTAGGAATTAGCGCGTGTATATCCTTTGACAACCTCTTTATAGACAAAACGGTGCCCTTATCTTCCGATAGCTGCCTCGTAAGCCCTACGAATCTTTCTGGTAGCGCTAGTATTAAATATAACCAGGAAAAATCAGCTGTTCACGAGGTTGGTCACTGTCAGGAGTCAGGACTAATACAAACATTCAATGGTAGCTGTCATAGGGACGGTAACCACATTTCCGACACACCCGCGCAAACAGGGTTACTTATACGTGTGATAAGTCGCAAGACACTTGCCTATTCTCACTAGGTCTTCATCCTATCTATAATTATATGGGGTATGCTTAATATTACGTTACTACTTTTTCATTCTTCTTGAAAGTGGGAAGAAATCGTCTAGTAATAGAAATACTAATTTACTTTACAAAAGGTTAAAAGAGAAAAGAGAATCTGTGGCAACTCAAAAATACCATGGTATCATTAAATTCCAACTGCGATTACACGAAAACCTTTATCTTGTACAAGGTGAATAACCTTTTATTTAATATTATTTGAGACGAGCCGCTATAGCCGCGGTTTATAATCTTCCACGAGTGTAACCCTCGCCAGCTTCTCTACGCTGAGCCACCAGTGCAATTGCTGTTGGAGGTCCTGGTTCTCCTGGACCCCGCATGTGGCGTAACTGATGAATACGAGGCGAGACTCTGGGTATAAGATGTCGCGTCGCAGCTCGCCAAGTAGCCAGCAACTTGACTTGATCAGATTGTTGAAATGGCCACGCAGGAAAATGTTCAGCGTCTTATCCAAATTCGCAACGCACGGCTGAAGGAAGCGTCGGAGGCGCGCGACGTGGATGCGCTCATGAAATGGCACGCTGCCGATACCACATTCACAGACAAGGGTGCGCCATCCCCGGCTTTGGGTTGCGATTACGTCTTGCGTTTTGCTAATTGTTAGTGAATGGCACCGTCGTCTCTGGCTGGGACGCCGTCCGCGACCACTATGCAAAACTCTACCTCGCCATGCCGACGTTCCGCATCCTCCAATCCGAGACAACCGGATATACCCCCGAATTCGTCGTCGGCGAGTTTGAGTGTGAGGCCGTTCCGGGCGCGGATATGCCGCAGTGGGGCATAAAGAAGGGAGACGTCCTTCGGATAAAGGCTGTTTCTATGTTTTGGTGGCGATGGGAAGGCAAAGGCGAGTGGACGGGCGCCTTGGACGATGAGGCTGTGAGTGGATGGAAGATTTACAGAGAGAAGGTATACAGTATGCCGGGGTTGTGAGTGTCTGCAGGCTATCCTGAGCGAATAATCTAAACTGATGTATACACACTTTTAAATGCAATTGGAATTCAAGAAAACATACGTCCGTTGTGATAATTCCGCGCTAATTACCTGATATAGACGCTTGCTTTAGCTGAGAGCACTTGTACTGCCTGCTTTCGCTATCTAAGCAAGATTACAAACTTTCATCGTTAGCTTTCGTATGTTAGACTCACACACGAAAGCATGCGTTTGGCAGGATACAATTTCTGCGTTACACCTCTTTATGGCCCTTATTTGAGACTAGTACAACCAAAAACACATGTCTAGTTATGCGTAGCAATACCGGCGCTATATATATGCGCCCTAGTAACTTGGTTATAAAAGTGCCCGAGTTCTAGATCACGGCTCAAGAGTCTATGGAGTAAAGAGCTAAGAAAACGATGCATCCTTGCCCAAGGATAAACTATGCGCTGCATCTTAACTCGGGGCCGGCTCGGTTTACATTTACGCCTTCGGCCGGCCTGCCTTGCCGCGGAGATGCTTCTAGACGCATGTGCCCTTTGCCCATGTAGATGGCCGACGGCATAATTTTACCTGCCTCGTGCTCGTAGAGGCTACAGCACTTATTCTACACAATGCTTTCTTGATTCAAGTTGCCCCAAAGAGCAAATGCCAAAACATTGCCCATGCCACGACATAATAAAAACGTGCCCATTTATCGCAAACCTCCAGCCTCGACGACCCAGAGCGAAACACCTTGACGCGCCCATTCACAGTCTTATCCATGTACGTGAATTGATTCGGCGTAGCAGGGTAGCGGTCGCTGTTAAAGGACGAATTCAGCGTCACAGCACCGACAACAGCCCCCGATTCGAGGCGGACGTACGTGTCGACAGTCAAAGCGGCAAGTTTGTCTCGCCTCACGACAACCTCCCTGGCGCCTCGTATCCAGTCGCCGTACCCTCCGTATCCAGAGTGTTGGCCGTAGCACAAGTTGAGCCCGTTGCCAACAACATCCATCCCCGGCAGGCGGGAATCCCACCGGTAGCACCAGCTCTTCCCGTGGTCGTGGCCGTAAAAGAGTCCCATGAGACCCGGGATGCCGACCAGAGCCTGCATAAAGGGCTCGTCTTGCCCGCCATAGTCGCACGTCTCGTGCAGGCTATTGTTGCGGCACCAGCCTTCGCCTTGCTGGGCGACAGCTAGCTTGTCGTCTATGCCCGGCTGGTAGTGAGGCTTTGGCTTGGCGTCGGTTTGCATTGCCCGTGTCGCATTAATGGGGATATGGACGAATGCAAGCGACGGAATGACCCTTTGGTACCTTTTCGTTAACAATGCATTGGTTTCGTTGAACCAGGTCACGACGCTGGCGTGCACCCAATTTGCCTGCGCAACGCCTTGGAAGTAAAAGCCTCCGCGGCTGTCGAAAAACCACAGGACAAGCTCCGGAGTGCAACCATCTCCGGCACAGGCTGCTGGATACACGAGAAGATAGTAGTTTGTGGTTCCTGCGTCTTGTGCCGTCACCATGTTCCGCGTTCGTGCCCCGGGCCACATCTGTTCCCGCTTCAAAATATCGCCGCTGTCCGCAGAGTAGCTGTGATCGTGGTTTCCGTAGGTAGAGGCCCATGTGAGATTCCTGCGCACGATGGGAGCGACGATTTGATCAATGTAGTGCGTGCTGTTGTGGCTCTGCGTGCTGTCGCCGTCGATCAAGTCCCCGTTCAGAACGACGAGCTCTGGACGATCAAAGTCGAGAACATCGCCGATCACGCGGACTGTGTTGCGGTCTTGGGCCGGACCAATGCTGGACTCATCTAGTTGCGAGATGGCCTAGTTAGCGACGAGGCGGCTGTGATGGAACCGTTGCTGTCGGCGCTTACACTGCCCGAAATGCATGTCGGAGAAGATTGACATCTGGAAAGTGCCATTGTCATTGAACTTGAGAGAGGGTAATATGTCGTTGGTCGCCCGCGGCGTCAGAAGCTGTCGCGATACTCGGCTGGCCAGGTCCGTCGCAAGAAACACTATTCGTAGCATCTTGCTTCCAATTTTGCTAGTGGGCCAGAGAAAAAAAAAAAAAAAAAATCAGGAGTCAGTCTCAACCCTGGCAAAAGCAGTGTCCAGTGTTCCTTCGATAAAGTTTCCTCCATCGAGGACAATGGCGCAAATGGCGTTGGCTAGCACCATCATGGGAACCATGATGTAGTTGGCCGAGACGTTTGCCCAACCATGGGGGAACTGTGCCTTGTGCCTTTGTCTCTCTCGGTGGCATTGTACTCTGGTAGGAGTTCAACATGGAAGGTGTTTGGCCGCTGCGCTGGCTTTTTGCCCTTTCTTGCCAGGGCCCATGAGTTATCAATCTCCAGCAACTCGTAATTTTGTCCGCAGCCGGGCCCAAGTTGACACCAGCAGTTGCCCAGAGAAAAAAAAAAAAAAAAAATCAGGAGTCAGTCTCAACCCTGGCAAAAGCAGTGTCCAGTGTTCCTTCGATAAAGTTTCCTCCATCGAGGACAATGGCGCAAATGGCGTTGGCTAGCACCATCATGGGAACCATGATGTAGTTGGCCGAGACGTTTGCCCAACCATGGGGGAACTGTGCCTTGTGCCTTTGTCTCTCTCGGTGGCATTGTACTCTGGTAGGAGTTCAACATGGAAGGTGTTTGGCCGCTGCGCTGGCTTTTTGCCCTTTCTTGCCAGGGCCCATGAGTTATCAATCTCCAGCAACTCGTAATTTTGTCCGCAGCCGGGCCCAAGTTGACACCAGCAACTATATAATGGGGATCCTGTATGATGTTTTAGGCAAAGCCGCGGGCGAAACCAAGCCACAAGAACTTTCTGTGCCGCCCGTCTTGGCCCTATCCACTCAACTCGCAGGCTTTCGGTTCACCACGGCCACGATGACAGCCAGATTCCAGTGATTCCTGCCGCACCATAGCAGATATACCGACCGGGACACATCCGGGGAACTGTTCTGCTACGTACGGCAGGACATAGATCCATGACGTGCTCAGAACCCCGCCTGAGAATAACGCGAAAACACGAGTGCCTGGACTTGACGAGCCTAGTATTTACTATTTTCCATCCAATACCCCACTTCTTTCATCATCATCACTGAAATGAGTAGCGAGACCGGTTCCCCGCCGTTGCTGGACCACTTGGTAGTCCTCGTGTCTCACGCGACACTGTTACAACTGCCGAGCCGACTCCAGCATTTACTAGTAATTGCTCCTGGCGGAACTCATGCCGACGGAGCCACAACCAACAAGCTGATTCTGTTCGAGGACGGTTTCTACATTGAGCTCATTGCATTCCTCGACGGCGTAGACCCCGAGCTCCGAAACAAGCACCGCTGGGGTCGGGAAAAGGAAAACACCGTCATTGACTGGGCCTACACGCTTGGCCACGAGCAACAATTCGAAGCCGTGAGGGAGCGCGTCCGCCGCGCCGGTGCCCCTATCCTCTACACTCACCCGGTGCCGGGGGGTCGAACGAGGGAGGACGGCGTCGTCTTGAAGTGGGCGGTGGCTGTTGCTCAGCATGACGAAGACGGCGCCGTGCAACCGGGCAAGCTGCCATTCTGGTGCCTTGACAGGACGCCACGAAATCTTCGAGTCCCGTACGACGAGAGTCCCCTCCAAACTCGACATCCGTGTGGTGCTCGCGGCATCTCGACTATTCGTGTCAAGGTTCCTGCCGCCGAGCTGAAAGCGCTCGGTCAAGTGTACGATGCTATTCACAATGCCGAACAGTCTGCGTATAGCTGGACCTTTGATGTCCCGTCCCCAACATCCACTGCGACGCATTCCGTCTCCTTGGTCGGGAGCGATGAGTTTGCTATCGATATCGCTCTATGGGGTTCTCCGGGCAGCCCGCGCACTATAGAGCTGCTTCCGGGTGTGAACTCCGAGATACACCAATAGACGTTGCACGGGCCCGTGTGATGGGAGATGCGCGCAGAACTCACAATCTGGGCGTGTGGGCAAGTCTCAATCAAGTCGCCGTCTCTCGTTGGCCTGTTGCGCTTGTTGAAGAAGCTGCATAGAGACAAATTCTCACAGGTTTTCATATATTTACAATCCATCCCTGTCAAGCCTGTCTGCCCGTTCGGTGCGTTCTAGTGGCACACACATACATACTCCGGCCCAGCGATATCATTTACAAGCGCCTTGTAGCCCAAGACCATGTTGGAGTCTCTTGCATCCATTCGCATTTGTACAAGCGTTTATTAAAGGGAAGGATATTGCGTAGCTTAGCTTGTTAGCACACGAGAGTAGCAACTCATTTTGTGCCGTGCCGCTGATTCTCGCCGGGATCAACAAGGTTCGCCCGATCGTTATTATGTGCTTGGCGCTCCGGCATGCACCATCACCAGCCTGCATTCATTTTTATTTATTAATTCTTTTTAATTCAATCAACCTATTCCAAAATTCGTGCAAGCACTGCATATCCGGTAGGGATCGTATCAACACCGTGCGCCTGGCCTACCAAGACTAGAGATCCGTCACATACCGAACGAAGAAGCGTAGAAAACACGCATGCGTGAAAAGCATACGGATTTTGAAAATCTACTAGCTTCAACTGAACACCATCCGTTAGTTTGCTTCATTCCCGAGGGTTATTTATTTTTATTTTTATTTTTTTATATTTCTTCTTCCAGTTGCAATATCACGGCCCACAACTACAAAGTTCAGATACTGGACAAGCATAATTTGGGGTTTCCATCTGATGCCTGCTGGGAGATAACGGTGCATTCAACTGCATCGAATTCCTGCGTGTCGTGGTATTCATTGACGGGACTCTCAATCATCGCTGCCGCCTCTTATATTGTGAAATAACGTGGCCACAGCGGAAGTGTTACACGGAGGCCACGATGTATCGAAGGCACAGGACGACCCTTGAACCTGATGATAGTTACACAAGGGCTCGAGACCTAATTGGGGCCTCGGGTTTCCAGGCTCGCTTGCTCACCGCTGCTTTGTATAAATAAGGGGCATCTGCCCTCAGAGGCCTTGAGGAAACCAAGGACCTTTGATATAAAAGCGAATTATTAGCTGAATCGAATATTGTTCCAAGCCCTTAAAATATTAAACTCTTGTCACAGGAAGCCATACACCTCGGGCGCGAATAATCAACGCTCATTTTCTCTTTATCCTACTTGCTCATTGATGCATGTCTCAGTTTTATTGGCGTCACACAGTCCTTCATGGTCTTTGCTTTGGGCATGTTTCCGCTTATGCCCGAGACTGATGATGGGAGACATACGTGCCGTTTGCTTAGCATGGTGTTGTGAGATTAGTGGCCATTTGAGATGTGGACAGGCCCGCCTCGCATCGTTCACCCGTCATATCGTGGTGTTTTAACGCATGGCGAGTCACTAGCTGAAGAATCAACGATTCATTTAGAGTACAGGAGCGTATGGATGAGTGCGCCCACGTATACGTTGTGTTTTAATACGAACATCAAGTCCTTGCCTACGGAGCTTTGAGTCTCAAAGCACGCGTTTAATTCTCACCTTTGACATGGACGTTGAAATGATGCAGGTTTCCAAGAGAGTTCAGATGGCTCATTTGGCCAGGTATTTGGTATCTGTATCCCTGCTTGCTGGATACTTTGAAATATAGCGCAAGTCTACGGTGAAACGTGTTTACATATCAACACGTATAAACTGCTTTATAGTATGCTCTTCCATATTTTTACCCCTCGGGTTCATTCGATGAACCGGAATAAACCATCATTCACTATAGTCCATTATGGTCTAGGGCGCAATAGCTCGGTCCTTTGGCCAAATACTATTTGCCTGCCGCTATAGATCAAGACCAGTACATGACGTGTGCAAGTAACCGCACATGTCGCAACGATGATTCCCGCTGCGTGTTTCAGGAAACCAAGGGGCTGGCGGTCCTAATTCCACACTTGCCTCAAGGCCGAGTGTTTACCGGAAGGCATTGGCACTATTTGGTGCAATGAGAGCTCCGATACCAGAGGGACGAGTTATTTCGATATATCCTCACTATCACAGTGCAACAGTGACTTTTTCATGGGATTGGTGTGAGGACACCCATTTTTTTTTCTCGATTACCCTTATACTTTTGAGCCTGATAGAAAAAACCCTTTTCCCCCTACATGGCTCACAGCTTTTTCTCTACAATTCTCTTTACATCATCCAGATCCAATGCCGGCACGTGTCTGCCCTTGTACCCCGTCATCGACTCCGCCATGAACATGGCATTGTAAATAGCCTCCTCGGTTGCATCTGCAGCAGCCTCAAACAGCCCGTTCATGGTGTCGTTGTCCGACATGCGAACGACCCGCTCAGCCGGCGTGAAGTCGTTGAACCCGGGCCTTGATTGCAAGGAAACATCGCCAAACGGAACCTTGTTTGCCGTTGAAAAGGCAAGAAAGATGTCTCCCGAGTTGTTGTTTCCATAGCCTCCGACCTTGCCAAGACCAACAGTCGCGCGGGTAGCAAGCCTTTGCAGCTGGATTGGGATGAGAGGCGCGTCTGTGGACACTATGATGATGATGCTGCCGTCCTTGCGTGGTTCCGGTGCGTCGACATCCGCCGGCTTCGCAGACAGCTTGCCCTCTCTTTGAAGGATGCGCCCAACGGGAACGCCGTCGATGCAAAGGGTCTCGGCTAGTCCGTAGTTGGCCTGGACGAGGACGCCAACCGTATAATCGACCTCTTTCCCATCAGAGCTGTAGCCCTTGACGATGCGGCTGCTCGACCCCGTGCCTCCCTTGAAGCGATGGCAAATCATGCCCGTGCCGCCGCCGGTGTTCCCCTCGGGTACGGCATCAGCTGTGGCGCTTTGGATTCCCTTGATGACGTGCTCGGGGGTGACGGCAAACCGCGCCGGGTCGCTCAGGAACCCGTCGTAAGTTTCCGCTATCACGGGCAGCAAGAAGAGGTCTACTTCCCCGCCTTGTTGGCGATGGTGGCGATAGACATACTCGGTTACTCCGCGGTAGCCTTCGCCAACAGAGGATGTTGCCGTGATGATGATGGGTGAGCAAAGCAGGCCAGTTTCGTTCAGCCAGTGCGACCCAGTCATCTCGCCACACCCATTGAAGCGGAAAAGCCCAGCAAAACTGGAGAATTTGTGCCAGTCCTCGCGCGGCAATATGGTGGTGACGCCGGTGTGAACATCGGAATCCGGCTCAATCGACTGTGTATGCACAAGGACGCCGGGGACGTCCGTGATGGAGTTGAGCCGTCCTGTTGGCCATCTTCCCAGGTAGATGTCCGGGAGGATGTTGCGAATCCTGTCGCGACCAAGCTTGTTTGTCCCAGCCATTGCGAGGTCAAGCACGTAGTTATATGTATCCGCACTGGAATATGAGCCAGGAGCAGGATGGACTCAATATTGATTGGCCGCTAATATTGGGGTGCCTGGGGTTTATCTCTGCCGCATATATGCAGTTATGCCATCACTCACCTTGCTCCCCAACGACGAGATTACCACCAGTTCGTCGGTACGAAGCGATTAGCTCGTTTTGCGAAGGGCCCCATTAAGAACGGCCGGGAGCAAATAAGCAGATTGAGGGGGTTAGCATCTGCGCCACCAGGGAGAGTCGGTCACACGCAGAATGGATACGACCATTGATTCATGCAGAGCCAAGATTTGCGGAATTAGCAATTCCGAGGGATGCCCTATCGCAACGCTGCCCCCATTTCAAGCTATTATTACGTGGGGATAATGCGCAGATTTCACTGGACCAGTGTCCAGCCAAGAGGCTTTGAGACTGGGAGACTGGAAGCCTTCATAGATTTGCAAGTAGGGAGGAGGAGTGTACAAATTGAGGTCGGACATGAGTCGTGAGTCGTCAGTCGTGACCAAAGGATTCCACATCGCGATGCATCTACTAATATAGTCACGTCGGGCGCTCAGGCTTTTTCAGATACCACACTCTGCGGGTTTCTATTTCGACTAGCCGTACTCCGTAACTAGATTACCAATGGCTCATGTCTGATAGATCGCCCCCCCAAGTCGGCGCCCAGCGCGTCTAGGGCGAGTGTCATCCATTCTTGGGCGCTGAAACCCGTTACAGCTCCCTGCTCGTTGACTGACGCGCTGCCATGGCTCGATATGCCTTGGCAGACCGCACTCTAGCCTTCTTGCCCCATTTCAGAAGAAGTACAGGTATAAGAAGAATGAGACCCAAGATACCAGCGACCAATATATGAACATTTTGCAGGCCCATGGTTTCAATCCAGGGGGTGAGCGAGAACAGGACGATGACCGACAAGACATTTCGAGTGAATATGATGCCTATCATGGAGCTCCCGACAATCTGCGAGGCAAAGTCAGTCAATCATCTGACGGCAATCCCGTAGTGTGCAAAGAGAAAAAAAAAGGCATCCGGATTCCCGTTGCGGACGTCCGGGTTACTTACGTCGTGATAGCAGTCCATGGCATAGGACAAGGCAATGCTGCCTGCGACAGTAAGGGTGAAGCCAAAAAGACCGAATCCGACCGCGAGCAGTGGCCAAGCGGCACCCTGATGAAGCAAATTGATTAGCACCGGTTCAAGTAGTAGTGATGAAGATTCCCACGAAATAAAGAGCAGCCTACATTTGCCAACCCCACGCCCAGCATGAGAATGCCGGCCGGACCAATAATTGCGCAGGGCAGTGTCAGCCAAAGTCTCATCTCTGGTTCGTACACGCCGCCGTTCTTCCTGGAGAGCCAAAGAATAGACTTGTCGTTGAGGGAGCCGCCGATAAACACGCCGGGAATCGTTCCCACAAACGGTGCGATATTCATGAGCCCTACTCCGGCGGCCGAGAAATTATACGGTGGGTTGAAGAGGAAGATGGCCTGTACCGACACCAGAATGGCAAACACGGCAAGCATGCTGCCGTATGTAATGGCCGTAAAGGAAACAGCTGGAAACGTAAACAGAACAGGAAAGGGCTCGTGCATATGTCGAAGAATCGACTCGTCAGTGCGTGTGATCAGGGTCATGCGTTCCCGGTACGACTTGATGGGGATACTGCTGTCGATATAACTCCGAGACTCGGTGCGTTGCATGTCGTCCTCGCTTATTCGGAAATCGGACTTGTATGCCTTTTCTTCGACGTGCTGACTGTCTTCCTTGGTCACGTCTGATATAGACACAATGTCGGCCACCTGCTGTCCCTGTACCGTACCGACAAACTTGGACTCCTCGAAGAAAAACACGACAAGCACAAGATTGACGCCAAAGAAGATGACGCACCACCACCACATCCACCTCCACCCTTGGCTGTCCACAATGTATCCGGCGGCAACGGGTCCGAGGAAGGCACCCACGCTCGTGAACAGCAGGTAGATGGCATTCATGACGGCGTGCTGGTGGATGAAGAAGATGTCGCAGATGGTGACCTGCACAACCGTCTCGCAAACGGCGCCGCCGAGGCCAGAGACCAGATTGGCCATCCACATGTCGGCTTGGGTGTTTGCCCGTGCGAACCAGATGCACGAACCGAGCTGCAGCATGGCGCTGAAGATGTAGAGCGGGCGTCTTCCGTACTTGTGCATCAGGGGAATGAACAAGAAGCTGCCTACAGCCAGCCCGGCGTAGTTGAGCGCCGTGGCGCCGTTGAGCATGCCGACGGTCAAGCCGAGCTCCTCCTGGTACTGATTCCAGGCGGTGAATCCAATGTCGAGCTGAACAAACGTCAAGAGAACATAGAGCTGGACGAGCGAGTAGTTCACCGTCTTTCTCAAGGTAGACCAGTTGAGCGGATCGTTGGGATCTGTCGTCGGCACGGGGTGCAGGACGACCTTGTCGGAGACATTGTTCACTTTACACCACGTATTAGTCTGGACCTGCGTAAAACTTGCAAAGTATTCGCGTAGAAGACGGGTTCGACATTACAATCTTCCAGAGATACTGTTCCCGGCACGTCGTTTTCGTCGGTACGCTTCTCCATGCTTGCGAGGGCTATCCAGATAGGCCTGCTATCTACAGAGTATCAGAATACCGAGGCGGATATTTTTTTTTTTTTTTTTTTTTTTTTTTTCACAGCGTTGGATACATACTGAAGATGTTAAATTCAAAGACTATGTGCTCTTTTGGTTCGACGTGTTTTCAGGCAGGACGAGGGTTTATTATCTACTTGCTGGAACTGTCTCCACATAGGCCATCGGCTCCGACAAGACTGAGGAGTCAGGACCTTTCCGTTACAGGATAAGAATGGGTTATGACGGTACTCCAGGGTCCACTGTAGATTGTAAGATGCTGTATCGAGATTGTGCCCTCCCTGATCGTGGGGATTATTGGGCCGTCGTGTTGGCAATGGAGCCAAAAGCCCTGCCATTGGAGGGCCGAGCTGATATCCCGACTTGACGCTGGAGTTGCTGACGGAGGCCGATTGGCGGTAATGCATTTGCGAGACCGCATGCTGCGGGCGCTCCCTAGCCAAACCGCCTTCACAGCGGCATCTGGGGTAACCTTGTCGGCCCAGTCTTCCCAAGACCGGTCCTAGTTTGGGGTATTGGGGGTGAGATTGGGCGTCTGATGTCGGGCACACTGCGACCTGACAGAACAAGTGCCGGCGGCAGGATTCACTGCATTCATACATAATACGCCCAGAGGTCGATCACAACAAGCTTGTTTTATCGCTATGAATACTGTACATGCATTACCAAGACCACCTAATATAGAACCGTTGTTGGGGGTTGATGCCAGGCACACCGAGACCAGACAGAACCAGTGCCGGTGGCAGGCAGCAGATGGTTGCAGGATTCACTGGATTCACACATAATACGCCCAGAGGTCGATCATTGTTTTATCGCTACAAAGACTGCATATGCATTACCGAGACTACCAATATAGAACCGTTCAAGATCCACGGGCCCGGCACTGTTGTCCAGGGCATTCCGTAAAAGACGGCCGTTTCAGTTTCATTCTGCTCGGCATTTTTCACGCTGAAACAACTTCATCCATGCTGCCCATGGCCTTTGTCTCTTCCACGGCCCTTTTCAAGGCCGCAGGGTGACGAGGGACAAACCTTGCCCGATACCGATGCGGCAGCGCCACCAGACTCGTCGGATCCGAGTTTCCGGTGACGGGGTGGCAGTCCACCGTGTCGTATTTCTCGACGCGGAAACTGTTGAGCAGTCTCATGTACACCAGGTACAACTCCCGGTTTGCCAACAGAGACCCGGCACACATCCGGTATCCAATTCCGTAGGTAAACAGAGGCGCGTCGGGCTGCTCAAACCACCGCTCGGGGCGGAACACTTCTGGATCGTGCCACACGTTGTTGTCTGCAAGAGAGTGAAGATGGAGTTAGTGCGTGAATCCTCGGGTGTTGGGAAACGCTGGGAGAGGTGAAGGTTCTGCCGACTTACCCATGTTGCAAGCCCAAGCATTGAGAAATACAATGGATCCCTTTGGGATGGTGAGCCCAGCGTACGAAACGGCCTTTGTCGATGCGCGCGGCAGTGCCAGTCTGAGAACCGTAAAATACCGCAGCGACTCCTTCACCAAGGCGACGACGTAGGGGCACTTTTGGTCGTCGTTTTCGTCACACATGGGGTTGTCTTCGTCGTAAAACTTTCGAATTTCCGACACCGCCTTGTCTTGAATCTCGGGGCTTTGTGACAAAAAGGCCACAAACCAGGCCACTTGGGTTGTGACCGTGTCCAGACCTCCCGACAACATGGTCAGACTGATGGAGGTGAGCTCCTCCTTGTTGAGCTTGGCGTCCTCGTCGAGAATGACATTGGCCTGGATGCAAGGCTTGTAAGTTCCGTTGGCGATGCGCTCGTCCAGGCCGTTGTTGAGGTTGGTCAGGTAGACATCACGCCGGCTACGCATCTCCTTGGCTTTGGACGAGTGCATGTTGATGGGGTTCAGCCGCAGGAGCGGGATGAAGTCCTGGAGATTTCCCGTCGTCGACCGGAACCTGCTAATCTCCTCCTCGACATGCGTGATTTCGTCAAACAGATTGTCCTTTTGGCTCTTGAGACGGATGCCCCAGTTGAGCGTCAGGGCGAGGGATAGGGACAGGCGCTGGATCATGGGCATGGGGTCTGTCGGCGTCTTGCCAGCCTCGCCGTATTCGTACAGCTCCCTCACGAAGTCCCGGGACTCGATGTCAAGATGCGATATGTACATCTGGATCGAGGGCTTGTTCAGCGCCGAGGCGGCGCCTTTGCGTCGACGCTTCAGCGACTCGCTGTATGGCGATGTCCCAATGGTAGTTCCCGCCGTGTCGGAAAGAACCTTGGATACCCGTCAGCAAGTGCAGAGACTGTTGTGAAGAAGCGACCAACCTTGTGAAACGTGTAAAATTCAGGCCGTGAGCTCATTGCTTGCGCATTTTGGCCGAAAATAGACCTCCCGGCCGCCGCAGAGTTCACCACAACGACTGGTATATTGCCCAGCTGGATTTGGTAAACGTCGCCAAACTTGCGAGCCCATTCGCGGTACTTTTCCGCCGCATTCACTCTAATGTCCCAGAGATTGCCTATGACCGGCAGGCCTTTCGGCCCCTTCATCCCCCCTATGCGTGCATTGTACCGGATAACCTCGTTGACGAGAATGTAGATGAGTGGCGCGAGAATAAAGGTGACTGCGAGCGTCTCTAGGGTAAATCGTCGCTCTTGCTCTCTGATCAAAGAGACCAGCCCGACTACTGGCAGCATCGCGACTGTGTGGTTTCAGATGGGGACGCAGGGGACGCTTTTTTGCTTCTTGGCGGCTCAGCTGCGTTGAGGTTGATCACGGCAAACTGCTACACTAAATACGTCGATCTGGGGCCCGTGTGTCCTTGTCAGGACTCGGGACGTGTCACTTTATTATAATGCAAAGGCACAGCAAGGGGACAGCGCGGTTGCTGTCGGTTCCAGAACCGCCGCGTACCTGGGGATCGGGACACTGGGAGCCTGTCCGACGACGGGCTGGAGGCGTATTCCGCCAATACTGGTCGGCCTGGTCGGTCTCGTGCAGCTTGACCGCCGAGGGGAAGCACCAAACATGGACGACTTGGGCACTAGACGAGCAACATTGCGCTGGATAGCGTCCACCGCAGGCAGGGCTGAGCTCGCCTTCTCCAGGATTCAAAACTCGAGTCAAACAAACTTGACCCTCTTTCCCCGCTCCCGCCATGACTAAAAAGGACGGATTGCCTTGGCCGTCGGTGTTGAAGCGTGGGTGCGTTGCCACCGAAAACGCCAACTTCGGAAACCCGGAAATGGTTCCGGACAGTCGCGGAGACCCGTTGCATAACTTCCTCGTCCCACCCATTCACTGAAGATTGGTTTGCAAGGCCTGTGTCATCTTTGCTTTTCTTCCACTCGGAAATGCCACCAAGCAGCCGAAGAGCGTTCCGGAAATGACACAGCCAGTCAAGATGGAAGACAACTCATCGCCTGTGAGCAACCAGGCGGCCGACGTGGAGCCCCCCAAGCGACCTGTGCCTCCCAATCTGTCGTCTGAGGCCGCTCCGAAGCCGAAGCGTGGCAAGTATACGTCAGTTGCATGGTATGTTGTTGACCTCCGCCGAGATGGGTGCTGCTTGCGGGCCACCCTTGACAGGACGGGTGCAGGGAAGAGACACTGACGATGATGATGTTTGAAGCAACGAGTGCAAAAAGAAGAAGCTCAAGTGCATCCCGGTCAATGGCTCTAGCTGTGAGCGATGCACCGCCGGCGGCGTAAACTGCGTATTTGCCGCCGTCACTCCGCAAAGCAGCAAGAAGAAGGACGAGAGGTGGGTGGACGTGATGCCATCGCAAACCACGTAATGGCATGGCGAGAAACTAATCGATGCCGGCCCATGTAGCAACCATCAGATGCAAGCTCTGGGGGATGAGCTCGCCAAACTACGACAACAAGTCACTGATCTCTCCAGGACAGTGGATGAGCTCAAGCATCAGTCACCCGGAGCCCGGACCGCGATAGCCAGTCAGTTTGACGCCGTGGCGGCTCGGTCCCCTTCCAACACCTCCAAGGACAATGTGCCCAAGCATCCCCAGTTCGTAGGGCCTACGAGGCCGTCCTACGGACTTGTGATAGCCGAGCGGTCGCTCACCCGCATGGGCATACCGGCTTCACCCTCGCCTTCTCCAAGCGGTGCCCCGTCCCCGGCAGAGCCTGAGCAGGCAGAAGCTACGGATGCGGAATTCTGGGCCGAGTGCTCTCCAGAGGAGATGGCGAGGCTGCTGGCCGTCTTCGAGGAGGAAGTGGAATCCGTGTACCCCTTCATAAACATCCTCGAGCTTGCGGCCAGGTCGGAGCAGATTCTGCGCGTCATCCGCGATCCCTCGTTGCTGGATGAAGCACCCAGGGACGTCCACGAGCCGCCTTTGACCGTGACGGATGTACGATTGGCCAAGCTTGCGGTGGCCACCGGAATTGCGATAGAGGCGCACGGCAAAAATGACCTCTGCGCCGCTATTGCCGAGTCAGTCGTGGCCATGGCCGCGCGGATATCAAGGACCGAGGTAGACCTCAAAGGAGTCCAACTCTTGATAATGCTGGTATGTACCTTCCTCGCCTTCTGGCAAGACTGCGGCCACTGTATTTACCGCCGGTGGCAGAGCATTTACTACTTCCACTGCGACGATGAGTTGCTGGCATGGAGGACAATCGGCATTGCCGCCCGTGAAGCTCTCGAGATGGGACTGCACCGGCGCAGAAGTCTCTACGACAACTTTACGGATCCGCAGTCGCGGCATGCCGCGCTGAGAGTCTTTTGGTGCTGCTATGTTCTTGATCGCCGATGGAGTTTCGGCACAAGTCTGTCGTTTGCCCTGACGGACAGGGACATTGATCCAGCGCTTCTCGAGCCAGTCAGTATCTTCAAACCCCCCTCCCTCAACCCAAGTCATGTAGCACTAATCGGAACTCGATGATCAGGATATCGACTCGTCCTACTTGAAATGCATGGTGGGATATGCGCGGCTGTGCTCCAAGCTGTGGGACGCAATACCGCCCTTTGGCTCGCCTTGCCAGTCGATCCCCCCCGATATTGCCAATGCCTTGGACGCAAGCACGCAGACGTGGCTGGAATCCATCCCTCCTCATCTCCAAATGCGGCATCCGCGGGCCTTTTACTCGACAAGATCACAACCCCGTGTCCTCCACCGGCTTCGCGCCCTCCTCTACCTCCGCGGCAACCTCACCAGAATCTCCATCTACCAGCACCATCTGCTGAGCGCAGCCACCATCAAAGCCGATCTCCCACGGGCAAAGGTCGCCGTCGACCTGGCCCAAGACACGGTCCAGGTCCTGGTCCACCTCAACGCCACGTCGGACATTTACTCGCGGCAACAAAACGCCTTCAACTACTTCCTCCTCAGCGCCTTCGCGGTGGTTTCCCTGGCCATCTGCCACGCGCCCAACATTTTCGCCGCCGGCTGTGCCCAGAGCTTCATCGACGCCATCGGGCTCGTGAGGGGCTTCAGCCGCCACAGCATCGCGAGCCGCAGACTGTGGAAGAGCATCCGCGGCCTGCTGCCACGCCTCAAGAGCCTCGGCCTGCAGGACTGCGACGACGGCGACCGCAGCCTGACGACCCGGGGACACAGTCCCGCTGCCTCGGGCCCTCTGAGCAGCAGCGACGGGCCGTCCTACGTTCGCAGCCGACCGTCCATCAGTCGCACAGACGACGACGTGTGGGCAAACGGCCGTCAGGCCCCGAGCGGTGCCCTGGCTCACCAGGGATTGGCCGGCGACATTCCGGACATGACGGGGCTGAACAATGATATCCTGAACCTCTTTGATACCCTGGGCCAGGGGAACCAGTTCCAGGACGACTTTGACTCTGGCCTCTACAACGCGCTGGATGTCGACCTCGTCAACGGCGACGGCTTGGACATTTCGCGGCGCTTCTTGCAGGGACTCATGTAGACTCGGTTCATGATGCTTGAAAAACTATATATATGGTGTTTGTTCTTTTTTTTTTCTAACACGGGTTTGATTACATTTATACGCCATTCTCCAAATATACCATCATTGCGCCGGAATGCGCCTTTTTCGCAAACTCTTTCAACTGTGCGTGTGCCGCGCAGCCATTGTCGTAATATTCCATGTCGTCGAGGGATTTGAAGACGGAAATTGCGGCAAACGTGAATCCTTGCGCTCGCTGATCCGGCTTGGTCGGGCCAGCGGTCACGGATTGTATGTACGGCTTGCCATCCTGGGGTTACGAGTGAGAAACTGCCAAAACCAAAGAGGAAAAAAAAACGGGTGGCGTACCTTTAATGCTTTACTCGGCATCCCCTGGTATAATTCCAATAAGCGTTTTCGGTCATTCTCGCTTTCAATTTTGAACAGTGTAACGCGGTGAATCGGTGCCATGGTGGTTGCAGCGTCCCCAGGCGAGTGGTCTACGCAAAGTAAGTCCGGTGGGAAATGAATTTCCGGCCAGCTTGGTTGCATGTGGGCTATGAATGCTGCGGTACCTTTTATAGTGGAGGGCAGATATGTTTCAAGTCAACAGTGTTAAAGGGGCGAGGTTGGGAGTCGGAATTCGGAAACCGGCGGCTGAGTGTGAGCCATCCCGTCACATCGGAATGCTGCTCCGCGGTGATTCAGCACTAGATACCAGAGAATGATGGAGGTGGAAAAAAAAAAAATCTGAAACAGCGGCGAGTATTTGAGAAATTCTAGCGAGAAAAAAGTCGCGCAAATGGATTCATTTCCTCACGGGCAGCAAGTTGCCATCTTGACCCCACGATATGAACAAACTCACCGATGCTGGTGGTGGCTGGCTAGATTTCAACAAAATATACAGGGGCCAAGGTGGCTTCTCCCATGAGGAATTCACAAAAAGATGCCATGCGTGATGCGTGAATGCTCACAAGTGAAACACATGTGCACGAGTCAACGTCTGGTCATGTTCCTGGGCATGTTGTGACCGGGGCTTCATCTGGTCTGCACATGTGCACTCTATCGTCTAATCTATGCGCGCATAACTAGCTGACATTTTGGCCCAAAACCCCCGTCTATACCATCTACACACCGTTGCCATTGACCGCGGAATTGCAGCACTCCCCGTCTGCCAGCTTCGATCCAATGTCCTTGTTTGACGGCACGTCAATGGCAGGGTTCCCCGTGAAAAAGTCCGAAGGAGTAATGTGCACCTGCAGCATCTCCACGGGCCTGGAATCGCGTCAGCAGCCGGCCTAACTAAAAGTGAGCATGTAGGGGGAGGGGATTCATACATGACGGGCCAGTCCTCGACCCTGGGATTGTGCGTCAATCCAAAGACGCTCCATACCACAATGTCTTCGTTGTCGACATTATCCCCCCGAGCAGCCGCGTCGGCCAGGCCGTCGACCTCGCGCCGGCTTTGTAGCGTGTATCGACCACCGGCGTACAGCTCGTCGTCCTTGTATTTGGTAACCCACAGGTGATGTCTCGCGAAAAGAGCACGGTTCGACTGGATGCTGTTGGGCGCGGCCAGCAGCAGCTGTGTGGGCGGGGTGGTGATTTTGTATCCGACGGGTTTCCCGCTGACCGGGTTCTTCTTGGACAAGTTTTGGACCTTGAAGACGCGGTTCTTGAAGGGGTCGAGATCAATCCCGGCCGACGTTTTGATGACGGACGACTGCACCTCGTACAGGTTGCCGTTGGGATTCGTCGCCGGGTCCACGGGCACGGGCACGCTCTCCTCCTGGACAAGCGAGTTGCTGTGTCCATCAATGGCCGGGTCGATGCGCGCGCAGAAAATGTGCTGGTGGTTCTGGGCCAGCGTTCCCGGATTGACAACGTTGCCCCATGGCGCCGTCTTGCCTTCGTCGATGTTGACTACCGAAACGATGCCGGTTGCCCGGGCTTCCAGGGTGATGCCGGCGGCTTGGTCAAACTTGAACGCAAAGACGTACTCGTAGTTGGCGAGCGTAATGATGAACTGGACCACCAGCTCTCGACGCCGGGTAACAACCGCACGGCCGGTCCGCCAGTTGGTGTGCTTCCAGTTGATTCCGTTATCTTGCTCGTGCAGGCAAATAACGTTCTTGCTCACTTGGGCCGAGCCGTCTGGGTTGGTGAGAAGTCCGTCAAAGTACTGCACGGAAGAAAGCGTCAGCACCCGCGGACGTCAACCTTGGAACAGGATCGAATACTCAGCTTACCTTGATCACACCCAGACAGTCGCATCCAAGTGTCAGGTTGTTTACGCAGTTTCCCAGTCCACCATCGCCAAAGTCGAATGCTTGCTTGCGGTGGAAAGGGGCTCTGGGGTCAGCATACGGCACCGTCTGAGTTGTGCCAGATATTGATTAGCCCATGTGAATGGTAAGTAAGGGGCGGGGATGGGTGCATGAGGGCCATTACCATGTCACTGATGCTCAATCTGTACAAAATGTCGCGCCCATCGTAGCGAACATCGTGCAACACGGCGCCTTCTCGTGGGTTAAAGGTGACACGGAACCGCCACTTCTGCCACTCAATGAGGTTGCCATCAGACACGGTGAAGCTCGCGCCCTCGGGCTGCACCACGGTGAGAGGCTTTACGTCTTTTCTCGTGCCGCCCGGAATGAGTTCGGGCACGTATTCTGCCGACCGGCAGTGGTCCAGGACTTGCTTCTTATGCGAGACACCGCTGAGGGCGTCGCCTTTGCCGCCCGTTGCGGGCTGGTCAATACGAATCACTTCCTTCTTCCTCGCGTCTACAATGGGGATGAAGGGCAATGGGTACGCGTAAAAATTGGAGTCTGGGTTCCCGCTTCTCGTGTCTCGACCGAAGCACAGGGCTTGGAAGAGTCGAGTCTGGCCGTCGGCCTCGTCGGGCCCTCCATACGGCCAGGGCTCCACGACTAGCTCGAATCCTTCGGGCAGCTCGATGGACTTGAGCTTCTCCTGGAAGACTTTGGAGTTCTTGACAACCTCTACTACCCTCTCGAATTCATAACTACATGGATGCGTGAGCCGGCACATCTGCTGAAAACGGGGCAGCGGTGGAATACCTACATGGACAGACTGGCATGGTGTTCTTGGCCCACAACCGTGTGCTTGACCCTTTCGGCTGTTGCGACATTGATGACAGACTCGTGGTATTGCGTGGGTTCCGAGCCCCCGATGACATCGTACTTGACTTGGGCAAGACGGACAGGGCGAGGGGTATCGGCCGTCACCTTGCCCGCGTGCTCAAGGCTCAAGAACTTGAGCACATCAGCCTTGTTGGGCTCCAGCAGATAGATGGCCCGAAAGTCAATGACGGCGCCGGGATGCAGCCTCAGGACTACATCTCTGGCAGCATTGGACTCCTGGGCAGAGAGATCGGACAGGGGGTGTGGGACCGTAGACATTGTCAGTGCTCGAATGGATGGATACCTATTGCAGAGGATTGCAGGTCGGCGAGAGAACAAATGCGTTGATTAAATGAGGCTTGGATGCCGCATGGTGAGGGGAAGAGTCGTTGGTATGGGGTCAATATTCGGAACACGGCTTGCGTTTCCGAGTGGATTTGCCATCATGTGTTTTCCCCGGTCGAGTCTCCACAGCATGGGCAATCAAGATTACCAATTGCCCAAGTTTGAGGTTGATATCGCACGGGGCGCGTCTCCAGATGGCTCCTGGTGCTCGAGTCTCGGAGCCGGTGGGTTTCACCACTCCGTTATATCTTGCCATGCATGCAGAATCCTATCAGGAGCCGACGGAGTCAATAAATCCACGATCTTGACATGTCCCACTTCTACAAGATTCATCCTGGGACCGGCATGAGTTGGAGACGAGCCTCGACGGTCATGATGAAACAAGACCACGATGTAGGAGTTCTCCAATTTGGCATTCAAAGTCAACAAGAGTAGATGGAAACAATGAGTTGAGCCGAGGACCAGTCGACACTTTGGGCAACTCTGGTCTACTCTTAAAGGGACACAGCCTCGCGACAACCAAGCACCCCAACTACCTAGCCAACCAAGTGCCGCTTGATGCCTTTTACGGTCAACAAGGGCGTCTGGCTTAGTTTCAACGACAATATCTGAGTCCCATTGGCAGGCTGCGCCCGGCATGGCCCGCTATACCGCAGACTACGGCCTCTATAGTGTGTCAAAGTCGGGCCCCAGCTCGCACATTGCTCGAGCAGTGTTCCATCTTTGATTATCAAGAGTCTGGCAGCCCTGTGAAACCGTGTCTGCCACCGTCCCTTTTCTGACGCGACTCCCCACGAACTCGGAACGTTGGCCCCTTTCCGGAAACTGAAAGGCGGGGGAACGCCAACCGGGGATATTAGATATTAGCCACAACACAGAGAGCAACAGCTCTCTTATCTCGATGGCATTATCGGTGTTGTATCTCGTCGCTAGGCGGATGCCTTGATGGAGCATAGGTCGCATCCTCCCGAGGCTAGTTTGATCGACACCACAAAATGTCCGTCATGACTGCGGTAAACGCATCTCTACGATTCCTTTTAAACGGTTGCCGACGCAATCCAGACTGCGCGCGCTTGTCTGGAGCGTCTGAATAGCTTTTTTTTTTTTTTTCCAATTTTCACCGCATTGTAAGCAAAAACCATGGACGAACAGCATCTTGCCCAGCTGGGTCATGAGCAAGAGCTCCAGAGGCGATTCTCCCTGCCGGCCTTGGTCTCCTTATGCATCTGCCTGATGGCAACGTGGGAGGCCACTTCTTCTGTAATTGCAACCGCGCTGGTCAGCGGTGGCTCTCCCTGCCTTTTTTACAACTAGTAAGGAAAAACAGATCATCTGCGATAAAAAAAGAGTTGCCAAGGCTGATCAAGCGTAGCGTCTTGTCGTTTGTCTTTTCAATGTGTGTGGCTTTGTCGCTTGGGGAGATTGCATCCATCTATCCAACAGCTGGAGGTACGTGATGGACTTGTTCGTGCATAGTTGAGGCATTTACCAACCTCTTTACTCGCTACAGGCCAATATCACTGGGTTGCTGCTCTGTGCCCCGGGCCCAGCAAGATGACTGCGGCCTATGTGACGGGATGGATCTCGGTAGGAGGCCAGATAATTTTGACATCATCAGCCGCGTTTGCTGCGGGCCTGCAGACGCAAGCGTTGATCGTTCTGAATGACGACAGCTACATGCCGCTGCGATGGCAAGGAATGCTCTTGTACTGGGGTGTCCTTGCCTATGCCGCCACCCTGAACATCTACGGCATGAGGGTGATGCCTCATGTAAACATCCTCGCAGGTTGGTGTCCATTTCCCAATTTGGCGGTTCTTTTCTTTCTAATCTAGTCAAGGCGTCATCCACGTTGCGGGATTCGTCGGCATACTCGCTACGCTTGCAGCAATGGCCAAGAAGACGACCAGTCAAGTGGTTTTTCTTGACTTTGTCAACAGCAGCGGCTGGGATAGCGACGGCATCTCTTGGCTAATCGGGCTTGTCAGCGCTGTATATCCCTTTCTTGGGTAAGATGTTATGCCCCCCGTCGTCCATGACAATGTTTGCTGACTTTTTTGTTTGCGCAGCTACGATGCCGCATGCCATCTTGCAGAAGAGTTGCCTCAGCCGAGTCGAAACGTGCCGCTGGCAATGGTAGGAAGCGTCTTTGTCAACGGAGTAATGGGTCTAGCCTATGTTATTGTGCTGCTGTACTCGGCTGGGTCTACGGACCTAGCAAATGCGTCCTTGGGATTCCCGTTCATGCAGATCTATCTTGACGCTACCAACTCACGGGTCGGCACCACAATCATGTCCGTCATGGTCATATTGATCGCGGTCGCGGCCACCATTGCGGGCATCATGTCGTCGTCGAGAACCCTTTGGGCATTTGCTCGCGACCGGGCGACCCCTTATCATGAGGATTTATCTCACATCAGTCCCCGTCTGCAGATTCCGCTCAACGCAGTCATTGCCGTTGTCGCGCTCCAATTCGTACTGGGCTTCATCTACCTGGGCAATGACACGGCATTCACCGCCATCCTGTCCATGGCAATCATCGGACTGTATTTGTCGTATCTATTGCCCGTCTTGTATATGCTTTTCCACGGCCGGTGGAACTTGCAACCGCACCAGTACGGCACATTCCGTCTTGGGTTTGTGCCAGGCATAATGCTTAACCTGCTGGGTGCCATGTGGATGATTACTGTCATCATATTTAGCTTGTTCCCGACGACAATGCCTGTTACTGCAAAGAACATGAACTACTCGATAGTCGTGTTTGGTGGCTGGATGGTGTTTGGTCTGCTCTACTATGCATTTCGTGCCAGGCACAAGTTTCAAGTACCCTTGGTGGACTCGGACGTTATCTCCGGCATGGAGACACATTTGGATGAATTTGAGAAGAGTGAAAGGGCAGGTATCCCGACAACATGTTCTCCGCTTACTTAGCTAGCCATATTTTCATCAAGCCCTTTTTTTCTTTTTTGGGCCGTATTCCTCTCCTAGCAACCAACCTGTATTGCAAAACAGGAAAGGGCGCCGAGTAATACATTTGTAGTACGCCTATTGCTCGATCCCTTGGAACGGCCTTCTCAATGGTTATTTTTTGAATCGATACCGCCTGCAAGGAGTCTGGAGCAAATGCGAAATCACAATATTTTGGGGAGATGAATTATTAGTCTCTTGCTGGTTGGAACCCAGCATTAAGTGCCAGCAATATTTATGGTAGGGTAGTTACTGCGATATATCTATTTAAAAAAAAATACGATGAGCGTGACTAGCTTGTCGATGTTGCACTAGGTGATGCGCCAGAGGCAGGGCTTTCTAGCAAGCCTAGGAGCCGAATTATGCCCTGTGCTTTTTGTCATGTCCTTTGAAAGATTTTTTTTTTTTACCGAGATTTATTCCTGAATGAAAGTCCCGTTATATAGTAACCACACTACATCTATCCAAGAATATCTTGTTATAACAGGCCAAGTCCTTGCTTATTCTCTTACTATTGGTACCTGGCCGGCTAGCCGGGCCCATCTCTAGAGTTTCTGTGAAAAGAGTTCTGTGAGGGCTTGGAGTCATGGCTCAATTCATCTAATAACAGTCTTTGATATCAAAGGTCCTTGGTTTTCCTCAAGGCCTAGCTGACCAAAGAGCTCTATTAATACAAGAATTAGGTGAGAGCCTTTGCCCTAGGTCCCGTGATCGTAGCTCTCGTGTAAGCGTGACACAGTGTCTATAGCTCTCGTTTTACTTTCTGCGTTCTCTTCCTCTTGTCTTTGGGGTATTACACCGGTCACTTAGCGAGCTATCCGTATTTCGCTCAGGCTATTATAACTCTGAAAGGTCCCGAATGCGACAGTGACCTTGAGGCAAAAGCACCCAAATATCATATCATTAGAGATGTTTTTCAACAGAAACTGACGGCTTCAGACAGCTCTTCAATAACTCAATTCCTTTATAATTTGCCAGACAACTGATTTCGGCCGAGGGTCATCTAATAGCTGCCAGGCGGTTCAATAACTACGCTACCTATCAACACCACCCCTATCGTCACTATAAATGTCACACTATTACACGAGGGCTATGATCAGGAGACCAGAGCATAAGGCACTCACCGCTTGTATTAATAGAGCTCTTTGGTCAGCTAGGCCTTGAGGAAAACCAAGGACCATACCAAAGACTGTTATTAGATGAACTGGGCTATGGCTCCAAGCCCTCACTGATTGCCACAATCAAGCACTCGCCTGATGAATTCTACAATCTAGTTGCAAGGACGTTTCTAGTCACTCTTCTAACAACGGCTGTATTTGCTTGTGCGCGGTAATAAGCATGCTAAATGCATCAGTATGTCACCGACGCTCTTGATCAAATATGGTAGCAGGCGGATATTTGCCAGCTCGCGCATTCAAGCGCCAGAAAAAAGCACTGTATCAAAGTACTTTAACTTGGAAATAAAACCTATCCCTATAGACTACTTTAAAACCACTGTTTCTGCTCAAAATCCATAAAAGGCGGCATTACAAATTCAGGGTTCCCTACTCTAGGGTACCCTTATTTCAGCAAGTTTAGATGACATACAAACAACACATAAAAAAACCAAGTTATAATGCCAAGATTTAATCAAAAGCACAAGTCAAGCACCCAAACACGGATATAGCAAAAACCAAGCACCCTTCTCAAGTATTCAGAGTACACTTGTATATTTATAAGACTAGCCTAAGATCTCCATAGTCAAGAGCACAGCGAATTATGCTCTTCCAATCAAGAACCCGCACAAACAATGGACAGATTAATTATTTCATTTTTGGATACACAACCTCGAGCCCCGCGAGATGCACTAAAAGCCTACCCCAGACATGCATCGTGAACAAGTACAGCATAACCTCCCAAACGTCGCAAGCAATGCAAAGTCGTGCCAATGTCGGCACAAATATTATATGTATGAATAGAAAAGCCTCTCACGGCTGTGCGTTGGTCATATCCCCAGGACCCTGAAAGCGCAAATGTCCACGGTATCCTAGCCGCGAAATTGGCTAGATGGATGATTGCAAAACACAGAATCTCAGAGGGAAACTGGCACGTTGACCACATCAGGGCGTGTACTGGTCATGAATCCAACCTCCGTCGGAGGGCGGAGGTTTGCTTTGCTTCTTCTTAATAACCTTCAAGCTACCCCCAACAAGCTTGCTCTAAAACGGGCGTCGTATTGCGCCCCCAGACGGCACATGAATTTACAGATTGACCGGGGTCCACAATCGAATCTCTACGGGCTTCCCGGAGAGTGTCACCCACAGAATGGGCGGCTCACTGCCAACCTGGGTCGACTTCAGAGGGCCACCGAGCGCGGTGGTAGCTATGCCACCGGGGAAGGTGACGGGAACAGGGACACTGCATGTGTTTCCGTTTGCGGTCACCGTCACCCGCTCAATGGACTTGCCGTCGGTAGAGTAGGTGTACGAAGACTTTGGCTGACACGCGTCCAGGGTCATGCGGTTGATGAAGTAGGTGGCGAGGTCGTCGTGCTTCAACGACAAGAGTGGCCAGTTGGTGAGGCGAGTCATCTCTTGGGCAATGGTCTCGACCCAGGCCATAATAAGAGATAGCTTCCCCGTCTGTGAGCCAACGGTGAGAGGGGCCACGTCTATCTGGCGCATGTTGGCCTGGTGGAACATGTAAGGGTCGGCTTGAAGGCTGAGAAGGTTGCGCGTGTTGACGGCCCGCGCGTTGTCAAGGAGGGCGTTGAAGTCTCCCGAGCCGCCGGACGTGTCTATCCACTCTTTTAAAGTGCAGGCGGGCAAGTCACAGTTGTAGTATATAGTGGTGGCAAAGCGCGGGACAATGGTGATGCCTTCGCGACCGTTTGATTGCACAGTCGAGCGCAGGGGCCAGTATACGCTGTCCTGGTTGCGCAACACGGGGCGAGTGTTGTCGCCAACCACGTACACGATGCCGTTGTCGGTCCAGGCCTTGATGGCGTCCGCATTGTGCAGGCCGGTGATGGCGGGTGGGATAATGCCCTTGGGAGAGAATCTGGCCGCTCTGTCGATACCCGTGGACTTGAGGAAGGCCTGGTTGAAGGAGATTTCACGGGAGGCGTCGTGATATGTGGCATTATTGAGTTCCTCATGGGAAAACGTGTGCGACACATGAGCAAAGGCGTTGAGGTTGGCCGTCTTGGTGAACCAGGCGCCGAGCGAGTCGAGATTTGCGCATGTGGTCGACCACGTGTAGCTCACGAATTCCGCGGGCCAGAGATCCACGCCGGTGCCGGGGGGCTTCACGAACTCGAGGGGTGTATCTGGGGGAGAGGTGTAGTCAACGGCGTAGGCTGGCTTACAAGTCGTTCCACCACTCGTCGTTGACGTGGCGCCGATGATGTTGCCGTTTCCATTGTGGCCCATCTCCAGCCAGAAGTCAGACCCGGCGGGCAGACGGGTAGCGAGGTTCTTTTGCCAAGTGACATGGGCATCCAGATCCCCGGTCCGGATCTTGAAGGTAGTATTGGCGGGGGAGTAAAGCTCCGTGTCCAGATGAATGTCGTCAACTTGGGCGCTCAGGTGGCTTTGACGTTTGCCGACAAACAAGCTGCGTGTCATCCAGTGAATGTAGGCGTGCTGCAGATAGCTAGAGGTCTGAGACCAGGTAGGATCCCAGCTAATGAACCAGACCATCTGCTCACGGCCATTGGCAGAATGGACCACGGCAGCAGTTGTCTTTGATGGAAAGCCTGCTGCCGCATCAAAGCTCGCCACTTCCTTGGTCGTGGTCGTGTTTGTGATGGTGGCCGGGTAGTGCCAGAGACCCTGCGTAGATACACCGGCATTTCTATTTTCACTTGGTTAGCTGCCGATATGTTGTTTCTTTCCTCCTTTCTCTTTCTCTTTTTCTCTCCCTTTCCCCCCCTCGGTTTTGATAGGTAAATACACACATGTCATGTTTCAGGTGGGCACCGTGCAGTGCACACCGCGTGAACGTGCTGCGTTGCATCGAGGTTGGATGGATGTGACTTACGCTTTGAGATTTGCCCCCGGGAACAGCGCGGTATTGGTGAGACTGATCTTTTGCTCAACATTGCTTCCGCAGCAGCCGGGCTCAGCGGTATTGGCAACGATGGTGCCTTTGGAAAAGAAGTCAGGACAAAGCGGACAGAGTAACGACGTTGCATTCCGTTTACTCACCATATTCTGCGCTAGGATACTCATTAATTCGAACCATGCGCACCTTGAACGTGGACTGGTAGCTGTTTATTTGAGCCCACTGCTGGGATGTAACGGCGCTCGCAAACGTGCCATTGTTATCATATGCCACATTAGAGATGACGACGATGCCGCCGAAATTGCCCTGTGTTGCCGAAGAGTTCAAAACGGGCAAGCCTGTCCCTCCAGCGGGAAATATGACTTTTTGATAAGGTATCCCATAGCCGTCAAGGCCCATGGCGGCGCTTTTAGCTTCACCTTCATTGCGAGCCAGGATCAAGACGGTGCTCCCAACGGAAATGGCGGCAGCTGGGAGGATATCGCCCAACACGGAAAGCGTACAGGCGGCCCTGGTGAGGGCGTTGAGAATACCGGACCGCATGGCTGGTACTGGCTTGTTGTGCCAGGGAAACAAATAAGACTGTGCCTTCTTCTTCTTCAGAAACTGGTGTCCAAGCTGAATTAGTCCAAGACAAACGACTAGCGAGCTGTCCCAATAAGAGAGCAGTAGTTTTAGGTTTGCGGGGGCTTGGACACTCTTTGTTCTTAAACAATGCGTCTGGAAATTTCTTCATCACCGAGTGCAACAGTCGCTTGCTGGGATGCGTGCGGCTGAAGGCATGACGAGTCACGAAACAACAACTCGCTCGTTATTAGAGCCAACCTTGCTCGGACTAGGAAAACAACAACGCATTGTCAAATGCCCAGAAAAAATTGTACCATTCTTTAATTAGTTTGCTCGGCGTATGAGGAGGTTTGACTAGGACCTGGCCAAATCATGCGAGAAGGTCGAATACGAGTCTGTGGCACATCCAAGTGTCCATCCGTAGTTTCGTCATGCCTTTCAGCTCTCACCGGAAACTGCTGACTGGTGCGTCCGAGAACAACGCAACCAGGATGAATGTATCCCTGCCCTGGCCTCCGCGCTGTCCAGAGTCTGGATCGGCTGGGACAACGATGGACGGCCATCCCGGGGGATTCCCGGCGCTCGGCCCCCTGGACGACGGTTCCCTTCAATGTTGGTTTCTGAACCACGGTCAAAGCCCCAAACACACCAGACCTAGACACACTGACACCCTAGCTTGGTCTGCGATCTAGGCCATGGTCCACGGTGGGGCGATCTAGGAGCATCCATCATTCGGATGTCCAGGGACGTGTCGGGATGTCAGAGTTTCGCCTCTTGTCCGACCGCCGCGCTGCATAATATCCTCGTTGCGGCTTGCAAAGATACAGCTGTTTCGAGAAACGCGGGCGGCCAGTTTATCATCATCTGATTTATTGGAAGCTTATCATGGACAAAGACCTGCAAGACGCTTCAAAACCACCGCCGCCAGCCCGCGCGCCGTGGTGGCGGTCCAAGAAGGTCATTATTGCTGCCGCGATCGCGGCCGCTCTCATCATCATCGGATTGGCAGTCGGGCTTGGCGTCGGCTTGACGAGAGGCAACGGCGGCGACAACGGCGACAACGGCGACAATGGCCAGGAGCCACCGGGCGGCGGCGCCGATGTCAACCGAACCACCATCTACAAGCCCAAGGCCGGCACTACATGGCAAATCATCCTCAGCAAGCCCGTCAAGCTGGGCGACAACGGCGAGGTTACGCCCAAGACCGAGGCGTACGACCTCGACATGTTCGACAACGACGCCGAGTCGTTTGTCGCGCTTCACAATGCCGGCGTCAGCGTGATTTGCTACTTCAGCGCAGGAACCTACGAAGACTGGCGGAGCGACAAGGACAAGTTTGACCAGGCCGACATGGGGAAGCCGCTCGGCGACTGGCCCGGCGAGAGGTGGCTCAACATATCGAGCCCTACGGTGCGCGACATCATGAAGGAGCGCATCAAGCTGGCCGCGTCCAAAGGCTGCCTCGCCATCGACCCGGACAATGTCGACGGCTATGTAAGTAGACTTTACCCAACGCCACTCGGCCCTCAAAAAGCTCACCTGCGATGACTAGCAAAACGACAACGGCCTGGGGCTCACCACCGACCAGGCCGTGGACTTTGTCAAGTTCCTGGCAAACGAGGCCGCCTCGTACAACATGTCGACGGGCCTCAAGAACGCCGCGGACATTATAGGCGACGTCTTGGACGTCGTCGCCTTCTCCGTCAACGAGCAGTGTGTCGAGAACAGCGAGTGCGAGTCCTATGCGCCCTTCATCGAGGCGGGAAAACCCGTCTTCAACATTGAGTACCCCAGCGACGCCGGCGCTGCGAGGGGCGTCAGCTCTACCACTTCCACCGACATCTGCTCCAGGAGGGGCAAGTCCAGGGGCGCCGAAAACTTTAGCACCGTCATCAAGAAGATGAACTTGGACGGCTGGGTAGAGTACTGCGACCAGAAGGTGTTTACAACCGACATCTTCAGCTGATGCGTGGGGGCGAGGCTCTTCGGGAACCCAAGCCACAGAACCATTTTCCAGAACTATTTTCAGGGGAAGCCGTCAACGAAGCGACATCTTGAGCGAATGCATGTGGAGAAGGAAGCCTTTTTCGGAACAAGCCACATGATTGTATTTCAGGGGGAAGCCATTTTAGGCAACCAATAGTCTGTTTTATACCATAACTGCCATTTACAACTAGCCGATTTTTCGGGCCACGGAATTACTTTCAGGGGACACCCTCTTTTTTAATAAGAAACTAATATTCTACACCGTAAACTACCATGTTCAACTAGTCGATTTTTGGTTTCAACTTGCCGAGCACTCGGCGGCGACAGCGGCGGCTAGTTCGGTCCACACCGACGGCCATTGCGTGTAGCCACCGTCCTTCTCGTCGGTCACGTAGATGCCCGTCAAGCCGTGTGTCAGCATAGACCTCGTCAAATCCCCCACCTGGGCGCCCTGGACCTGGCTGGAGTGGATCACGGCCGCCGTCTTGGAGCGGACCTCGTCGGCGGCATGCCGCAGACGCTGGGCGGCAAAGTTTTCGTCCCAATGATGATGGGACTGCTCAAAGACGACGACGTGGTCCGGGTGCACAAAGAAGGGACGAGGAACAAGCACCCCCGGGTTGTAGACGACCAGCCCGTCTCTGCCGGTTTCTTGACGCCACGTCCTCTTGGCATGGTGAGCAAGACTGGCCATGTGCGTCAGGTAGGCCAGCTCGGAGGGCGTCTCGTCGAAAAAGATGCCGCCGAGGGAGATTTTGTCGTGCTGATTCCACCAACAGTACTTGACAATGTCGCCACGCACGTCGGCCGCAGGACGCTTGCCGTAGCTGCAGTAGACGTAGCCAACGGCGCATATGTTGGGGATGGCGTGCATTGTTTCTAGCGCGGCCAGGTAGCTCGCGTCCGGGAGAGAGTCCGGGCCTGGTCCGCTGCTGGGGTTGACAATGGCGACGAACTTGACCTCGGGGTGGGCTCGCGCGGCTCGGAAGAGAGGATCCCATGCTGTCTCGAGAGGGTACATGTAGAGCGGCACAATGAGAAACGGCCTGGCCATTGTTGTCGTTGTTTCGCGCCGTGGATCGGGAAACAATGAAGATGCAAGCGGTTGAGAGTTGACGTGCTGCGTGTCAGGCGCAGGTCACAAGTTGGTTGCAACACTGGACGCGCGAGAGTGGTGCTGTTGCATGAATGCACGCACGCACAGCCACAGCTCATCACTGGCGTCCATGGATGTTGAGTGCATTTGCCAACGCATCCTTGCCATGACGCCAAGCCGAGGTCTGGGCGCGAACGCTCCGGGGCCGTCGTCGTGGGCGTTGCTTACATAATTCATTTGCCTCACCGACTCGATACCTGATTTATCTACTAGGCGCTCGCTCGAGGTGGGGTCTCGCCCCATTTAGGCGCGCACAGGGACGAGGCCGCTGCGGGATTTGCAGCAAGCAGGGCCAGTGCCGCTCGGACCCACCTTTTAGGCTTTCTGCAACGACTCCACGGACTTATGTGCCCAGCCAGTCAACAACACATCCCATCCCGGCGAGCCCATTGCCCAATCGACGGTTTCTGCGTGATGCACTAGCTGCATCATCTTTTTGACTCGTCCGAGTCACCTGAAACAACGCCACTCTTGTACAATTGTTGGATACGGCTCGAAACTCCGGGATGGCAAACGGCCCCCATGTTTTGGAAACAAGGTTGAAATTTGAGCAATCACAGCCCCTTTTAACACCTGCGTCGAGCCGCGTTTTATACGACGTCATGACAGATAGGTTGATCTCGCCAAGTGTGGAAAACGCCAAATCTAGTTATTATTAGGATAGATCTTCTAGTAGCAACAAACAATATATTCCGTAGTGTCTCCACAATGCAGATTTTCCCCCCAAGTCCAGATCCCTATTCCTGGCATCGGGAGAGTAGCCCTACCCGCCAAGGCCTTGGCAATCGGCACTGTATTTCAGGGATTATGCGACTGAACCGCTTCTCAACTCGGTACTTGGGCTTTGGATACGAAGTTCCACAAGTCTTCGGCGCACTGGCCAACGCTCTCTTTGGCCTCCCACCCCAACTCTCTGAAAGCCCGTTCGTTGGAGGCGACGCACGAGCCGACATCGCCTTCTCTTCGATCCGCGAGCCTAACAGGAATCGGCCGCTTCGAAGCCCTTTCTAGGCTGCGCACGGCCTCGGCCACCGTTGTCCCCGTACCTGAGCCGAGATTGAACGTGCGGAAGGGCTCCACGGACTTGGCGGCCAGCGCAGCGACATGACCCCGCGCCACGTCAGAAACGTGAACGTAGTCTCGGACAGGAGTTCCGTCGCGAGTGTCCCAGTTGGAGCCGAAAATGTCCAGTTCCTTGCGGGCCCCGGTGAGCACCTGGGTGATGACGGGGAAGAGATTGGTGGGCGTGCCTCTGGGGTCCTCACCTAGGAGGCCAGAAGAGTCGCATCCAATGGGGTTAAAGTATCGGAGACAGGTAATGCGCCACGATGAATCCGAGCGCGCAATGTCGGCCAGAATGGCTTCACAGAAAAACTTGGTCCTGGCGTAGGGGCTTTGCAAGCTCGCAAAGGATTCGGGTGTGATTTCGACCCCGTTGTCGTCGACGTATGACTCGGGGTGCACGAGGTCTTCCTCCCGCAGTGGCCGTCCCAGGTCGGCCTTGCATCCGTACACCGTGGCCGACGACGAAAAGACAAAGTTTCGGATATTGTGTTCGCCCAGCAGGGAAATCAGGTTGACGAGTCCGCAGACATTGTTCTGATAGTACTGCACGGGATGCGAGATGGACTCGGAAACGGATTTAAAGGCCGCAAAGTGAATAACACCGGATATGCGGGACCGCCGCACACCATGGGGAGCTTGTGTGTCGGTTTCGGAAGACTTCCAATTGGTTTCTGAATACAAGTCTAAGAGGCTGCGCATGCTGTGGCTGCGGTAGTCGAGCGTGTGCAGATGTAGGGATGGCATCTTGGTGCCCCTACTAGAGTGATGCTTGAGTGCCAGGTCTCTGATGCGGTTGAAGGCCACCTTGAAGCTGTTGCTGAGGTCGTCAACGATGGAGACGTTGTATCCCGCCTTGAGAAGCTCAAGCGTTGTATGTGATCCAATGAAGCCGAGGCCGCCAATCACAAGGACCACCTGGTCGGCGTCATAGCCATGTTGACATTCGTCACCAGGCGTGCTGGGACGTGAAGAATTCAACGAGGTCCCCCCGGACGACGTGACAGACTCTGGATGGGATAAGGACGGCATGGTGAATAATGGTGCGTGACTAGCAAGTGTCTGGAATAGCACTGGCATGATATGGCCAAGACGGGATTTATATCTGGTCTGAATTTAGTGTGCCGCCGGGGACCAGGAGACACTGGCGGCTGTGTAAAAAAAAAAATCTTTGAAAAAAACTCCTTTGCACAGTTGATACGACACACGGAAATAAATTGTGAGCCCAAGCTGACGCTATACGACATCAAGGTGACAGAAATGTCCACCGGAGCTGAAACGGCCTGTCGAAATTTCATGCTTCGTCCTATAGAAATCTAATGAAGCCATCCGTGCCACTAGCTCTCAGGTCGGCCGGCTCAGATGCATGACGGATGCTGCATTGGCTCCTCTTCAACTACCGTGCCGTATGCCTAGGGCCTTTGGTCCACGGGTCAATTCTCACGAATTAACTTTACCCTCTCACAGAGAGCCAAAGAGCCAAACCGCAAGCCAAGCAACCGCCTACTCAATTAACCTGCAACAAAGTCTCTCAACCTGACACACGTGGATTCGCCGTAACTGACAACCGTGGTACCGCACATGGACTATTACTAATGGCCAACATACTACTTTCATGCTTAAAACAACTGGGAATTCTCGTGTAAGCTTGTCTGACTATGCGTGCGACGTTTCAACATGGATATGCACCGGGTCCTGATGGGGCACATCACCAGCATCGACTCACGTCATCCCTGACTATGCAGCAAAGTACCGTCAGATCCGCGAACCAGCACGTTGCGGCTGAAAGGGAATAAAAAACAACCAGGGTATCGGCCGGACTAGTAAGGTTGGTCGGCCGGACAGGCTACTTGACCTGAGCGTGATCCAAATATAACCTAGTGTACTTTTGGACTTGCACCGGGATTTGCGGACCCAGGACCCTGGTAATTTAGGCTATTGGAGCCAGGGGCAAAACAGGGATCAGCTTGGAAACATCGAGCGAGGAGCATATGGGGGTTGCCTGCCGCCACCTTGGCGTTACATTCGATTACTTGCATGTAAATCACAGTCCTTTCCAATTAGCAAGTTGTCGTCACTCAGCGGCCCAACTGTGCTTGGTTTCACTCTACCAGACTGATTCCCCCTTGGCCCAACAAGACGTGTTTCTACATACAAGTTTCATGCTGCATTCTCTCTTATCTGGTAGCCTGTTGACGCTCACATGTTCAACGCAGCCAACGGGGGCATTCTGAGCTGGACATGGTGGTACTATGACCTCGTTCTTCCAGCCTGGGTCCAACGACCCGGCCATTGAGGAATGCGGCAACTCAACCTTTGCCGTGTATTGCAACTCTGCCATTCCCTCCGAACAGCTCTTTCGGGAATGGTATCAACAAGTGACCGTTGCCGTCGGCGCTTCATCTCTCATTGTTCCCATTGTGCTTTTTATCGTGTTGCTTTCGAGGCAATCATGGTTCTCCAACACTTTCAAGCGCCTAATGTGAGTTGTCATGGCGTGATGACTCTCCCCTTGCAACATGCGGAAAAAACTAACAACTGACGTCGCAGAGAGCGCTTACGGAGGAAAAATTCTGGATACCAGAATATCCCGCCAGCGCCCAACCTGGTGACGTTTGAGTCGACAAGGTCGTTCAAGGTCTACTCTATGCTAGAAACGCGCGAGAGCGTTGATGTTGACAGAAACTATGACCTGGCCATCTTTCCGCTCACCATTGGTGAACTGAGCGGCGATGAAGGATGGGACGGATCGAGCATGACGGGCACGGCGTGTCATGAAGTCACCAACCTGGCCTATGTCAACCTCCAGGACATGGACCCAGCCGCGCTCCAGCCGCTGGATATTGCTTCGACAACGGAATACCTGGTCCGCAGTTGCGTTCGCAATAACCTGGCCGGCTTAGCTCTTCGACCTTCATCAACAATACCAACCCGACAAGTGGAGCAATTGATTCAACGGCTGCATCACTGTGACGTGTCCGTCTTACTCCTTTGCCACCATGACTCCCCCGACATTGATTCGCTCAGCTTTCAATACGCGTCGGGAGTTATTCTTGAAAATGCGTGCATCCTGCCCAATGGACAGCGAAGAGACTATTTCAAAGCAAAACGACTTCGCGAGGTCATGGTCCGGTGCGCCACCGAGCGTAGCCAGAAGCCCGGTTTTTTCATCGGCTTCTCGGAGCTGTGGGAAACTCGGCCACACCCCTCGGTTATTCGACGTGCAGTCAAGCTTGCTGAACATTTTGGCGCTGTCGTCGAACATGGCTTTGCGGACCCAAGTATGAAACTGGAGAGACCGCCCAGGGATGCCACGTATACACTCAGCGCCTTTGAGTATTTGCGGCGTGGAGATGTGACAGAGGTGAGCCCGGGGATGTTTGCGTGCCTCTCAATGCGTGACTAACACCCGCACAGATCCAGAAAAGTTGGAGTTCCGAACTGAGGACTGTTCATGTGTCTACTGGACTGAAAGAACTTGATCAAGAGGGGAACGGCAAGGGGGCCGCCGCCGACGGCCTCCGTTGCTTATCCCTGAGCAAAGTGGACGCTGCTTTGCCATTCGCGTCGCTGCTATTACAACACGAGCCTCTGCCGTCGTGGCTCACAGTATTGCAAGAACAAGAGGTGGTCATGGTACAGCCGCCAAACTATCTCCAGCAGGCACCCAAACGGACAGACTTTTGGAAATATTCCGCTGATGGCACTGAGCTGTCGACTGCTGGCTGTTTCTCCATTCTGGCAGAGCCATCCTCGGAAGATTACTCTGCCGTTTTGCAAACGCAGTGCCATCTCCGTGAGCTCAAGTTGCTGAGTGCTGTCAAGGGAGCCGAGATCCATCGATGGGTAAAGTCCTTCCAGGCACTATCAGAACAGAGAGAGTGCCGCGGGTTGATCAAAGACCTCATCACGGGCCTCAAGTCACAGAGCGTCCTTGTTTTCAGGGGACTGGACACGGGCTTCAAGATTCCAGATGGGAACTCTTACTTCTTTGGCGTTTCCAAAACCCGCGATGAGAGAGAATATCTGGCTCTCGACATCTACATCTCGCAATCGGCACCCAGCGACGCAAGTGCCGTGCTTCATACCTGGCTTGCTCATCACGGCGTGTCCCGCGCGACATGTTTCGAGCTTGAAGCGCGTCTGGAGGACCTGAACGGGCCTCTCCCCGGGAACAAACTCCCACTCAGCATTCGAAGCGCCGTCGAATCAGGCACGCATGCCGAGATACTCCAGTTGCTGCAGCAGATGCGTGTCGCGCATCTAGAAGATTCCTGGAAGTCGCCCATAGAATCCATGTGCGAGGCGCGTCTCACCACGCAGACGTCAAAGTCGTCCTGGTTGCGCGCGCACGCCCGCCGCATCTTGGATGGCTCGATAACCATACAAGACATGCTGCTCAGCCGGCTTGAAAGCTACGTCATCGCAGGAGCAACCGAGTTGCCTTCCTTGGAGAACTTGGTGGCCCTCTACGAGACCATGAGCACGAGTGTCCGCGACGCTCTCTTTTACGGAGACAAGGAGAAGCTCAACGCGCTAACTAATGCCCTGATTGATGTATTCGAATTCGGCACCATGGGCGAACTTGCCGAGAAAATCGACGTAAACGCCGACATGTTTGCTCTCATGTTCTTCACCATCATGAGAAAGGAGGCTTTCGAAGAAGTGTATATTGAATCAACAGATCGCTGCCCTATTTTTCTTTGCGCCGATCAGGCCGCCGTCTTCTCAGAGCTCTGGGTTCTAGGGTCTCAGTGCGAAATCTTCCTGGGTATTTTACCTCGTGATCTCGGTGATATCATTTACGATCGGTACCGCAGGTTCCTCGAAACCTGTCCTCCAGTTGCCGCCGACAGAAATGGTAATGAGATTATGACAATGTATTCCACGCTCGAGGCTAGCTCATCCTCCAGCAACACAAAATCAAAAGGGGAAAACGTCGACGCCGCAGGCCTGAGGCTGTCGACGCATGAGAGGCTTCAACTATGGAAGAAGCATCTCGCTCAGGTCGGTGCCATTACAATCTTCAGTTTGCCAGCCATTATAGACGTCTTGCTTCTGACCTTTCTCGGTCGCGGCTTGTTCATGACAGCGTTTATGGACCCAGCGCACATTGAAGCGGCCGCGTACGCTTTGCTCATCTCTCTGTTGCTGACTGCCGGGGTGACCGGCTGGGTTGGAAGCACTGGTTCCTATTACCTGAACCATTACGCATATGACAACATGACACATTTCCACGTGCAGCGCTTATCGGGAGGTTTCATGCTCACTCTCTTGATTGCGATTGGCGGCTTTGTAGGCTTCACCATCGCCCGCTCAGTTACTACTGGCCTTGTCTTCGTCGCGTTTGTCATCAGCGTTACCACTTACCTCAATCTGCTTGGTATCATGGCCACGATGCACCAACAAGGCAGTCCAATGACTTCGGGGCGTACAGTCTTGTGGAGGACAATACCCGTCCTTCTCGTATCACCAGTCGTGACAACCTTTGTTAATGGGCACGATCTTGCCATCTACCTTCCCATTACCTACATCACTGTTCTTCTTCTTTTGTATCAGTATCGCCAATTATGCCACGAGTGGAACGGATGGATGAAAAACATCCCCAATGTCACGGAAAAGGACATCCTGAAGTGGTACGAGTCTAAACTCGGCTCCAACAACGGCGGCGAGAAGGAGCAAACGGATGGCCACAGCAAGATGGCCCAAGAGGCCCTGCGTGAAGCAGTTACTTCCTACGTACGACGTACTCGAAACGACAACGCAACCCAACTGAAAAATGATGCGTTTGTTAAACGCGTCGCTGCCGGTATGCCTTACATAGACTGGCTCTTCAAGAAGACCAATCCTGACGGCAACTTGCCCGAGACGTTCAGCAGCGCTTGGTATACCCAGCTTGGCGAGTCCAAGAAGCAGCAGGAACAACTGTCTCGAGGACTGAAGGAGCATAATGTTCTGATGCTCTTCCGTGATGCCAAGTTTGACCTGGGACAAAACCTTGGCCTCTTTCTCGTCGCGCTGATGGATCGGTGGGTTAGCATCATCATGAGCAACGGCGGGCACCCTGGACGGAGTATTTATACGGATTCGCGCGCTCGATATGCAATCTGCTTTTGTGTCCTCTACTTTTTGATCGGAGTTGTTGTCTTGGACCTGACTCTGCAAAAGTACTGGACTCTTCGTTTTACACTGTCAAAGGACAAACTTGTCGACCACCGTCATGCCCAAGATGTTGCCAACCAGTGGGAGAGAGTCCGTCACCAAAAACTGGGCAAAGCGCTGGTGGAACTCCTCGCCAGGCTCCTCGTCCTGTTTGGTATTACAACTCTTCTCATGTGGATCCTAGTCGACAACCCGGAATCCATGCTGCTTTATTACCTCTACATTCTTGGGTACACTGGCGTGATACTGTTTCAGTTCAACAGATGCTTCACAACTAGCGTACACGGCCACGTCTTCATCATCCTTGGCTGCGCAATCATAGGCTTGATCGTAGGCTGTGTCTTGCATGCCGTGTCCATGACCTCCGGGTGGCTATACTCTGATGTCGTCGCTCAGAATACTGCCGCTCTGCTGGCGGCGTCTGGAACACTCCTTTGGACTTGGAAAGACTGGTTCGCCCCTTCGCAGTCTACATCTGAGCTCCGATTCCCCAAGCACGAGGACGTGTTTTACGCCCAGCGCAAGCTCGAAGCGGACCCTGGCATTGAAAGCGGCATATCGATTCGGCGCTTTGTCAAAACACCTAGGCCATCTTTTAAGCACGGCGATGGTTCTTTTCTAAGCGAGAAGATTGACGACATCCTCGTAAGAAGCTTGATGACACCAAACGCCACGTCCAAGGCTTGTTCATGGGCGGGTGAGTTTATCCAAACAGCCTTCCAAGCCTGGGAGGACGGCCAAGTCGAAATCACCGTGGTTGATCGCGAGAGCTTCATCGATGCGGGATTGCAACATCTCTTTTCCTTTAGCCAAAAGGATGGCGACATTCTCAAAATTACCGCAGGCTTTTTCGGAGACTACGAGCTCCGATTACCCGCATGGCAAACTCAGCTGGCTCAAATGATTGCAGAGTCTCTGATGTACCACACAGGCCGTGTCGAGGGTGAGCTGACACACTCTCAGGCAGTTCACGCGGAGCACTTTCTCCATGGAACGACGCCCATGTCTAAGCGCATCCAATTTGAATTGGCATTGGCGGATGTAAAGAGTCTCCGGCGGACTATTGACAAGACAAACTCGGAACTCTTGCGCCGTCTTTCCCTCGATCTCAACGTCGATCTCACTTGGAACACTCTCCCCCCTAGCGTGAGGGAGGCGATAGTCTGCCGAATTACCGGGCGGGCGGTCAAATCAACCTATGAGTTTGAGGACTGGCAGTTCAGTCAGGACGTGGACGTGGAAACCATCGACTTTCATCTTCAGCTCGGTATTGAAATCTTTCGCGCCTGCAAGCAACGATGCAAAGTGGCGTCGGATCTGAGCTCGCCGATCGACTTCAAAGACTCCTTGCCGCCGCCGGAGCTGAGGCCGGTCAAAATCCCTAGCGGCATGTCGAGCGGCTTCGTCCGCGGCTTCTTTCGACGCGTTACTGCCGTTCCGGTCACATTTGCCCGATGGGTAGCGCTGATAAGTGGCGGCGGATCAAACATTGAACGTGAACTCTATTACAGCCTTCGGTGGCTCTACTTCAGGCGGCCCATAATTTGGATCATTCTTCGCCTTTGGAAGCTATGCTGGGCCGCCAGGAACTTCTGGATCTACTATTTCTTGGTCTATCATCGTCCCTCAGCCGCCAGAATCGTCCGCCTTACTCAGAAAGGTGCACTGCGCATCATCAAAAAGAACTCCATTGTGGTAGAGTTGTCTCGAAAAACCGTCACTGGCTTTGAGAAAGATGGCAAAGATGGCAACTTGATGTTGGAAGTCTTCGAAGGACGCCTACGCGAAGCCCCAGAAGACAAGCCTCCTTTGTTCACGGCCACCTACGACGACAAGCTGCGCCTGGTGAGCAGAACTGACCGAGACGGGACTACTTCTACATATAACTACGACTCCACCAAGAGGCGCTCGTGGCCTATATCTCGAGCAGTTTTCAGTGCCAACAGTCGGGCGCTGGGTTTCTACGACAAGCAAGGCCGTTTGGAGAGTGGCACCATGATGCTCAACTCCGAGTCACTGGTGTTTTCCTACCACTACAAGAAAACGCCAGAGAACAGCAGTGACATCCTTCGCGCCGACTTTCAACCCTTGGATAGATCGTCCAGCAACAAGTTGTCTGTGTTTTGGGGCAAGCCTTCGAGTGAAGGGGACCAAGACTACAATTGGGCACCGTCTGAGAAGATCCATCGAATTGTCAGAGTCATTGGCGACAAGACTTACATGACGGAGATTGAGTACCATCATCGCCGTGATCCCAAGACACTGACATACCTGGTGGAGAACGGTGTGTATAAAACCATCGTCGCCGTCGTGCCAAAGGCCTTCCCCGACGAAGACGTGCTTCTCTGCCGGCCGCGAAACCTCTTGTTTGACGTCGACGACTTGCTCATTCATCACAGTGCTGGCCAGATAAACATTATGAGGCAATTCGCGACCAAGAAATTGTCAATGACGGCCCGTATGGGCTCGCTGGCGTGGTGGACCAGGCGCGTGTATCTCCCGGTGGCAACTTGGCGATCCCGCACCGAACTATGGAGTGTCTGGTTGAAGGGGGACCTGGATGCTGTCACCGCTTGCTGGATGGATGAGATGATTCTTCGCGAGGAGCCCATCTTGCGCAAGTACTGGCGTGCCAGAGACGGTGGGAATCTTGATGCGGCTCGGGCAGCCCTGGAGGACATTGACCAGATCGTGGCCGCCATCGAACTCGAGACTGACGTGTCAGAAGTTTGTCTGCTTCCCATCAGGTCTGCCGACCTGTATACCATGGGACTTGGAAAGGACGCCAACCAGGTCACCAACAGGCCCCAGGACTGCTACAGCGACACAAAAGATCGGGTTTCTGTCATTGTGAACGACATTGGCTGCTGGCCAGAAGCACCGGGCGGCGTCTCCAACTGCAGGCGGGATTTGGTAAACGGCCACGGGACAATCAGAAACCACGTCATGGCCGAGTGTGCAAACGAATACGGCATACCGCGATTTCAAATCGAGAAGAATGTGCAGTCTCTCAAGTTGCTGCCGCTCTGGGGTCTCGACGGCAAGACTGCGAACCATGGCCTGATTGACAATATCCTGCAGTCCGAAGTCGATGACAACATCCGCGACACAGACATACAGCGAGACATCACCCGGGTATTCGTTCCCCTGCTCAAGGCCTTTGTCAAGGGCGCGCGTACCAGAGACTACACTCGTGCGACTCTGGCCACCTGTACCAATGTCATGCTGTCCATGTCCAAGTACTTCGAAAGCAAAGACTACAACACAACTTGGTCGTCAAAGCAGGTCGAAGAAGCCTGGGTTGAGGCCTGGCTCGTGTCATATGACGATCCCAACATCCAGGATCCGGCCGAGTGCTTTGACATTGCGCGCCCGACATTGTTCGACTTTCGCGAGGCGCTAGGCATCTACATTGCCTACTTCTTCATCTTCTCCGTCAGGATTCCCGAGGAATGCCCACGTGTCTTTCAGAGCACTCATCACGGCATAAGCAGCCTGCTCGGAATCATCCTCAAATACCGCCGGGGAGTCACCTTTGGCATCTGGGACCACGCAATTCTTTGGCGCGAGTCTTGCCTCAACATCAGCCCGGCGCAATGCGAGCTGCCACTATCGGTGCAGTCCATGCTCCTACACGGCATCCGGCTAGCCAGCCGTTTGTCCTACTTTCACGCCGATGTCATTACACCGTGTACTTCGCTGTTCAATCCGTAAGTGCCTGATTGATATTTCGTATACACTCTTCACCAAACTAACCTTTTCGACAGCATGTGGGAAACAGAGATTGGCAGTGATAGGGGCAACATCTGCAACAGAAACCTGTTTAGTCGCAAGATTGACCCCATTGTCAACGGCATCAGCAACATGGACTCTTTTGAGCCCATTGACAAGGTGCGAACGAGCAAACCTACCGCTGTGATGCTGTCCAACGTCCAGTTCATCAAGGGCATCAAGACGGCCATCCTGGCCGCGGATATCATCGTCAATCGCTACGGCTTCAAAGACTACCGACTTATGGTATACGGAGCAAAGGACCGCCAACCATCCTACGCTCTTGAGATGGCCAAGCTCATTGTCAAAAACAACCTTTCAGAAAATGTCATCCTCGCGGGCTTCGGTAAACCAAAGGAGGTCCTCAAGGACGCGTGGATCTTCATGAACTCGTCCATCTCCGAAGGCCTGCCGTTGGCCATTGGCGAGGCTGCTCTCGCGGGTGTGCCCATCGTCGCGACAGAAGTCGGTGCGACAGCCCTGGTCATGACAGATCCTAACGACGCAGAACAGCGATATGGCGAGGTCGTGGCACCAAATGATCCAGTCGCCCTAGCAAGGGCGCAGCTCAACATCCTCTGCATGGTCGGCCCATGGACAAAATTCGTAGAGGACAAAAGCGAGCCACCACAGACTCTACCGGAAGAAATCACCCCGGATGACGTTGAACGGCTCTATCAACGCATGTATGCCAAGACGGATGACCGCCGCAAGCTCGGCCTCCTGTCTCGAGAGGTTGTTCTTCAAAGCTTCCACGGCGATCGGTACCTTCGAGAACACGAACAAATGTACTGGATCCAATGGCATACTGCTCGAATGCGAGCCGACATGGCCAAGAGCAAGGAGAGGAGAAAATACACTGAATTTTCGTCACCGCTCCCAATGAGGTATATAGATGAGGGGGTAGTCGGGTTTGAAAATTCGGCAGTGCTGGAGGATGCTGAATTGCTTGAAAAAAGTGTCAAGAGAGAAGAGAATATTATTACGGAGAAGATGGCTCCAACTCCGAGCGACCTTGAAAGCGGGAGGGTGTCACAGACGTCTACACTACAGGTTGTACATACGGGCGAGTTGTACTTTGCCGGCCAAACGGCAGCAAGTGGATTTACTAATTGGGCGCCGGGATAAGAATTTGAGGATTCTGTCGGCCATGTATAGGGGGGCATAGCGATTGCATACGCGGGCGTGAGTGTACTACTACTACTTCTGGTACTATTTTCTTGACTGATATAAATAATGTTACTAATACTACACATGTATTATTGATAATACTCCTGCTGTTGTTTCTGCTGCTACTGCTGCTATGTTCAGACACTCAATTATCCAGTATGTTTTTCCAGAACTAGACAACAAGCGCTGAGGTATATTCCTTGGCACACTAGTTTCCTATTACTGCCCAAGCTTCCAATTTAGCATGATGTAATCATCGGTGCTGCGATTCTTTCAGTACATCCAAAGCGTTTCGTTTGTAGGCCTCGATATCTAGAGCATGTATAAAATCCCACCGAGGAGCTAGTGCCCCCTTCAATCTCCCAGGCTCCAGGCCCGCATAACAATCCTGTCCGCATAGAATTTGTCCAGTACCCCTGCTCGAATCAATAAGCATCTGGCATCTGGACCTCCTTACGGCATCATATGCCTGGAAGGTAGCATTAATATCTCTACGAGACGAGGTCTCAGCTAGTAGAGCGCTGAGAATCACAGCGTCCTCAAGAGCCAGGCCGAGTCCATAACCTTGCCAAGGAGTCGTTGCGTGAGCCGCGTCGCCTATAATGCAGGCCCTCTCGTTACTGTATGTTGGTGTTGCCTTGTGCTCCCACTGTGAGAAGCGTTGTGGGTTGTCCTGGTCAAGTACGAGCTAGACAGAAGTGAATCAATTATATTGTCAGCAGTTTTGCCCAAGGGAGCAAGAAAGAAATACGTTCAAGCGCACACCCGAGATACCGGTCCGTTTGGTTGGATAAGTGACTTGAAAACTTACATCTATGATACCCTTCGCGATGGGACCGTCGAGCCAATCTTTTAACACCAAGTTCAAGTAGTCCCTCGATAAAGGAGTACCCCTATTTCTGGCATCTTTTGTTTCCAAGCCCGAGATTACACACTGAATCTTGTGTCCGTGATCCAGGACATCATGCATGATGAAAGCCCCCGCGCCAATCCATCCATACTGACGATTCACGCGAAAGAAATCTTCTCCGAGCATTTCCCTGGCCTTCTCAACTTCAACTACATTTCTGCAGTCCCAAAAGCCTGCCGGCGATGCAGCGTACACTCCGGCAGGATCCTGAGTGACATACTCGCGGACCCTGCTGAATATACCATCCGCACCAATGACTGCATCAAACCTGGCTGTATATCCATCTTCGAAGGTTAGTTCGACCCCATTATCACTTGGCCTGATATCCTTTAGTTTCTTTCCCGTATGTAGCATGCTGGAGGGTAACCCGGACACAAGCTCGTGGAGCAGGGACCCTCGATGAACAACCTTGCCCTGATTCGTGCGCGCGAGGTCAAGGACTAACGATCCTGCTCCTACGCCCGAGCCCTTGGTCCATATTAGCCCTAGCACTATGCAAAAGCATCCTACTGTGAAGAACGGAGACGCAGTATTGGAGGACAAGGACAGCTCTTACAATCATGGTCCGGGTAGTATTCATGGGGACAGCCCCAGCTTTGGCCAAGAGCTTATCAGCCGAGGGAATTATATGCTTCAACGCGGATTGTGCGGTGCTAGAGAGGCCAATAGCGGCGCCTCGCTCTGAAAAGCAAGCATATGCCTCGAATATGTGCACTTCAAGATGGGTCATTCGCAGGAGAGCGTTGGCCAAAGCCGTTCCGGCGAGACCACCACCGATGATGGCAATGCGTGTGCGATCGACGTTGAGATTCGACATGCTTTACTTTTGAAAGTCGTATGAAATGTCTATATGGTTTCAGGGAAGCAAGCCATGTTATACTCTACGTGAGGACGAGTGTATTCAGATGTCTTAGTGCTTATTGAAGTATGGAGGCTTGATGGCTGCAGGCGTAAACGAAGTCGGCATGGGCGCCAAACTCCACCAGGCCCAACCCAGCCGCTCTCAGCCCAACCCGGGAATATTGTGCCTCTTGTGAGAGGGCAATGCGGGGGGACCTTGATGAAGCGTTGAAGAATCAGTTCTGGCGGCGCTGCCTACTCAGGAAGGACTCCGCACACACTCACTTGAAGACGCCATAACAAGGAAAAAGCATCGATGTGGCAATCATAACTCATTACTTCGTATATCAAAACTACGGCTGGTAATATAATACTGCGTCACCTGCATCCCCTCACACAGACCGTCTATTTACCATCTCATAGGCCTCCTCGGTAGTGTCATGTGAAGGCCTTAGCTTGGAGTGTACGTGGACGGCGCCTCCATTCCCGGCTTTGTATGGCAATGTGTCCTCCCCCACGCTGTTTTCTGAATGACCATTATGTCCCGCTGGAGAGCTTTGAGACTGGGTGCCAAACACACTGGCAAGCGTGTCCCATGGCCTTTGGAACACGACCGACTTCGTGAAGAACGACAGAGTGGGAAGACAGGCAGCCAGAATTCCCGTGCTGCATTCCACCATCCCCCAGTATACCCACGTTGTAATGACGACTAGTTGCAGAGTCAGAAAACAGCTTGAAAGAGACATTATTCATCTCCCAGGGCGAACATACAAACTTCATCCTCGTCAGGGTCGAAGCCGGCTTTCACTATTCGTATGGTTGTAACCATGCGCGCAAGAGAGGTTGCAACAGTTCTAGTAGGTGGCGTTAGATTTCAACGAGTCGTGCAGCGCAGTGCATGGGGTATGCTCACACTGCACCAAGGAGGAATATTCCAGCCGTTGCAGCTTTCTTTTTCGGTGAGAGTTCCAATCGATATATCTGTATGCATGATTCGTTCTTGAGCTTCAATAGCGTAGCGAGTGGCTATTCGGATTTCTTTGAGACTCACCAACGGAATCGGAAAAGCGATTATAAAAACGTCTGTCGTGAAGTCGGATATACACAGGGCCAATGACCTGAGCATACCCTTGGTGCAGAACGTCATCAGGTCCAATGCCGAGCCCCAGATGGCAAAGAAGTTGGTCTTGCAATAAAAGACTGTTGCAAAGAAGAAAGCCAACGTCCATAGGCCAATCAGCACCATGAATCCGACGAGGACCACGTTCACGGCTCCCCTGCTATGAGTGGCAAAGATGCGCCTGTAAAATAACAGAAAGCTCAGTTTGGTGCAGCCCAATATCACCGGGAGCATCACCGAAACTGGGTACTCAATCTGCCGCAACACGTCAGGAATTGATGACTAGAAACTTTCCAGGTGTCGTCAACGTACCTTGGATGTTAGAGTCAACTGGTCCGAGTGAACTGCCAGCGGATTCTTTGCATGTTCGACGGGGATCTCGGTGCGATAAGCGATGGCATGATTCACAGTTCCGTAGACTATGAGAATGCCCGTAGCTACAGTCAGGACCTAACATGGACAATGGTTTCGCGGTCAGCAGATGTTTCTGTTGGACTCTCCTCATCCTGCCCCGACCCACGACGCACTTGGTCGTTCAAGCGCTGGAATTGGGGATACAGATCCTACAGTAGCTGGTATAATGAAGAGGTCATCGGCTTTAATGCCTTGCCTGTACCACAGTCGCGTCCAGAATCTTGCCCCGACTACAATCAAGACCATGGAGGAGAGAACGACGCCCGCAGCGATGTTATGGCCTGGTGCCTGGTAGTAGTATTGGTGGGCAGGCATCGTGGCGATTTGTTTCTCTCTTTATTCTCTCGGCCTTGGGTCGGTTTGTTGAGTAACAACTACAGACAAGATTGATTCCCCATAGCGAAGCGCTCATAGATATCAGTAGTGAGTGCCTAGCTTTCTGGGGGAATCTGAACATTGCAGGCCAAGATTCTCTCAAACTCATCATGGAATTTTCAAAGCACGTCGGCGGGGACACACGGCCAAGCTCCATAGCTAGATCCATCTGTTATGTCCGGTACCAGACCGATTATTGTCCCAAGGGAGGGGTCCGTCGTTTATTTGGCCATAGAGTTACATCAGTGTTACCCGGCTGAGACAGCTGCAGAACCACGTATCAGAACCAAGGTTGATGTGGACAGTAAAAGTAAGCACTAGGAAAAGGGGACCCATGCAAACATGCACATCGCGGATCAACCATCTCGAAATAGGTGGCACATTCAGCTTCCGGCCGAGGCTTTCCGTCGCCCCCAAGGCCGGGATGGCGCGGCATGACGGGTAAGCAGCCACGACGGAGTGTCTGCGAGACGACACCTTCAAGGGGAGCGAGTCGGGATTAACCAATGACAATGGATCACAATGTTGGACAATGAATAATGATATATGTACAGGATTATTAGAAAGACAGCACTACAAATAACACTTACTGGCTAAATAATAGCAAGTAGTTACTACATATAGGACTAGGTTATTAGTCAAGTCTTGGGAAATTCAGAGTTTGTATTCAAGAGCTATTTCAAGACTATATGATTTCTTGGCTAGCTTTTATCCGCGCTGTGAAACTACCCTAGAACCACAGCAAACGATGCCGCATGTCGCTCCCCTACTTCACATACTAGAATCGCAGCTCTGTTTTGCAAGCAGCTCTAGTGATGAAAAGCCATCAGCCCTGTCTAGATATGCTATGTGGTCGCGCTCGCCAGTGCCAAAACGCCAACGCTACAACATGCTATAAAAACTACAAGAGTAATTTCGATACCGTTATTGAGGACTGCGATGGCGAATACATAGAAGTGGTGTCCCTACTCTATCGACTCCGCTCATGTTCTAAGAAGCCTGGTTTTCCAATCTCATTGCCCTTCCCGGAGAATTTGCCAGATGTGACCCATAGTCCTAAGAGCCAACAAGACGACGCAAGCAAGGGATTGCAAGAGGCTGTTGAAGGCCTTACCGGACCAAGCGCAGAGCTTTCGACCACAGGCAGAGCAACTACACCTCTATTACGGCCGAATGAAGAGCTGGGAGGAATATAAATTAAGGCCCAAAACTGTTACGACGCGTTTATAAGTAAAATTGAGGAAAGGCACGGATGAGTTGGCAAAGTAGGATTCCGGGGAAGTAAAACAGCTCAATGTGACCATCTTTGAGGAAGTCGATTTGACAGTAAATCAGTCAGTTGCTGAGATGGTGCACAACTTGGCAAAATATGTGGTGCTTCGTGAGGGCAAAGACGGCAAGTCGGCAAGTCGGCCGAATCTGCTGTAGAAGCCGCAAAAAAACACGTGGCCCAATTTTTGGAGAGTCCATCAAAGAAGTTTGATGAAATAGCCAAAAAAATGTACTGGCTAATCAATAGAAACTACCTAGTAGTGTTTACATTGAGCTATAAAGGCCTACCTGTAACCCTGCGAGCTTCAATGTCACGTTCATTAGCTAAACTTGCAACAGTTGGACCTCATATTTCCGATGAGCATCTTGTCAACAGCTCCGTTGTGCTGTTAATAAGTTTGTCTTCAATCAACCCATGCAAATATTGGTGCAAGCACTGCATCAGGTAGGGCCCAACGAGATCAACACTGTGCCTGGTCGTACCCGAACCAGAGAACCGTCACATACTGAACGAAATGTAGTGCTGTTATGGATCCATCGCGGGGGACCATTAGTTCTCTAGATGATAGAGGAAGACGAGAGAAGATGTTATTGCGTTTGTACAAAAATGAAGAAGAGACAAAGGGCGAACGTAGGCAAATTCACACGGACATTACACGAGGGCCACGACTACTAGACCTAGGGTCTGACTGACTACTTGTGTAAAAAGAGCTCCTTGGGTTATCTAGGGAAAATAAAGGAGCTTTGACACTAAAAATTGCTAGTAGATGAGTTGAAACAAGTTGTTGCATGCCCTCCACTGTGCCTTTGTCACGGCAGGTCAAGCACGGTTTAGTAGAGGTGTCTTGCCAATTATATTCGTAAAGAGGATTAAACGGACTTGGGATATTTAGATAAATAACAAATATACATCGTCGTTTTGACAGAAAAGTAGATGCAGGCAGTACCGTGATTAGGCAGGTGCAGATAGTGTTTGTTGTTAGGCGACGGTTAGGATAACGTGGGATTTAGTTTGAGTAAGCCAGATATAGAATACGTAGAGTCTAATAGGAGTAACGGTTTGGAGAAGCAGTAGAAAATAACATGTTAGGTAGGACTCAACCAAGCATAACGAATAGGTCGCAGAATGGGCCAACAAGAGTTTTTGGTTGCATTGGTTACGGAGTTAGGCCGGGTCCTTGTCGCTCTGCAAAGTGAAACCTGTTGCTCGTCCATAACTAGACCCCTTCGGCCCTTCTTGTTCACTAGCCGGCCAAGTGCGGTGGATTCGACGGGCCTGCATGGTAGTTTATCTTCTCCGCTGACATGCGTGTGTTTTGTTTTGTTGGCTAGAGTCTTCGCCCCTGGACATTTGACGGGTTTCTTGACATCGCATGGTTACATCCCAGTGCGCCACGTTCATGCGATGATGACAGACTGACACAACTGTTTATGCCCCCTCATATGGCCACTTCCATGCTGTGCAACTTTGATCCAACGTAAGCATGCATTTTTGACTTCGGCCCCCATCAACCATGCATGGTTCAAACAAACGCATGTCTAGTGATCTTTGGTATCGCAGGCGAGTAGTACTCAGCACAACCGGGGAATGAAACATGGAAACGAACAATGTTACAATGTCTAATACTGCGGGTTTGCCAGTCACATAGCAAGGTCCCGACCGGCAGCAGAGCCGTAAGATTTCGTGGTACTTGTGTTTGTGTGAGTGCCTTTGGCCAACGCGCGAAACCCGCCAGTCACCCATCTGCGAACTCCCTGATGTACAAAACTAGTCATGCGATTCCATCTTCTTTGGGGGTTGGTCATGATTGTATGTCTGGTTCTCTGAAGCTTAGAACAGCCGGGTTTCGACGTCGACTCCTTTGGGTTCCGGCGCCTCGAGGAACTCGCTGCCTGCAATGGCTTTGTTAGTCTTCCAAGTTCAACAAGGCTGGTGGATTATCGGAATACCGTAGATTGGCTGAGCAACCAAATGGCTGACTAGCAGAGCAAGCGCTGCGACGGCAGTCGAATGATACCGCATGATGTATCTGAGTTATAGATTGTGCGATGTATTTCCCAGATTGACGGAACCGAAGTTGTTACTGTAGTTTGCAGATGATTGTAGGCCCTCAGTTTTCAAGCTCCGAGTCGCTGATATGTCTTTATATTTTGGGCACGACAACTTAATTCAGCCTCGGCAATGCCTGATGCATGCCGAGCGCTGATCGTCACCTCCTTTCTCGGGCAACCCAATTTAGCCGGGCGGCAGTAGATAAGCAGCTCGCTCAGCACCGTGTCGTACAATCCCCGGCGAAAAGCTGTGCTGCGGCTAATTGAGTTGAGATATTTACGTCCGCTTACACCAACAGGCGATTACACTAAAAGCTGTAATGCAATTCCATGTTGGCAAAACATGTGTCCCCAATTCCTTCGCCATCATAGCGCAGCATACGTTCTCGCATCACCATGCGCCGACCTGTGTCACCATCGACATTCGAAGTTGCTGAAGACAATGAGGAATTGATTCACCTCACCAGTTCAGATGGAATGATCGAGAAACAAAAGTTTACGCATTTGAACAAGCGTTCTAAAGCGGCATTATCCTTTTCGCGAATTTACTCCGTCGCTTTACATTTTCTCGCCGTTGGATTGGCAGTGTCGCTCTGGAGCAGAAACAGACACTCACGTGGCATTTTGCCAGCGCAAGGACGCAGCTGGTGTAAGTACCTGCTGACATTTGAATAGATCCAATTGCTAAAATGTGCTATTAGCCCCTGTGAATGACCTCGTCCAGTACGAGCTTAATAGCGAACATCCCGTCGATCACGACAAGCACAGCCAGTATGCCGGACCACCCGCCAAAGACAACGACGCGGCGTGGGATTCCCTAATGCGACGTGAGCGGCCCAATCCTCTCTTATGGTATTAACCTGACAGCTAAACACGATTTGTAGCCGTCCATTTCAATGCGACTCGCGAGGAACTTGAGAGAGCGGGTGAATCGATGTCAAATATTGCAGAGCTGGAGGGAGGAGGATATCCCGCAAGTCTTGGTGTCTACCACGAACTTCATTGCGTGGTACGAAGTTGATGGACAAATGCATTGAACGGGCGGTGCTGATCTATGCAGAGACAAATGCGATTCTATCTATACCAGGAGCATTATTATCCCAACCTCACCGAAGCGCAGCATGAATATCTCCGCGGCCACCTCGGTATGCCATCCACGCCGGATTTTATTCCAGTATGAGCTCGTTCACGAATATGAGTGCTAATGTCCCTTTTTTCCCGACAGACCATTGTCTGGAGACTCTGCGGTTGGCTACCATGTGTCGTGGCAGCGCTGACGTATACTCGTTTTATTGGAATGGTACCAAAACCGGCAAACCGGCGACGCAATCCAACGCCAAGTCGGTTTGCGTCAAATGGAGTTCTATTGAGGGATGGGCATATTCCAGAATGCCGACCACTACCCGGCTGGTGGAGCAGACGCAGGAGAACGGCCAACTTGAGCAGTTGTTGGAAGAAACGCTGCTCTTTTGAAGTATTTACATGGCGCTTGGAAAGTTTCTTGGCATGGACAGGTGAATTCCATGATGGTGGATAACAAGGCCAATGTATAACAAGTGAGAGCAATGACCGCCTTTCGAGGAAGACCGGTGTTGGATGGAGGCGAGTTAAGGGCGAGATGGAATGAGGAACAGCTAGAGAGACCCTTGAAGAGGCACGTGAAGCACGAAAAGAGTCAATAACTTCATGTAGATTATGTGAATTCACATTGTTCACCATTCCGACCAACCTACACTGATCGCCGGCCAAGTGCGAAAAGCTCAACCACCATCTAGGCTATTCCTTTAACTTGTGCCGTAACAGTCTGACGCAGCACAACACATTCGATGTCTGGTAGAAAATGAACGGTTCTCCCGTGTAACTAGTGATGCAAGGCTGCGGGGACTGCAGAGTCCGGCGGGCCATTTGGACTCTTGGAGGCTCAAAGTCCGGTCTGCTCCGTGCATGTGCTTTGTTCCCGTCCCATTCGATTGCATTTCAATATTGCTAGTCTCGTCGGATGCGTCAAAGATAAAGTACAAAGGCAAGATGGCCGACGCTGCTGTGCTTCAGCAGACATCACTGCCCGGTGACGCAAATATTCCCGTGCGCTCAAAGCCAGCCGAGCCAGCCGAGCCAGCTAACCACGTACGCAAGAAGCGATGGGCGCCCAAGACCAGGACCGGCTGTCTTACTTGTCGGTAAGTTTCTGCCACTGCCGGAAGAAGGAAACCTGTGCCGGGTGACTACCGAGGGCTGACTAGAGTCATCTTGATGAATAACCATGCAGCCTCCGCCGTGTCAAGTGCGACGAGGAGAAGCCTTACTGCAGGCGATGCCGCAGATTGGGCTACGTTTGCCACGGATATCAAGAATCAGTAAATCCACCCGGGAGGCATCGGGAACATGTCGTTAAGCAAATCACCACTCTTGAGTTATACCAGCCCCCGGTCGTTGTATCACCGGTACAAGTCACCGCGTCGCCCCATGAGCTGGATATTTTTCACTACTATCGCACCGAAGTGACGGCACATCGAGCTGACGAGTTCAACCGTACCTTGTGGGATGTGTACATTCCCCGGGCGGCGAATGACCAACCTGCCGTGTGGCACGCTTGCAATGCCCTCGCCGCGGTTCATCAGATGGATGCCATTAAACTCTCGGCCTCGAGTGCGACCCAGGCCGCTCTCGCTGTCGAGAGGAGGCAGAATCTGTATACCTTTGCCTTGCAACAGCATGCCATGTCGCTCAAGCACGTCATGGCCATGGCGCAACAAGGCGACGCGCTCAGTTTCAACGACAAAGGTTCCATCTTGGCTGCCAACCTGTTATTTTTTGCTGGCTGTCTCCATCAAGGGAGGCTATTGGAAAGTCTCGTCCATCTGAGGAACGGTATCAATCTAATGCACCAATGGAAGTTTTGGGAGACGCGGGCTCCAGACGATGTTCGTTCGTCGCCGCAAACACGCAACAGCATATTCCCCAGCGCATCACTACTCTTGTTTTACGTTCAGATAGATGGGCTTGCTCAAGACTCATCACCACCAGACGCCGAGGCCTCGGAGCGCACATCCACTTGGCAGTGGGAGCCGGCGCTGTCGTCTCTGTGCGAGAAGCGCTTCTTCTCCCCAGCCGATGCTTGCCTCGAGTTTGAGATGATATGGATCGGGCTACGGGATCTGTTCAAGTCTCTGCCTCTGCTGCCTGATACTTCGCAGCAAAGCTCTATTATAAAAAGACGCGTGATGCTGAATGTCCATCTTCAAAACTGGAAGACTAAGATGGATGCGTTCCAATACTCGTCACCTTACGTGAGGCAGAGTGACGGCAAGCTACTGACCATCCTCAACATGCGACATATCCTCGCCAACATACTGGCAAATGTGGACATTGACAAGTTCGAAGTGTGCTGGGACGCGTTTGAGGCGCAGTTCGAGGAGATTATTGTCCTTGTCGAGTCACTACTCTTTGGACCAAAGGACAAAAACGCGCACGGCAACGCCAAGGATCGTCTTTCCTTCACGCCGACAGTGACAAAATCGTTGCATTACATGGCCACAATCTGTCGTCATCCTAGCCTTCGCCGAAGAGCAATCTCTCTATTGAAGGAGCTACGACGTGCAGAGAGAGTGGGCGGTAAGAATGTGGATGTATCATTCTTTACCCAGAGCATTCAAGCAATCATGAACATGGAGGAGGAGGCATGGTTCGACACCGACAGACGCAGCCACCCTGGGTGCCACTGCGTTGCGGGTAAATTCATCTGCAATGCTCATCGTATTTCCGAGTTTCAGATCAAGTATGCTGATAGCCAAGAGGGGGAGCTCATATTCCGTACTGTGGACGATATTATGAACAATCGCCCTGTGCGGAGCTCGACCATGAATATCTTGATCACAATGTAGAGAGAATTTTACAGATACTCAAGTCACGAGGTATCGTAGAGGTAGATACTTGGGCAGACCTCTCGGCTTAAAAACATTAGAAGATGGACAGAAAGGGTTAAGAGCATGTCACATTTTATTCCTCATACTGCAGACACGGCATCAGCTACTTCCTTGTTTTAATCCTCTTCACCATTCACCACTCCGTATTTAGCTAGATCTTTGAGATGTAATGCTTGTTTCATACTCACGAGCTAATGTGTAACTACAATATCGACTTCTCTCCCGCTCCGTCACGATCCATCACATCTCATTTCATGCGCAAACGGAGGGGTCTGTACAGCTACATTTATTAACAATAGCTCTTTTTGCTTTTTAAAGAGGCTTTCTCAATGTCAGATGTCACACATATACTCTACTAGATGGAAGATCTCGTCTTCATGGTGCGTGACAGCATTTTGCAAGCTTGGTCTACGGCCTTGGGTCCGGGGGCCCCAGAAAAAGAGAGGGCCAAGAGGCATATTCAGAGGCTTAATATCGAGTATACTCGGCCAAGGACCACTATTTTGGACCTGTTTTCTACGTCGCTCAATGTTTAAACCCGATTATCGTCGTGATCGTGACACCTTGGCACGCGCTCACTAATAGCAACTTGATAGTCTGACATGTTGAGCTCACCTTGCTTTCCTAAAGGGCCTTGTATATAGTAGTAAGCAGATTTCACAACTCTATAAAATTCATCCTTGGCTGGCCAGCATTCAACTCTTCCATGGGTAATCATATTCCAAAACCGTCGTAAGAGCCGAAGACCATGATTTAACTGCTAAGACCAGCTGCTACCCGAGTATCTTACATTTGCAATGCCTCTGATAGGAGACCGCCAATGTGAATGCAGTTGAAGGTATCGGAAATTTTGCGTCAATTCCCTTTTGGAGCCAATAAAGGTAGCACGCGTCCTCGTTCGATTGGGCACCACTTCGACCGGGGCTGAGTGCATTTCCGCCTTGACTCTGCCCCTTGGCCAATATCCTGGGCATCAGTACGGTATGCTCTCTTAAGCGAGCTCGTGCCACCGATCATGAGCGCCATCAGGTACAACATTGGCAGTCTGTGGTCAAGTTTCTCGAAGGCCTTGTACGAGATGTGTTTCTCGTCCCTAGTCTTCCCTAGATAAGTCGTGGTTACTGTTAATTATAGCATAGTGAAGTCATATACCGACAAAATACTGGAGCTCTATGATGATGATCTATCGAGGAATAGGGTATGTAGCGATGGAAATTTAGGTAAGGGTAGTGGACATGTGCGCACTGGTGAAAACCGCCTCTAGCGGGTTCGAAGACGGGTTATTTAGACATTTAGACAAGGAATTGCATCATCTCCGTGGCTCGAAATTTGAGGGCGCTGAAACAGCCAAAGAATAAAGGTATCTATAGTCGAGAGGATTATTACTCCCGGGCTCATTACGTTCGGAAATGAACAAAAGTGACTTCGGGAATTGGGATGGTCCTGTGGCGACGCTATGAATGATTTAACCGAACTAGCAAGGCGAGTATACTCGGGTTACACTGCTAAAACACTGAGGAGCGTGTGGCTGGCTAGGTTACGACATCCCGCGCCAGATAATACTAAAGGATTATACTACTCCTAAGCTTAGAGTGAATAATGAAGTTCAAATCGATTTTGTGGAGAGTTATATGAGGAAATATAACATATAGAAATACGTATTGAACTTAAATACTACTCAAATAATTTAAATAAGATAAGAGGTTTTACATTTTTAAATTTCTCATATAACTAACTAATCTAGCTACAGTAGAGCCCATCGCTTAGAAGCAGAGGATTGCTTCGCTGTGAAAGTAATATTCACAAAACTGAGAGGCGAAGCGATCGCCGTTAATCTGATAATAATACGCATAACAATAAGAACTGTCCTATATAGTGCTTATTATTCTAATTCAAGTAAATAAAATTCACTATTCGGCTAGTGTGTCTAACGCATCGCGATGCGTTCATGGTGTCTTGCGTGGTAAGTTACGGTTCCCTGGCAAAGGTACGGCCAAAATACAGTGTTACTAGATGCCCTCCATCTAGCCCTTTTTTGATTTTTTGTTAAAAAAGTTAATAATAAAATAATAAAATAAGGGCAGTTATCGAGCAAAGCGAAAATGCCCACCAGGGTAAATTTAAGTACACGTAGACAATACTAGACAATACTAGACGAAAATAACAGTCCGCTTAACAAGTAACTTGTTTCCCTAACAACTGACGCATTTGTTAAGGTTATTTTGCTCAACCTAGCGAACTAATTGGGGTCCAATGAATTAGTCAACAGGCAGAAACTGCTTCGGATCGCCATGGTCCCGGCAGTCGTCTTATGAAGTATCCAGAATCTCCCTAGGGCGTCGTGAAGACCGTTCAAAGAAATAAGAAGTCCAAATAGGCGACCGAAATACATAATTGGGATACGTAAAATAGCCTTTACGGAATATTTACACCACTCTGAGACAGAGGGGCTACTCGATTTTTCGCGAACATACCGCACTTGGTCATTTGGTTGACCATCTAAACACCTCCAGTACGTCTAATGGGAGTTGTATCGTACAATTGTATCTACTGCAGCTTGTTATGAAGGCATACCGTTGGGGAGCAGACAAATTTGATCATTGCCAAGGCAAGTGCTATACCTCCTCTGCTTTTTTTCTTGCATAGGACTAATTCTTTGAAGCGTCGTTTCGATAGTGTAGAAATAAAACGAAGCAGGTAGGATTCGACGGAATTCTTGTATCATGTAACTTTTTGTACTAGTTTAGTTAGGGTTCTCCCAATATGTTTAGAGAACGCAGATGCTCAGATGTAATACAGTCACTACGCAACGACTGCGCATTAAGAGTGTGAAGCCACGGCTTAACGTAGCTGGGAAGTTCCGTAATGCTTATCTAAATTAGATCCAGACTGATTCCATTCGCTGGGACGAAGCCGCTAGTCAATAAGTTCGACTTTGCGGTTACCAATACACGAGTAGTTGTGGTTTGGGACTTGGGTCTGAGAGCAAGTCTCACTCAATTCATCCAATAAAAGTCATTTGTATCCAAGGTCCTTGTTCTCCTCCTGGCTCTGCACCAAAGGGTCTCTATTCGTACAAAGAAGCGGTGAGCCTCGTGCTCTAAGGTCTCGTGAACGTAGCCGTCGTCTAACCATCGTCAGGTTCAAAGGTCGGCCTCATGTGTAGTATGACACCCGTGTGACACGCTAATTGATGAAATCGTACGCAGGTATACATACTAACAGATAGTAAAACTATCGTGTAGTGTAGCATAATGCCAACTAGCCTAACACCTAGTCTGGTTAAATGCTTTCGCCTCCCACCGTAGCCATTTGACCATTGTATTGAACCGTAAATGGCCGGTGATTTCAACGAAACCACGGAATTCGGCCAGTGGCTTCGTAATACCAGGCCCAAATAAATGGAGCGTATTGTTAGACATCCGTTGGCAGTATTATGGACATGAAAGTGATGTATTCTTGTCTGTTATTTACCTAACTTAGAAAGCTTGGTTCTTTTCATCTTTATTCCACAATAACCTGACCTCATTCAGGCCGTGGGCCAACCTTCTTATCTTCTAAATACTATATAGTTCTAGGCTGCGAAGCAAAGCCATGTCGGGATGTTTTTCGCATCAAACATAGGCCAAAGTTAAGGCCATCTGCACCTGTCACACGGTTACACGAGGGCTACGATCACGGGATCTAGGGCAGAAGGCCCTCACCGACTTCTTGTATTTATAGAGACGTTTGGTTTCTCGAGGCCTTAAGGATGCCAAGGCCCTTTGATACCAAAGACTCTTAATAGATGAATTGAGCTATTGACTCCAAGCCCTCTTTGAGCCCTTGTCACATCACCACATGGAACTTTATTACAAGTGTAGTCCGCTTCGCGCAGATGCATGATGCTGCCTCGGCCATGCATGCAGTCGTCTTTATTGGACAGATGGCGGTACACATCGTATTGAATAGGGGTTATATTATATATTATATTGGAAAATACTTCAGAAATAAATCAATACTAGTCTATCAAGTGTAATAGTTAGATAATCAGGTTCCCCTACCTACTATAGGATAAATAAAGCAGCAACTAGGGTGCCCTTGCTAATAGCTGCATGAACTGTCTTGAGTTGTCTAACTTCGAAGTATTTTCTTCGGCTTCGTTATACCGAAATTCCTGCTACACCATCCATAGGTTCTAGCGTTCTCGATGTCTGACAAGTCAACTAACACGCTCCCTTTCCAATTGTCTGCTTTTGGCGAGTGATGGCTGAAACCAGCACGCCACAAGAACTCCAACACTGTCTTGACCACGTCAACATCATTCTCGGCTTCCTCGATGAACTCATAAACAACCGCTGTGTAGAGCTTTTCGTCATGAATGGATCGAACAACCTTGTCCACTTCGATAGGTGGTGGTGCCAACTTTCGGGGCAAACGACGACGCAACTCCTCTCCTGTAAATTGCAGCCAGCCATAACACTTTCTCATACGAGGGATACTCGTAATGGATAGCAAATCATGCGACTGTACGCCGATGTTCTTCTGGCGAGCCTCGTTGGAAAAGGCAAGCAAGTTCGCTTGCGCCTCCTGCCTACACTGGGGGTCTGGGATGACCAGAATCGGCCCGTTCGGATTGTCAGCCCGGGCTGCGTCCGATACTGCCGCTTCCATAGATTGAAGCAGAGCAGCATTTTGACATTCTCTTTGCGGGGCAAAATAATGCGGATACCAGGGCTCCGTGTCCCAAAACTAGAGCAGAGTTAGTACAGCGGTCTGTCTGTCTCCATTCCGAAGCGTGCAAGCGACTTACTAGCTTCAAGACATAGGTCGTGCCATGGTTTGGAATGCGAATTCTCCAATTGTACCCGTCAAGTCCGCCGTCGAATCCTTTGCCAGTTCTATAATCACGACCACGGCGTGGGTGGATACGGCCGACGAAGGATATTGAGCCGATATCAAACGGGAATTTTCGCAGCCGGGGCATTTTGAAGTCGCTCTTGGCGCAACTGGGGGGACACTCAGGGTCCATAATGTTCTCGTCGAGAAAGGGTTGCCTCATGATCTCGAGTGCCCGGTCAGCACGCCGCTGCCACTCCGCGCGGTGCCTGTTTCTCAATACTTCACCGCCCCCCCCC